TTTAGCAAGGTATCCTTTAATACCAGCCGAGAGCCCATACGTTAACAAGGCGCGTTTGAAATTGAAAAAAACCACACGTAAAGTTTATGATATTATAGACTAGAGGCTGGCCGAATTTCGGTTTCGGCACCCGAAAGTTACCAAATGGCCACTTTGGGCACACTTTCGGTTTCGGCCAAAAGTTAATTTCTAACTTTCGGTTTAGGCCGAAACGGATATTGACTTTCGGCCGTCAACCGAAGATCTACTTATAGAACATAACGCTCGTGCTAAGTCTATCAGCCGGTCAGTCGGCGCTAGGCAATCCTATGCGATAGGCTGCAAACACACACACGTCAGCAGCAGCAGAAGCTTGCGAGCGAGGTGCGATGCCGTCAATAAATGACGTCACGCACCTAGGAGGGGGGGGGGCTATGTAGCGATTAGCGCGCTGAGCTACGAACCCGGCGGCCCGAGTTCAATTCCTGCTCACGGCCAGTGACGATTATTTGAACCGGTCCTGGGCCTCCCCTAGGTCGACTCAGCCTCAAACTACTGGTGTGGTATGTCAACATCGCCACTGGGGAGACAAAGGCGGCCGGCCGTGGTGAATCCAAGTCCCGGGCGAAGCCGGGTAGTAAAGAGAGTATTTCATAAATGTTGTGTTCGGTAACTTCAGTTATATACCTTTCTGTTTCGGTCTTGGTCGAAAGTGTAGTTAAACTTTCGGCTTTAGTTTCGGCCGAAAGTCAATTTTTTACTTTCGGTCTGGTTTTGGTTTCGGCCGAAAACCAGAAATTCAGTTTCGGCCGGCCTCTATTATAGACATTGTAATCGAAGATTAGTTAAACATGCTCCCAAAGTAATTTGCACGTGTACCACTAAATGTACGCATTAAACAGACCATGCCACGGGTAAAGAGTTAGGGCATACCTGTGTGCACAGGTACACAGTCACAACAAAACTTGTACACACAACCTATACAGTACATTTGTTTCTTATGTATGTATATCGCAAGATAGCTTTTACTTGGAAACATATACACTACAATGTCGAGAAGAAATACAAAAACAAGCACAACAATTTATCAGCGGGGTTATGTATACATGAATATGTACATGTAACACGCTGTATTAGCTGTAGACATACCTAGGGTACACACACGTGTAAATGTCACAACATAGGTGCACCAAGTACTGTACACCCAAGTACTGTACACACACGTGTGTCATTTTACTGTACACCCAAGTACTGTACACACACGTGTGTCATTTTACTGTACACACACGTGTGTCATTTTACTGTACACCCAAGTACTGTACACACACGTGTGTCATTTTACTGTACACACACGTGTGTCATTTTACTGTACACCCAAGTACTGTACACACACGTGTGTCATTTTTCTCAAAGTGTGCATGCATTTATGTACAATAGCGTAAATAACGTAACGCTTTACACGGGTAAAAATAGTTGTACTGCAGTATTACGTTATGTATACGGTAATGTACACTAGTGTCAATGTACAGTACATCAATATTAAACACGTGCTAATACACAACACAAAGGACTGACTCGACATTTTATAGGTCATGGAGATAGGTGCACATGCACACAGCTTATGCGAATACTGTAGGTACATAATGCTTTGTATAAACTGTAGACAATGTACACACACACACATGTGTACACACACACACGTGTGCACGTAGTACTGACATTCTACAGCACCGTATACATGTAGACACGCTTAATAAGTTAATGTTAATATTGTAGATACACCTGAACTCAAAGCAGAAATACTCAATTATACACAGGACCGTACACGTAGGTACACATATATACAAAAAAGTTATAGATAACAGCCCTGTATTGCATAATGTTTTATTTTGGGTTAGATTGCGTAAATAAGTATGGCACACAAGTCACACACAGCACTCACAGATCGAACGCAGATGTACACATTCAAGACATACTTACCGTCACATTTTCCATTAACAACAGCCCTATCTAAAAAGTGAGAAGTTTTAGGTAGCTAACGTGGTTAGGGGCAATGGTTCCAAACACACCTCCAACGTTTGGCATGGTGGAACATTTTAAAAGTCCCATCAACAAAACCAATCGGGGCTTTTAAACATTCGTTTCAAGCGGGATGATTCCTGGGGCCACGATTTTGATTTTCCTCATCAGTAGCCGTGCAGCCACAACACGTGTATCCCACAGTGATTTGTGTACGTACACCGCACAAATGTACACCGTCAAACCGTGTTTAACATTCATGGGCGACATGGTTCTGACCTCCACGACGACTCACGAGTTGAACTGCCGAAACAAACAACCCCCCACGTTAGCTACCTAAAACTTCTCATAGGCAGGCAACTTCTGCCACGGTCTATGCAATTATAATGCGCGTACTGAACATACATTATCGAGTCCAGACAAATCCGTACTGTGCTATGTTCTGAAATCTTATGCCCTCCCCCCTGATATTCGCCTAGCACCTGGCAAGAGTGGTGAAATATGGTGAAATAACACCCCTCCCTAGGAGCCGCATTGTTGTGGGGAGGGTGGTACTCATCCAGCAGTGGAGTGATTAGCACATAGAGTATTGGTCTCGGCATACTCGTACCTAGTGTTGTTACACTATACACAGGTACATTTACACTGATGTACCACAACGAACTTTATTTAGCTCTATGCTGTAGTTTGTAACTTCGTTATCCAAAATGTTCACACGCAATAGTGTGGGGACTGGTAATTATCTCAAGAACCTATTATTGGTACAACACAGGCTTATTATAGATGTACCTTACAGATGAAATAACACCGTACACAGGTAAACACCTACCCACCACACAAACGACGTAACTCCTACGGTCTGTAATGCAGTGTTAGTATTGAAACTCGGATACCTTTCTGGATAAATAAAGGATTGTTATTAAACCAGGATATATCTATACAGTAAGCCTAAAACACACACACATCTTACAGCCCATACACAGATACACGCGTTTACCACACAAACAAAATGACTTTGCAACTTAGTTATATAGAGTGTTCAACTCAGTATTTAGCCTCCGTTTGGCTTTTCCGGAGTAAAGGCCCCACTACAACTATTAGCACATGCCAGGCAACAACAGATTACACACACGTTTAAGCATATACACTGGTACACACGCCTAGTTACCACACAATTTAACCTCTAAAAAGAACCGTGGTATATAACATAGTACCATTGACAGGCTAAAACATCCAACACAGTCTAACCTCTCTACAGCCTATTCTGTACTGTCGTATTGCATATAGCGTGGCACCACAGGTACAAACCACTACCTACCTCACAATCTAACTAACCTCTATACTGTGATATCCAACTTGCTACCATACACAGGTACAAACACCTATCTACCTCAATCTAACTAACCTCTATACTGTGATATCCAACTTGCTACCATACACAGGTACAAACACCTATCTACCTCAATCTAACTAACCTCTATACTGTGATATCCAACTTGCTACCATACACAGGTACAAACACCTATCTACCTCAATCTAACCAACCTCTATACTGTGATATCCAACTTGCTACCATACACAGGTACAAACACCTATCTAACTTGGTATCATACACAGGTACAAACACATATACCATACACTCCAACCTCTCTACTATGGAATATGACGTGGTCACAAACACAGGAACAAACACCTATCTACTAACCTATACACGGTGGTATATAACTTGTGTACCATAACACAGGTACAAACACATCAACCATATACTCTAACGACGATACTGTACTGTGGTATATACAACTTGGCATCATAGCATCGCCACATACACATGATATACAGTCCTGAGGCTACGTTTGTACCACAAAGGCTACACACACAACATGCACACCCTGCAGCCCCACACCCCCCCCCCCCAACATACCAGATCACTGGGTCCTTTCTGTACTCTAAGTATGTATTATTATAGCACGACGTTATGTTCACTTGGACGCAAATACACAACGCTTTGTGTCTCGGTGAGGCTTCCATGTATGAATACAGGTTCAATGTTACTGCAACAAGATGCACAAGCCAAGCACACACACACAAACACATTGTGGTCTATACACAGGTACACACACACCTATATACCAGACAGCTTTGAAGTACAAAAAAAATGTGTGTATCATATACACGGAATGGTTGTCCACTACTTGTACATCAGGTCTACTCAGCCAAGTTACTCACAGGCTAATACGCTAAATAGCTTAGGAACACACAAAGAGACATACACACACAGGCAGACCAACAAACACAGAACACTACTAGCACACGCACACACCATCAACACACACTACCAGCACCACGATTCCAGCAAACACACCTACACAGACCACCACAGCACAGAAGACACCTACACAGACCACCAACTCCAACAAACACACAGACCACCACCACAGCACAAAGACACATACACAGACCACCACCGCCACCCCAGTACACACAGAGACCACAACCACCACTCAACATCAACTCCAACACACACAGAGACCACCACCACTACTAACCAACATCAACACCAACACATACACACAGACCACCACCAACCAACATCAACTCCAACACACAGACCACCAACTCCAACACACACACACACACAGAGACCACCACCCCCAACACACACACACATACACAGAGACCACCACCACCAACCAACATCAACTCCAACACACACACAGAGACCACCACTACTAACCAACACACACAGACCACCACGACCACCATCAACCAACATCAACACACACACAGAGACCACCAACCAACACCAACCCCAACACACACACAGAGACCACCACCACCACCACCGTCGCCCGATCCTCTCGCTGCCGACGAAAGGCAAACAACAAAAAAATTCGAAGGGGGCCCAACGCAGCGCACGGGCTAAAGTTGACTCTCTCCACCTCCACGCGGCACCGAACCGGTTAAGCGAGAGCCAGACACACAAGCTCAACAACTCCACTTACTTGTCCGAGTCCGGTTGTGCCATTTTGCGAAGCTGCACCACCGCAGTAAAACTGGACTTTCCCGTCTGGAGGGTAAAACCAGCCGCCGCCACTCGGCGAGTTCCACCTGGGTGGAATCAACCCCCCCTCTGTGTGTGTGTCTCTCTCTCCTCTATAGGTCCCTCCCCACACAGGTGTGTCCTTTCTGTGCAACAGGTAAGTCGTTCGGGCCGGGCCAGTAACTTCCTTGCCCACCCCTTGGTTTGCAGATTGTTGGTAGTTTGCTGTCCTTTTAAATTTTTTTCTGGTGGAGGTAGGTGGCTTCTTGAAAGACAAATGCTACTTTGGTAAGATACGAATGACTTCGAACAAGAAGAAGGAAAAAAAACCCTTGTGTGCGTGTCTGATCGGTTTGTCTTCGGTGGTTTGTTGCGGAGAGAAGAGGCGAAATAATGAATTAAAAGTTTGGCCAGGTGAGCGCAGTCGTAAAGGCATTCGCTCCCCCATTGGCTACAGGTGAGCGCATCGCGCCTGTGTGACGTCATCGGGCCAGAGTGCTGGGCCCGTGGTGGCACTATGGGGGATGATAACTCCACGTGAGTTGCAGTGGTTAGTCACGCATGGAGGTTGGGTTGGAAGGAGGTGTTTGGCTTTCATGTGGTTTGGGGGATGGTGGAGCGAGCAGCAAAGGATGAGTGGTGAGATGGTGAATTTGTGTTACTTGGCTAGAGCATAACTGTATTTATCATCAAATCAGAGAGGATTAGCTTCAGCATTGCCGGCGTCATCATCACCAGCATCATTAGCATCTTCGGCATCACCATAAGCTTCAGCGTTAGCATGAGAATGTCCATAATCATCAGCAGCATCGTCATAATCAGAAATAGCAGCAGTAGTATTACCATTAGACTCGACATTCGTCAATACCAATGCCTTAAAAGGAACAAAATAAGATTGAGGTCAAAGACCGTTCATGTCGAGTTTGGTGTAATTGTGTACAAATTGTATGGACTACCGTTACCATCGTCATCGGTAGTAGTATCGGCAGCAGCATAATAAGTAGTGTCGGTGTCATGAGCAGCAACGTGTTGGTATCATTAGCCGTGATTTATCCACAGCTGGATGAAGGCTTCCCCAAGTTTGTCGCCATTCTTTACGGTCCTGCAATGCAAGTTTATTCTTGCTCCCTGTACACGAGCTCTCATCTCATCCACAGCATCAATAGACTCATTGGCGGTAGCATCATCATCACTTTGGGGTCGGTAAACTTATTACTATGTGGCCAGGCTCCATAGCGGAGTGCAAGAAATTCATCATGAGCAGCTGTTGTGTTAAAATTGAGGCAAACAACATCAGAACGTGGAACTTTCACCGTTTTGTGTGGAAAAACGGTGGCTGTTACACAGTTTTGAAGTATACTCTTAGGTTTTTTCGGTAAAGTCAAGTAGGTAAAAAGTAAAATAAAATTAATAAAAGTAAAATAAATAACATTTTATTAATGTTAATTTTATTTTTTACCTACGTGACTTTACCGAAAAAACCTAAGAGTATGAATCCTTGCAGGCACGAAAGCTTCAAATCTAAAACAGTTTTGAAGGTTTAAACTTGAGGTCCGTCGCGGAAACGTGGAATGCACACCACGTGCTTATCCTTGCCTTTGCAAGCTTGTGAGCAGATGCTGTTATGTAATTACATGTACCCTGAATGTGTTACTACTGTAACGCCAGTGGTGGCGGATTTGTAACGTGAGAGCGTTTGCTGTACATTGAATGGACTGTCTTCTATTTTACCAGGTGAGCAGTGAGGGAACCGCTTCGGGTATCGACGTTCGCTTTCAAAGAAGACCTGTAACAACTGAAGTGTAAAAAAAAAAGTTTATAAAATTGATAATGGCGAAAACATCACTCTCAATAATACATGTTTTTACTATCGACAGCTATAAAACAGTCGTGCAACACGTGACCTTCAAATGAGGGCGAATGATGTAAGGGGTAGTATTAAAAAGTAAGTATTAAATAAAAACAACACCCAAAAATGAGATTACAAAGTATACGAGTCTCATGAGGGTGCTGCGTTGAGATGTTTGGTCAATTCCGTTCATGAATATTTTGGGTTTTGGAATGTATTTGGAACATGTGGGTCAAGGTTCTGCACATATTCATGCAATAATTCATTGTTGCACCGCCACCTCCTGGCCATATTGTGGATAAAATGCCTCCCTGTTGAAACCAGGATTGAGCATTTATCTAATTTGTCAGAGCTGAGCCAGTGATGTAAATTCCACATTCTCACGGCGAGGGCCACTCGACAGGATTGTAAATGTTGTGGGTTTACTCTCCAACACACCGATGTGCTGTGCTAGTAACGAATTGGCATGTTTTGTTTACGTGACAAATTTTACCAATTGGCTGTATCGGGTGGTGGCGTTTTTAACGATATTTACGGGATCTAACCCAAAACACCTCGATGCACTCGATATCAATTCACATTTTGGTTATGAACAACGCTCGTGGGATTTGGGCCATAACTATGGCAGAATTGATGCCTCGATTCGTTGAATATAGATTCTCAGGCTCAAAACATCAAATTGCGGGAGTTCAAATGTTCAATTTCGATACATGTACAGCATCGCACACAATCGGTTAACATGATCCCAATAAGCACAAAAACAACGAATCCATTCTTGAATAAAAACGTGGCCTTAGTGCAACATTCATTCGCTGGGAGAGCAGCAGAACGTTTCTCCGAATCGCGACATCTTTTCACAATCTCTTATTCTACAGTGAAGGGCGCACTTTGGTAATGGAATTAGCAGGCAACTGGAGTGGGAATCAAACCAACTCTGTGCCAAGTGGATCGGTGCAATACCCATACGTGTTAAATGGTAACACCCCAATGCGTAATTCTCCTGAAATAGTCTGGAGACTTGGGGAGACCTCGCTGGATAAATAATGATATACGGTACACACTATATACACAAGTGTAAACAAGACAGCTTGCACGAAAACCCGTAACACGCACACCCATGTAGCACCCCCTATGGGTCTTAACGACCCCTTGACAGCAACAGATCTGGGGGCAGTAGGCTGCACCGAGATGATCTTCAGTAAAATACGTTTGTACAACTTCTTTCGCACCGTACGTAGCCAGCCGTGCTAATCAGAGGTGCGGAGGAAGGACGCCAAACTGAACGCAAAAAGCAGTTCAAAAGGAATTGGTTTTCAACTTGTATTTAGAAGCGCATAGCTCCAAGTGGATTCCTAAACTATTGGCAATTTATGGACACTCTTCGATTAACGAAATCGAGTCTCCGAGTTAATGACAATTCACACGGCACGAGATGCTCAGCACCCGGGAGGCAGCGTCAAACATCCGCGACTGGAGAAGTGATAAAGAGCTTAATAGCTCATCAGATTCCTCCTCCAGCATAAATCAGAGCTGATTTTCAGCAACGAGGTCCAATCACGTGTCATTTAAACTGTCTTATCGACAGACATGTTCTTCACCTGAGGACGGCTGCTTGCGTTGTGGCCGAAACGTCGTGAGAATTATTTTATTATGTTTTATTTTCATTATTTTATTACTTCCCTTCTACGTGACTTTACCGAAAGAACCAAGAAGATGAGGTCCAATCACATTCAAACGGTAATGTAAAATACTGAAATGAGTATCTACTGAATGCTAGTCTCAAGTTTTGCAGTCGCATTTTCGACCAGCTTACGACCAATTCAATGTGAACCCAGCCAACTCTTGGGAAGAGAAGCAGCAATGACATGGGTGGAAAAAACCCCGATTTTTCCAGCGGCAGGCATTGGGTTTTTTCTTTAATAACAATTAAACCCGATTTCGGGGAATTAAACCCTGGTTTAATGAATACGAAACTCTGATCCAAGGCTAAGGCTGCTTCCTCGTCGGTGCTGCTATCGTACTCGGGGAGCCGTCGGGCACGGGGTAGTCGTAGAATGCGGCGGGCAGGTTGGTCTTGATGAACACGAGCTTCTCATCCACAATCGTGGGCGCCAGTGAGTTCCTTAGCTTGGAATGGATGAAGGCCATGGTTGAGAAGTGCGGTTCTGCAATTAGAACCAATTAAACCGGATTTCTCCCAATCTCAGATGATCGGGTTTAATATAAAAAGACAATTAAACCCGATTGTAAAAAAGCCGACTGTGCGTCACCCTTGAGCAATGAGCATCATCAGTACTTGGACGGGCGACCACCGTGGCTTTCCTAAATGGAACTTCTTTCGCACCGCACGTAGCCAACCGTGCCACAATCGAAGGTGTGGCCAGGAGAATGACAGTGTTGAGCGTTACTCTGCAGCAGTACGCATGGGTTTCTCTCCCACGTGGCACACTTCAATGGAACCTGCCCGACCGAAAGTCTCGAGACTGTGGAGGCTGTTTTCACGGGTAAATAATCGCCACCGTTACTTTCACATTGGTCATGAAACTGGCCTTTGCTCTTCGTCGTATTATATAAACCTTCGCCACAAAGCCAGCACACGTTTTAGGTTGATACAGGAACCGTTGCCACATTCGTTTACTGCCATATAAAAAAAAAACTTTTATTCCGACAGCTATGGAGCATACACGCACACGGCAACTTTGATTTCTCCAAAATCAAGCGAAAACTGGGCTCCTTTGTCAAGACTTTTTATATAAATAAATAAACATGACAGTGGGAATTTTAGTGACTTAGGCAACGGCGGATTAGCCACACACATGCACCCAAAACAATGTTAAAGCCTCTAGCCGTGCGATGTGATCCCTATGAAAACACTTGTTGTTCTGGTTGGCAGTGGCGATAGTGACAAATCGGTCTCCAAGCACAAACCGTATTTTGAAAACAGCACTGCGGGGAGGGTGTGTGTATGTGCTCACTAAGTCAATGCCCGACTGCCTTGGGGGTTTGTGTGTGTCTGGAATATCATACGGACGGGGTTCTCTCTTTTTGTTGTTGTACATAACCACTTGCACAATTGACATGCGCGTTTGTTAAACTATCCAAATAAAAACAAAGGGAATGAACGATGGCTACTTGTGGTCGCTGTCATGCTAGTAAAATATGTGCATGGTCGCTACTCGTGCTGAAACATGGTCTCTGTGCAGCTCGATTGACCGGGAGAAGTTCAAACTACACTGGTTGATCTTAGACCTTTAAGGAATACAGGGATGAGATTGTTTTCAAGTAGAAGTGTGATAATCGACACCCTGACGATTTTTGCAATTCAGGCTAGCAATTTCATTCAATAATCAATTCTATTTTAACACTGGTGAATGCAGTGGTCACTAGTTATGGTAGCTGCCACGGGAACCTGCTACATACAGCACCTAGTTAGAAAAACATTGATCATTACACACACGATGCGAATATTGTGAAGAATGGGTATTAATCGAATAATTGATGCGTCTTTACACCCCGACTGTGTAACCAGTTAAAAGCCCAATGAGACCTGAAGTCTCTTGCAAAGGAGACCTGGCACATGGGAAACGAAGTAAACTTTCCACATGTCATTATCACTGCCTTCAAACGAAATATATAACGGACTGACAAGAAGGACAATGGCCCTTCTTCACAGCACCTGAGGGCATAGGTCGACTTGGGAGTTTGGAGGTCACCACTTTAGTCTGTAGGTGCCCAAGGGAGATCTACTTGTGACACGGGACATCGAGTTAACCAACTTCAAAACACTACAAATCCCCTCGCACCCATAACATCACCATTTTAAGTTTTCCGTTTAATTAAAATGTCTTGTTGGTTAACGACTTGTTTTGCGCAAGAGATTACTTTTTTCCATGCAAGGACAAGGCAGGCATCTTGCCAGCTGGAAACAATATATTGCCATTAACAACACAGCCCAGTAAAAAGGGGGGACCAGTGGCTCGCAGATTAGTCTCTGATTTAACCAAGCGTAGCCTCAGGCCAGTCTGAAGGTGCTCTTTTTTCCGATGGGTCGTTCTCGAGACGTTCGGCCAATTTTTTTTTATCTTTTACGTGCAAACGAGGAAACCGCACCTCGTGGTGGATAAGAGGGAGAATAACTCGCATCGCTGCACAAAGATAAGTTCAGCAAGCCACTCGCGAGACAGCCTTGCAGGCCGGGGAGTGCCAAACACACAATCATCTCCCGTGAACCACCAACCCCAGCCTCCTGAATGCTCGACGACTGCGCAGCAATGGTACATTCCAAATTACTGTACAGTATTAGTATTTGTTCCCAAGCGAGTGCGGCTACACAGACAAGGGGTTATTTACTTTGAAACGTTGCACTGATGAATAGGGGTGTGGCGTCTTTCAAAGGAGCAAAAAAAAGGTTTTGTGGTTCTAAATGTACACTGTATGTATGTATACATGAATGCTTGTGCACACAAGCATACACACACACACAGAACCTTATACAGACGGCAGGAGAAAGTGCTATTAGCGAGCACATATTAAGGCTGGCTTTGCACACAAGGTGGTGGTGCCAGCAGCAGACAAACCCCACCGTCGCCCGAGTGCTGTTGACCACTTTGTATGGGGTACCCATTCGGGGCTGAGTTAACCTAGTGGAGGCCAGGCGCATTCAAAGAGAAATATGCAATCCTGCGTGAGCTGCACACTGCTCGGGTCTCTTTATGGTAGACATGGTTCTCGTCGTGGGAACGTGGAATTTCCACTCCTTGGCTTTGGGCAGCCAACGGATATAGGAGCAGTGAGCAAGCAGATGTCGAGTTAAGCAGAAGGCTGCGAGTACAAATCCTGGTCTGAGATTGACCCATCATCCGTACGGGATTAATAAAATCTGTACCACGTTGTGGCAAGTGAAGTGGCTATGAATAGACCTGCCTCTGCTGTGGGAATGTGGAATTTACACCACTGGTTCAGGGGCTGCGGTGGCAAGATGTGATCTCCCTCCCCTGGTGTGCAGGAGGTCTTCGGTTTGATTTCGACCGCGACGCTTGTATATTTGGAGTTTTCATGTTCTCCCTGTAGTCGTGTGGCTTCATCTCCAGGTTTTCCCTCCACATTTAGAAACATGCATTTAGACTATTTTTGCTGCTATACGTTTCCACATAAGCCACTTCTTTTTGCTATAATTTGTGTCCAGGTTCGCTTCTGAAAAAGAGCTTCATAGCTGTGAGCTTCACCTGTTAAAATAAAAGTTTTAGTTTATAGTTTAGTTTAAGTACCACCCGCTCGTATAAGCAGGAAACGACGCTGACGTGTTTGAAACGATAAACAGGAGGTGGGTGTTTGGAGGCCGGGCAGCTGAGGGGGTCAGAATGGCTGTGTTGGAGACACCAAGAGTTGGGATTTCACCCGCCCGCGATTAGGCCGGGTTTTCAAGTGTAGCGCAATCGCGGATCTCAAGCCCAGTCACCAACCATTCCACGCAAGAATAACGCGTAACATTTGGGTTTCACTTAACGCTGCACCTTCAAGATCTGAAAATGAAATGTTTTATGACCTTGCAACACTCTTTGCAGGGAACATAAAAGGCATGCATGCCCCCTAGTGTGGATGAGAGGCTGCTGACGAACCTGAGGAAGTAGTTCTGATGTTATCTTCCGGGGTCATTCTCTGAAACAAAGTGCTCGACTGCTCGTTGCCAGAAGACCTTAACGCCACGATTCATCATCAACAGCCATGCTTAATCCACTGCTGGACGAAGGCCTCTTTCCAGGCTGTTGCCACCTCTCAGTATCCTGCGCTAAGAACACATTTACCTAGCACTTTGCACACGAACTGAGCTCATTGGTCCATCTCCACGCTCGGAGATGTCCCCCTCGGACGCGTTCTGTTCCTCGATGCCGATGTTGCAGCCGGAATATACTTGCGAGATGTCGCATGGAAAGGATGACGAACGGCGGGAAGTGGGTTGGGGGGGCAAGTTTTGGTGTTAACTAGCTCGTCCGGTATGCAGCAGGTCGTGGGTTCGATCCCAACCCCTGACGATGCCTGCATATTTGTTGCATGTCTCTCTCCCCGTGGTCACGTGGAATCTTTCTCCAGGTGCTCCGGTTTTTTCGCTCCACATTTCGAATGTGCGTTTAAATGTCCACATGATAAGCCACTTCATTGAGCTATCATTTGTGGCCAGGTCGCTTCTGAAAAAGAGCGACATAACTTAGTGGGCCTTACCTGATAAAATAAAAAGTTCATAGGGTGTTTAATAGTTTGGCCACTAGCGTTGCCTGGGCAGCGCGCGCACGGCCGGCAGCAACTTCTTCTCGATAGAGCGAATCGCGCCGAGGATGTCACTCTGCTCGGCCCCCAGCAGCGATGCCGTCACCTCCAGCACAAAGCGGAAGCTGTGGGGCAGCCTGGGGGGTCACGCACGCGGAGGGGGGGGGGGCGACAGCCAGAAGTGAGCATCATGCATCAAAAACTTCAGATGTTCAAACCAAGTGCCAAAGCAATGTCCTCAATGCAAATGCGCTGCTGATGTGGGAAATCATAACCGGTGCCCCCCCCTTACAGAAGCGAAGGCGACATCGTCTGACAGCAAGATGGGCCTGGGTTCGAGTCCCCATTTGGGGGGCCTTTCTGTTTTGAGCTTGTATGTTCTTCCCATGTCCTCCACGAGTTTCCTCCGGGTTCTCTGCTTTGCCCGAATAACTTAAAAACCCACACACAATGCAACTGGCATTGGCAAAGACATTCCAATGCTGAACAATTACCCACAAATGACTCAACTGGAATTACATAACGCTAAATTGTCACCCCCAAAAATGAAAGCTTGGCAGAATCCTCCTGGAGTCTTGAGTCTCTGTGAGGCTTTCCTGGGTAAACAAGCATTATAATAATCGTTGGGTCACATCCTACACATGGACGGTACACAGGCATGAGCCTGCAAGCACAACGCAGGCTGGGCAAACACTGCAGAAGACGTCACTAAACAAGCTGCATCGATGCTGCTCACGAAGGTGCTGGTATTAATTCAGGTTGGAATGCAATGCGAGTGGCAGGCGACGTGGTTGTGGGGTCGATGGTGCCCTCGGGGTCTATCCTATTATCCGTGTTTACTCTCGCAAACCACTCCCTTTTATACGGGCGGCGAAGCGCAGATAAACGCGGATGATCGGCCAAATTTTCCGCCACTGTCAAATCACTCGGATGACAGCAGGAACCTTCCTGCTCACAACGCGATTTGGTACGGATCAATCGGCGGCACGGATAAGGACGGATAAGGATGGATAAGGATGAATAATCAGCCAACTGTCAGGACGAGCTTTGCTCTGCCAGCAATACCGGCGCTGGGAATTAGCTGAGAAGGAGTCAAATGTTAAGTGATGCCCACGGGCGAGTGGGTTGTTGCCACAGCATGGGTGGCACCTCCATCCCACAAGTGTGGGTGGGTGGGAGGGAGGGAGAGCTGGCATCTACTTGCATAGATGGCTTGGGAAATGTTTTCGAATTTGGAAAATATGAACCTTGACACCGGTACACAATAGCTTACTCTTAAGAGTGACGTGACAGGATCTTTAATATCAACTTTGAAGCAGACGGCACGCAGAATATTACTGTTAATACGCCCGCAGTAATAACCAGGGCGACTAACAGGATGCCAACCGCGAACCTCTGCAACAAGCAGCGAACGCGCTACCGATGGGCCATGTCATCGCCCATGACCAGGGATTGGCAACCAAAATAACAGGAGCCATTTTATTCGAATACGGTAAAAAAAAAACTCAATATGTCACGAAGCAGTCCTTAAAGAGCTGCACGTGGCTCCAGAGCTCCAAGTTGCCAACCCCTGCCCATGACAATGGGCTGTGGGCTATTTTTCCTCCTGGGCCTGGCAAGTTGGGGGTCCATGACTCCATGCGCCACTTCCCGTGTCCGACGTTCCCCCACGTACCCATGTTTCCCAGGCTGGCGGGGCGTGCTCCAGTAGCGTCCGCTGCTCACAACGCATCTCTTGAGGCGTTTGTCCATCACGCCAACGACGGCGTGGCCGTAAAAACGCGACGCCGAGTCAGCTCCAGGCCCCGGCGCCTCCTGCTGCTCCACTCCGGCCAGCGAGCGCCGCACCTGGTGCTCCAGGTCCAGCGCCAACTCTGTGCCGGGGTGGGGGGGGGGGGGGGGCGGGCCGGTAATCCCACAATGCACTGCACATCGTCGAGTGCCCTGACCGCAGCACTACTGGGCTGGGAGTTGTCACCCGGTTCACATCATTGGTGAGTTACATCTAAACCTGTTCTGGGCACCATTTTCACCAATGTGCCTTGACCGGCAAGGAGAAGCATGGTCATTACAGGCATGGCGTCGGTAGGCCCTCATCCAGCAGTGGATTGACATACGACTGTAAATGGTTACTGTTATTATCTGGCCAGGTGGCTCCGTGGTAGAGCGAGTGGCCCGCAATCGGAAGGTTGCGAGTTCAGATCCTGTTTCGGGGTTGACGTAGCCCATTGTCCCTGCTGGAGCCGATAAACAGAATACAACTCTGTTGTGGGCAAGAAGTCACTGGTAGTTGTCTTCTGGATAAACTCGCCCCTGCCATAGGAATATGGAATATCTACAATTGGCTCAGGAGTATGGTGATGACTTGCTGTTGCTGCTACTAAGTGACTCACTCTGCCTTTTGGCGCACATGAAGTGGTAGCTGCGGGAGCTGTAGTAGAACGTACGGCTTTGCACCCAGGCCCGCCTAAAAAACGACAACAACACACGGACACAATAACCCTAATGCAGACGTCCCTCGACTTGCAATGCAATTACAGGCAACAGAAAAATGAGGCTGAGTCTATTTTTCAAGGGAGAACTGCGAAGCGAATAAAATACGGAACACATTTGGATAAAACAAATATCGAAGGCCGGTTGCAATGCTGAGCAGTATAGGAAAGCCTTCGATTCATACAACGTTTAACAAGTCTGCAGGATGAAATCTACAAACAGCGGTTAATATGACCAAAGCTGGTCAATTGTAAAACGAGGCAAGGGGCACGGTCCCAACAGCACTTACATTCGTAACATCTAGCAACAAGTCCACCTGTCTGCATCATGAGATGCCATCGCACAAGCGTTTCACAGGTACAAGTTTGACTGTTTAGTCTCACGGCGCACCCAGACTGGAAGGAAGGCATGTAAAGATGCACGGAAGTAGAGAAGCAGCACCCTTCCGATGCATACAAACATCCAAGCAGCATTTTTATAGATGCAACGATGCGGAGAAGCAGAGGAGCAGCACGCTTCTGGATAAAGAGACGGAGAGAATGAGCACGCTTCCAGACACAGAGAAGCAGAGAAGACAGAAGCAGCACGTTTCCGGATGCAGAGAAGCAGAGGACCAGCACGCTTCTTTCTGGATGCAGAGAAGCAGCACGTTTCCAGACGCGAAGAAGCAGAGGGGCAAGCATGCCAGCGAGGCATCGTGGGCCGCGGGTGCGGTTGGCCGTCGCGGCGTCACGTGACCTCACCGGGAGCCGACGCGGGCCTCGGCGTCGCGCTCTCGGCTAGCGAAAGGCGTCGCCGCGCGGCACCAATCGTCGAAGCAAAACCACGGCTCTGCAGCAACGACAGAAGCAAACCTTGGGCTCGCCGATTACGCTCGACTCTCACGCACGCAATGACTTAAGTGAATCAGATTGCAGGTTTTATTTGTCAGCAGCAAGGGCCCGATGAGCTGCTTGGCTCTATTTCAAGGGCGTCCTGCGACTGTACAGATGTTGTCCAGTACACAGCTCTGAGTTACAATCACAGCGACAATGGTCACAATATTAATGGTAAGTATCGGGTGTACATGTTACAGGAATAGAGAACCAGTTGTAAATGTAAAGAAAAGAAAACATTTTATGGACAAAAAATAAAGGAAACCATTTCATTTAACAAAGCAAACAATCAATAACCGAGAACTCTACGTGTGATCCACAGACTTGGGCTCACGCTTCTCTGCGGATCTATTATAACTACATCTGTGAAGGAACCTGAGTTCTAGGAGCAAACGGAGGTTTCTCACGGCCGGCAATGATTGAATTCCCAAATATATTGTGATGGGCATTCCAAAACGAGGGAGCAGCCACATTTTTCACAGACGACATGCAAATTATATCAGAATTATTAAAAACAATGTTCACGACCAACGCGGCATGGGAAAGCTTTCATCCAGCCATGGATTTTCAAGGGGGCTGTAAAAATATGTTGTATGCATGCCCTGAACCCATGACTCCAGGAACTTCCACGTACCTCCTGGCTTGGCAGGGAGCTTTCTCACGGCTCTCGATATTTTCCTGGTTGAAAGCACAAAGCGTCAGCCCCCACACAAAAACACCAGAGCGCGAGGGTGACGGTTAGTGTTGGGCGTTCAGGCCTAGGGTCACTGTTAATGTTTCATGTCAGGGGTAGGGTTAGTGCAAGTGTCAGTTTGCACATTCTCGGTTAGGACTAGCGGAGATGGTTGTGTTGGCTTGGGGTTTAGAACACAGACCTGATAGGCACCGATGAGATCATCATGGGTTATAATCTGGGAAGCCGCTATTACCAAAGTAGGCAGTTAATGGCCTTCGTCCGGTCAGCAATGACTGCACAAAAAAGACAATGAAGATTTTTTTCCTTCTTCAAATTTCCAGATCCGAGAATCAAAGCGATGTTTGGCTCGTCAGCCCAAGAAGTTGCACGTGGAAAAGTGCAGTGCACCTCGCGTGGATACGACGTGACTTGAAGGGTTCTCAGAGGTAGTTCTGCGACATTAGCTTCCACGAGCTGCTCTTGTTACACACAGGGGTGATGCATCACGGCTCTACGAGAATTCTGAATGTGCACTACATCTCATTCCATTGTGCCAATAGCACAGGTGAGATTAGATTGCTAAACTAAACAATTTTAATTTTATCAGGTCAAGCCCAGAGCTATTAGTTATTTTTCAGAAGCAACCTGGTCACAAATGATAGCTAAACAAAATGCCTTAAGTGGAAATTTATAGCAGCCAAATACCCTAAACGCATGTTTCTAAATGCGGAGGGGAAAAATCAGAGGACCCGGAGAAAAATCCACGAGACCACGAGGAGAACACACAAACTCAAAACATACAGGCATCGTCAGGGTTGGGATCGAACTCGCAACCTCCTGCATACCTGGCGAGGAAGATAACATCTTGTTATCGGGGGCGTGGGCTGAAGGAACGAAAAAAATTATTTGAAAAAGAGCCATGTTTTACAGATGCTAGTGCCGATGAATAAAGGCGGCAGGACGCACCACTCGGTGCAGTCGTCGAGCACCAACAGCAGCTTGAGCGCCACCAGGATACTCGCCACCGCCACCAGCTCCAGCCGCAGCGTCTTCCAGCGTCGCGCCGTGGGGTCAAAGGTCAGCCGAGAGGGAATGAGCAACTGTGGCAAGGCCATCACCCAGCAGCACCAGGGCAGCAGTGAGTCTGCAGGGGGCACAGCAGGGGTAAGCGGACACATGCCACCGCCTTCACGCACGAGCAACAATATCGATGAGCAGAAAATTCGCCTCCATATATATTCGTGCCACCACATATTTTTAAAAAACCAGTCTATTGTACATTCCATCATCAGCCAGCATAGGCTTGTGGGAATGGATAATATCAGCAACACTGGTTCAATACAAGCAATACTTCTGAAATTGTGCACCTAAACATCGAGCCATTCACCAACACAGAGTTTCCTTGTGTTGAACCACTGCTGCTGAAAATGCACTCTGAGAAGGCAGTGTGGCTGAAGGATTGTATGCGCGAGGATCACGAGGGGATGTGTGGTGCACACGTGCATATGCTGTGCCCAAGGGTTACGTTTGACCACGTGGTAGGCATGATACAATTCACTTCTCCTCCTCTGTCAGCAATTCTATGAATTGTCACGATTCAGAATTGTGAATCAATTATAAAAAAAAATAATGATTGGATTGTTTTGATGTTTGTTTTATAAAGATTATTTCGTTTCATTAGCTAAAGTGTAACAATGACATATGCTTTTCATACCATTGGCATAAACGGTCATTTGTCGATTCTCAAACGCACGATTAACTCTCCCTATCATGAGTTTAGGAATACATTTTTAACAAATTAGATTCGAGAACACGCAAAGGTGTAGTTGCTCACAAACAGCAGGAAAGCACAACGCCCCCCTCATGCACTGAACGCGTGTCACATGACCACCACATTGCATGTACGATGCACTCAGCCTTATCTCAGCCACCAGCGTGAAAAAGCATGATCGTACGGAAGTATTGTTGTTTAATTCTTGATTTGAAGTTTTCGTGACGGTAAAGTCACGTAGGTAAAAAAGAAAAGAAAAATAAATTAAATCACGACGTTTCGGAGGTAACACAAGCTTCCGTCTTCTAAGAGGAGGCAACACAAGCTTTCTTCTTCAGGCAATTTTGCTGTGACAGTGCCACCTGAAGACGGAAGCTTGTGTTGCCTCCAAAGAGTATTGTTGTTTAGGCCGCAAACTGCAAAACAGTTCAAAATGTCGTCGTCCCATCGGTCAGTAGAGAAATAACGAGCCTGGTCTACTCCCGTCTCTTGGTACTGGGCAGGTCGAGGTGGTGCAGGAAGCTCGCTGCGAGCGCGTGTGGATGTGTGACCACTGTGGTTGTTGTGGTTGGTGTTGTGGTCATTGTTGTGATTGTTATGGTGGTGGTACCAGGCAGGCCTAGGTGGTGCAGGAAGCTCGCTGCGAGCACGTGTGGATGTGTGACCACTGTGGTTGTTGTGGTTGGTGTTGTGGTCATTGTTGTGATTGTTATGGTGGTGGTACCAGGCAGGCCTAGGTGGTGCAGGAAGCTCGCTGTGAGCACGTGTGGATGTGTGACCACTGTGGTTGTTGTGGTTGGTGTTGTGGTCATTGTTGTGATTGTTATGGTGGTGGTACCAGGCAGGCCTAGGTGGTGCAGGAAGCTCGCTGCGAGCGCGTGTGGATGTGTGACCACTGTGGTTGTTGTGGTTGGTGTTGTGGTCATTGTTGTGATTGTTATGGTGGTGGTACCAGGCAGGCCTAGGTGGTGCAGGAAGCTCGCTGCGAGCGCGTGTGGATGTGTGACCACTGTGGATGTTGTGGGCATTGTTGTGGTCATTGTTGTGGTCATTGTTGTGGTCATTGTTGTGCTCATTGTTGTGATTGTTATGGTCGTGGTACCGGGAAGGCAGAGGCGATGGAGGAAGCTCGCGACGAGCGCATGTGGGTGCACGATGCTTCGCTCCGTCACCTCGGGGAAGCACGGCAGCTCAAGGAACTCAGCGAGGAGCTGAGACTCGCGCAGGACTAGTCGGTAGCGGGGCAACCACTACTCACAGGGACAGGTAGACATGAGGACCAGAGGACAGGGTGACATGGGGACAGAGTGACATGGGAACAGGGAATACATGGAAAGGGGATAGTTAAGTAGGTAATAAGGTTTATATTATTTTATTATTTCCCTTCTACGTGACTTTACCGAAAGAACCAAGAAGAGGTAATAAGGTAGTTATGTGGGTTGGGAGCCAGACAGTGTTGAGATGCATGCATGTTAGGCAGTGGGTATGGTGGTGGTAGTGGTGGTACCGGTAGGTAGACAGCCACCATTTAAACCACGAGGCAACACAATGCCACACACACACAATCTTTGGCAAGGGAAACCTGAGCTGTAAAGAAAATACGCAAACTCGAGGCGAGATTAAGTGTTTACGTCCCGAACGCTGACACCAGGCCAATGAATCACGCGTTAAGAACCCCACGCCTACATTGTGCCGAGTCTATTTGCGCTGTTGCTGCTGCTGCTGCTGTCAGCTTCATGTCTCAACTCTCAACGACAGTGCGGGCTTTTCCCTGCAAACACAATCGCGCCAAAACACCATTGTGAGGCTGCTGCGCGTGCGACCACCAAACACGCACCCAACGTGTCCAAACTTTTGTCGCCCACCCCACCCCACCAACGCAAACAGCCCCGTCGCTATGACCACCGCGACCAGAGAGGGGCGGCCAAAGAGGGGCAAGCTCGCTGCGTGGCGCAGACTCGGCAACACGAAGGCTGCGGTTGCTGGCACCTCACTGCCGCCTAGGGGTCGTAACGCGAAACGTCGCATCCAGCGCTGGGCAAGGTGCCGCGCCACCCGCAAGCCTCAGCACTCATTCGGGCAGAAAATCACCCGGGCGAGTTTTTTTTTTGTACTCTTAGGTTTTTTCGGTAAAGTTACGTAGGTAAAAATAAATAATAAAAATGAAATATAAATAATAATAGAAGTAAAATTATAAATCACGACGTTTCGGAGGCAACACAAGTCTCCGTCATCAGGTGGGACCGTCAAGAGCTAGATCACTTGACTTTACCGACTTGACTTTACCGAAAAAACCTAAGAGTATGAATCCTTGCAGTCACGAAAGCTTCAAATCTATTAAAAAAATTGTAGTGGGAATCATGAATTTTGAATCGCGTCTCGATGCCCCGCATGTTTAAGATCTGACGATGGGAAAGCAGCGACCGCACGCTCGCCGCCCCAGGGAGGGCTCGCCATGCCAAGTCTTACAGTCGGTCTGAAGAAACGAGTATCGTGACCGTAGATCTTCATTTCCTCGGGGAAGCTCTCAAAGGCGCTGGCGTAGGGCACAGTGCCACACCTCACGAGCCTGCGCACACACACGAAGACAAAGATCCCCCGTAGAGCCTAACGGGCTGTTGGGGCAAGTGCTGCTTGCAAGCACCTGTGAAGGCAGGCACAGAAGGTGCCTGCCTTCACCACGCCAGGCTGAATTTTAAGGGCCTGGGGTAGGACTGTGACAGCTGCTGAGGAACTTTAAGTGGACTTGGGTGAGGATTGTGTGGCTCCAGAATATACATGATACATTTTTATTTTATTTTACCAGGTAAGGCCCACTGAGCTATATAGCTCCTTTTCAGAAGTGAACGGCCCACAAATGATAGCTCAACGAAGTGGCTTGTCACGTGGAAATGTACAGCAGCCAAATACTCTGAACGCACGTTTCTCAATGTGGAGGGAAAAATCGGAGGACTTGGAGAAAATCCAAGCGACCACAGGGAGAACATGCAAACTCCGAATATACAGGCATCGTCAGGGTCGGGATCGAACCCACAACCTCCTGTATACCAGGCGAAGTAGTTAACATCTCACCACCGTGGCGCTTTGAGGGCCTTGAACCGATTATAAAGTTGGGGAGATGCCCGTGTGAGATTCTGGCCCCCAGGCGAGGTCATCCCCGGTCACGTGACGCACACCTCAGCAGGTCAAGCAGGGTGGGCGGCTGGCGCAGCCACATCAGGGCCAGGTGGCAGAAGGCGAGCGAGAGGGAGAGGTGAAGGTCTTCCACGCGGCCGCTGTGGGACAGCAGCTTCCCATCCACCGAGCCCATCTTAGTCTCGCACTCATCGCCTGCGCAGCATCGTTCATGGCACAATTCGGCAGACCATAGCGTCAAGCCCTCGTGTAATAGCAGCAGTGCGAACAGGATATATACATGCGTCAATGAGGGTTTATCGCGGTTCAGTCATCCCAGCCGGTTAGTTCAAAACACCTCAGGCTGACCCCACGACCTCCTGTCAGCGAAGCCTTTGACACTTCACCTGGACTTAAAGTACACCTAGCCTGGCACAAGGGCTTTGGTGACGTCACTGCCACTTCGTGGCGAATGGCAGCTGCTGCTGTTTCTGGATTGCGGTTCACTCGGTGTATTTTAAAAAAAATACAATCTTCACGAGCTCGAGACCAAATTACAAAGAGCCTACAACAAAATCACCTTGAGGCATATGCTACGGCATAGCATATGCCTCTGTGTGGTGTCAAAGTATACGCCACTAAGTGATACATACCGGCTTTACCGACAATTTCCATGGTGTTATCTTTGAGGGATGGAAAGGTTGCTTTTGTAATTCACATTTCCATAAAAAAATATGTAAATGCACGAACATATAGCAACATAAGATATTTATTAATCAATAGCTTATTGATAGAATGAAACAAATACTGTTAATTTTGTCATCTCATATTGAAGTATTTTCATTTCAAAACAGGGAAATGCAGGGTCCATACATATACGCTGTAAATTACGGAAGTTCTATGCTAATCCCTTTCATTCGTACGGCATTTGAGAAGAAACTTGCAAAGTGTTTTAGCAGTGCGTTGAGTCTGGTAATCCAATCGATGGCATCAGGAGTTGTTTAATGTATACGCGTTGGTGCCTCCAGTGTAAGCGTAGTATAATGGGCAGTGGTCGGCTATGTGATTAACAGATCGCCCTTCACCACATTCACAATAGGGGCCCATTCTTGCATGTTATATTTGTGAGGAAACATCCACACATGCGGTGTGTGCTATGAATGCGATTAAGCGGAAACCCGTTGCCGTCTATGCAGGCTAAAGCCGGACAATTAAATATTCGCTGTGACATTGAAGACTAATGAGGCAAAAAAAAAACATTAAAAAAACCGGGATGGTCAAAATTAGACGAATAAGAAACGATTCTCCAACAGAATTGTGATAACCAATCGTGACCATCTACGCGGGAGTGAAATCGTCACGTGCCTGCCCAACAGACGTGCGTGTATGCGAGCCATTTGGTTTTTTGGGCCGTCTTCCTTTACGTCTCTCCAGCGCTGCGAGTGAAAGCCTCTCCAGCGCCGGCGCGTTGGCAAAAGACTCACCAGAGGAGTGGCCGCTGCCGACATCACCACTTGTGGCGTCGCTCTGGGACGACCAGGCGGAGAAGGAGTTCAGGCTCGTCATCTCCAGGTCAATGGGGTTCACGCTCAGTTCACTGCCGCTATCCACCGGGCTCTGAGGCACGCGGACACAGAGACGTGCGAGACGTAAACTAGTGAAACAAAAGCAATGGCTCAATAGCTCGGTGGACGATTGGTGTGGTCATGTTGGAGACACAAAGGCCAAATCCACAGACTTAACTATTTGTTTCAAGACTCAGTTCTCAGGCTTAGAAATTCTCAGAATTGTGTTTGCATCTTGGGTTTAAACCTTGTGTTTTTTTGTGTCCTGCATCTCAGACTTAGGTCCTGAGTTTCGGGTTTAGCCCTCAAGGTTTATGCTTAGCCTTCCATTGTAGGCTACGGCCTTCAGTCTAAAGCCCTGTTTGAAGTTTTGGCCTCGCCTCTTAGGCCTGGGCCTAATGCCGGGGCTGTGCCGATCATACCGTCATCGGGGGCTTAGCAGGGGCTTCACTCTCCCCGGGTTCCACATATGCCCTGGCCGTGTACTGCAGGTAGCGCCTCCACATGTGCAGCAGAAGATCATCCTGCAACGACAGCAACCGTCATTCACTATAGGTCTTGGCCAGGCTTGGTGCATTAGCGATAGTTATACAAATTGTTGGTGCAAATGCTGTTAAAGAGCCCCTATGAAGGTGCGCAAGCACACAAGGGGGTGGGTGGCCAGCACCAGACCCAGCCACCTTTTTCTCCCAACTGTTGATATTTACACATCATACCAGGTACTCATTTGAGGCTGAATCACCATAGGACTAGTTTAGACAATCATCACTGATGTTGGCCTTGAGCAGGAATCAAGCCCGGGTCGCCAGGATTGTAGCACAGCACGCTAACCGCTACACAAACACTTCCCACACATAATCATACAGACATATGGTATGGTAGGTAACCGGAGAACTCAAAAGAAACACATGGAGAACAGGGGGAGAACGAATATACACACTCCACACAGAAAGGTGCCAGAGAAGAGAATCGAACCCAGACAATTGTCACTCTGAAGCAACAAGTGTTACCACTGCATCACCGAGCTGCCTTACCTTGAGGCGAGCATTAACGCCCAACGCTTGCAGGGCATCTGCCTGCATGCACAGCACCATCTGAAAGCCTTCGCACGTGTACCACGTGTAGCTGCGCCCTGCACACAAAGCGGAGGCAGTGCTGTGGCTTGCGCGTGGTGTGGAGCCTGAGCACGCTCAATCCCCCCCCCTAAGGAGACACAATAAATACTGTGACAGCAGTAGCAGCAGCAGTAGTGTCAAGGTGTGCCTACACTCGTACCAGATTTGTCCTTTCCCCTGATGCCCTTGCTGATGGTGATGACTTTGGCCGAGGAGTCAAAGTAGGCACTGGGGTCATCGCATTCCAGCACCTTCTGCTCACAGTCACAAACGTCCATGTAACTCTGCAACTCACAGCCACAACTTACACTGCAAACTGCATGTAAATATATTGTCTTATTGTTTGCAATTTTTCGTCGAGTGTTAATGCGATGGCGCTTTGAGTGGCGGATTTGTGCCGGAAAGGTGCGACATTTGTAAACAAAAATAAAATTGACCTGACTTGCTCACAACTGTGATCACATGATCACACGTGTCGAAAAGGTCGCGTGATTACTGTATTCGAAAAGCAACAACTCACACCTCCCAAGATTGGACAAACTGTCACGTATTCCTAGTCACGATTCAATTCTGCTTCTTTTGAGTTTAGTTTCTTATTCCGACAGTTGAATTAGAGGAATCGCAACGGTGCCATCTCAGCCCTCTTCGTCACCTGGCCACCTCGACAGCCGTGTAATTGCTGTATGCAATGGTCACATCTGTCCTTACATGTGTAGCTATGACAGGGGCTAGGAACCTGCGGCTCCAGAGACGAATGCGGATTTTTAAGCACCGCTTGGTGACGTGCCGTTATTTATTCAGGACCACCGTTTCGTATTCATATGCATTGCGGCTCTTGATATATTGAGTTTCTTCCCGAATCCTCTTCTTGTTCTTTTGGTTGCTGACCCCTGAGCGATGACCACAGGTGTGCCCGGCTATTGCAGCTATCAGCTCTAATTCTGATTACGGTGTAGGGAGTCTACCCATGCATTTAAGATAATTTAGATTATTACACGCTTTTATTTAACTCACTCCGTCTGTTGTTGTATCCTCAAATCTTGTAACTCAATTTTTGCCCACTTCCCAATGTGCTATCGACTGCAAACTTGGTATAGGTATGTCATACTGATGACAAGACTATATTCTATCATAAAAAAAGTAATATTTTTAAACTATCTTTTTTACGGGTATAATTGTCCACGCTCAACTCACGTTGGCTGTAAATAATCACGGTCCCTGACGTTATGGCAAGCTTCGGGGAGCCACTTTCTGGAGTCGTGGAGTTCTGCAATTACTCGTACGGTACATTCTAGATTTTAAGCTTTCGTGACTGCAAAGATTCATACTCTTAGGTTAATTTCGGTAAAGTCACGTAGGTAAAAAAAATAAAATAATAAATGAAAATAACTAGTGAATCACAAGTGATTTAATAGAGTTATTTTCATTTTTGTATTTTTACCTACGTGACTTTACCGAAAAAAACCTAAGCGTATCGTACGGTACATTTCATTAAAGCATGTTTTTTTTAATAAGTATTTTTTAATATTTTATTTTGCTGCTATAAATGTCCAAATCATAAGCCACTTTGTTCAGCAATCATTTGTGGCCAGGTAGCGTCTGAAAAATAAGTTAATACCCCAGTCGTCTTTGCCTCATAGGATGGGGATGGTTCAGTTTTATTTGCATATTTTTGGGTCATTTGTTGACCTTTCTTGTACTTTGCACGATCATGTTTTTGGTATTATTTGTTGTTGTAACGTTCTTACCCCGTGCACCTACTGGACATCTGTGAAAAAGAGCTTTACAGCTCATCGGATTCCTCCAGTATAAATATTCTGATTCTGTAGCCAAGTGAGCACGGGCGAGGAGACGCGGCGCTGTCGGCCCCGCTTACGTCCGTCACGGTGTTGCACGACTTGCAGTAGAAGCTCCTCTCGTCCGTGATGCCCCAGTTCACGTCCTGACACACGACGCAGCACTCCGCGTACGAATTCTGCAGCCACAAACACGGTGCGGGGTCCGAGATATGAAGCCGACTCGGCACAATGAATATTAACGATTTGCCCCCCCCGAGTTTAGACTTCTGCCCGCTGAGGTTATAATTCTGCCCCCCCCCCCCCCCCCGAGTTCAGAAATCTGCTCCCTCCCTCCATCTGTCCTGTCAACTCCCTATCCCCATGGCACCCTAAGCCAATACGTTTCAAAGACAATGCATATATTATCAGGGCATGTTTGTTTGCATATTTTGCCACAATTATGCGTGGTTAATGCAGACTTGACGCCTTGCAAAAGGTTTATATTTGGTGTTTGAACATCTGAACACCTGTTTTATTGCCAGAAAGGGAAAAAGCCCTATTCATATTTTTCATACCCATCCCTCCCTGTTCAAGTCCAGGCTCAAGACTTCCTCTCTCTCTGTCCATGACTTAACTCTCGAATTTTTAAAATTATATAGCTTATAAATAGGCCGTATATTCCCTCGTACGTCCAATTTTTGTTTACATCTTCAGATGCGGCGGTTGCCTTTACGATTCAGATAAATCCAAATTATATCGCATTCCTGTCAAACCGTACGGCTTGCCCGTATTCTTGTACAGGGAAATTGAGTTTTCAGGTCCATACGGCATACAGCCGTTTCAATACGGGCACATTTTTTGGCTATTTGTTTGTGTTAATCCCTTGTGATGATGGCACGTTGTAGGATGAACGTTGATATTTATAATGACCAATAAGGTTTGAACTGGTCTGCAATAAGGTAGTCACTGATAACAATTAGGGGTTGACAGGTCTGCATTTGCTGCGTTTGAACAAAATTTCACACGCTTGCCGGGACAATAACAAACACAATTCAAGTTACATAGAAAACAATTAACACGTGTCTTGAATTGACGGTTACACAAACTTTGGAAAAGAGACAACTGAACGGAAATCTACAATCTGCAAGCAGTGGTGCGAGTGAGTGGTGGTTGCGTTGTTGAGACCTGGTGCGGTGTGTAAACATCATCACTGGGAAGACAAAGGCGGTCGGGCGAGGGGTTGAGCACACACCCCCCCCCCCCTCGTGTGCCTTGCCGGCCTTCATTAAGTGTTCGCTAACAGCACTTGCCCCAACAGTCTGTTAGAGGCTATCCGGGCGGGATCTTTGTATTTGTTTTTTGCAGTGTGGTGGGTGATGGTTGAACAACGCAGTATGGATGAGACCAAACGGTGTCTAAACTCAACTTTTTTTTGTTATTTTACCAGGTAAATGCCCACTGAGCTATACAGAACTGTTTCAGAAGCGACCTGGCCACAAATGACAGCTCAACGAAGCGACTAATCATCACGTGGAAATGCATCGCAGCCAATTACCCTGGGACGCATGAGAGCATTTGGCTGAGAGAGAGGCACGCAAACTCCAAATACACATTCTAGATTTGAAGCTTTCGTGACTGCAAGGATTCATACTCTTAGGTTCTTTCGGTAAAGTCACGTAGGTAAAAAAATAAAAATAAAATAAACTATTATTTTACTTCTATTTTTTTTACCTACGTGACCAACAGGCACCATTCAAAGTAATAAAATAAAAATTATATAAAAAGTAAAAAAATGTATTATTTTATTTCTATTAATATTTTTATTTATTTTATTTTTTACCTACGTGACAAATAGGCACAATTCAAAAGAATAAAAATTACATTATTTTAATATTTTATTTCTATTATTTCTATTTTTTTACCTACGTGACTTTACCGACAAAAACCTAAGAGTATGAATCAAAATACACAACAGGCGTCAAGGTTCGAACCCACGACCTCCTCGCATACCAAGCGAGGTAGTTGACATCTGGCCTAGCGTCGTTCGACCCAAGTCGTCCACGTGCGAGGAGGGATCAGTGGAGTGGGCACACGTGGCAGTCGTCGCTGTTATTGTTGCTGCTGTTATTGTTGCTGTTGTTAGTGTTGCTGTTGTTATTGTTGCTGTTGTTAGTGTTGCTGTTATTGTTGCTGTTGTTAGTGTTGCTGTTATTGTTGCTGTTGTTATTGATGCTGTTGTTAGTGTTGCTGTTGTTAGTGTTGCTGCTGTTAGTGTTGCTGTTGTTAGTGTTGCTGTTGTTATTGTTGCTGTTGTTATTGTTGCTGTTGTTAGTGTTGCTGTTATTGTTGCTGTTGTTATTGTTGCTGTTGTTAGTGTTGCTGTTATTGTTGCTGTTGTTAGTGTTGCTGCTGTTAGTGTTGCTGTTGTTAGTGTTGCTGTTGTTAGTGTTGCTGTTATTGTTGCTGTTAGTGTTGCTGTTGTTAGTGTTGCTGTTGTTAGTGTTGCTGTTATTGTTGCTGCTGTTATTGTTGCTGTTGTTAGTGTTGCTGTTGTTAGTGTTGCTGTTATTGTTGCTGCTGTTATTGTTGCTGTTGTTAGTATTGCTGTTGTTATTGTTGCTGTTGTTAGTGTTGCTGTTGTTAGTGTTGCTGTTATTGTTGCTGTTGTTAGTGTTGCTGTTATTGTTGCTGTTGTTAGTTGCTGTTGTTAGTGTTGCTGTTATTGTTGCTGTTGTTATTGTTGCTGTTGTTAGTGTTGCTGTTATTGTTGCTGTTGTTAGTGTTGCTGCTGTTAGTGTTGCTGTTGTTAGTGTTGCTGTTGTTAGTGTTGCTGTTATTGTTGCTGTTAGTGTTGCTGTTGTTAGTGTTGCTGTTGTTAGTGTTGCTGTTATTGTTGCTGCTGTTATTGTTGCTGTTGTTAGTGTTGCTGTTGTTAGTGTTGCTGTTATTGTTGCTGCTGTTATTGTTGCTGTTGTTAGTGTTGCTGTTATTGTTGCCGTTGTTAGTGTTGTTGTTAGTGTTGCTGTTGTAGTTATTGTTGCTGTTGTTAGTGTTGCTGTTATTGTGTGCTGCTGTTATTGTTGCTGTTGTTAGTGTTTCTGTTATTGTTGCTGCTGTTATTGTTGCTGTTGTTAGTGTTGCTGTTGTTAGTGTTGCTGCTGTTATTGTTGTTATTGTTAGTGTTGCTGCTGTTATTGTTGCTGTTGTTAGTGTTGCTGTTGTTAGTGTTGCTGTTATTGTTGCTGCTGTTATTGTTGCTGTTAGTGTTGCTGTTGTTAGTGTTGCTGTTGTTATTGTTGCTGTTGTTAGTGTTGCTGTTATTGTTGCTGCTGTTATTGTTGCTGTTGTTAGTGTTGCTGTTGTTATTGTTGCTGTTGTTAGTGTTGCTGTTGTTATTGTTGCTGTTGTTATTGTTGCTGTTGTTAGTGTTGCTGTTATTGTTGCTGTTGTTAGTGTTGTTGTTAGTGTTGCTGTTGTTAGTGTTGCTGTTGTTAGTGTTGCTGTTGTTAGTGTTGCTGTTGTTAGTGTTGCTGTTGTTAGTGTTGCTGTTATTGTTGCTGTTATTGTTGCTGTTATTGTTGCTGTTGTTAGTGTTGCTGTTGTTAGTGTTGCTGTTATTGTTGCTGTTGTTAGTGTTGCTGTTGTTAGTGTTGCTGTTGTTAGTGTTGCTGTTATTGTTGCTGCTGTTATTGTTGCTGTTGTTAGTGTTGCTGTTGTTATTGTTGCTGTTGTTAGTATTGCTGTTGTTATTGTTGCTGTTGTTATTGTTGCTGTTGTTAGTGTTGCTGTTATTGTTGCTGCTGCTATTGTTGCTGTTGTTAGTGTTGCTGTTATTGTTGCTGCTGTTATTGTTGCTGCTGTTATTGTTGCTGTTGTTAGTGTTGCTGTTATTGTTGCTGTTGCTTGCTGTTAATGTTGCTATCGCCGCGACTGCGGATGTTCGCGAATGTGCCCCGGAGGCCCGGAATCTCACTCACCGCGTCCTCGTGCATGACTCCGGCTCTGCGCTCTGCTCCACGTGCGCTCTAAGTACAGCAGCTACAATAAAAGCAGACACAACCACCCCGACAAAACAAAGTCACCGGATCAGAAAGAGGTCTGCCCGTATGTGGGGAGTAGGCGTGGGTACAACGCAGCGACTTGGCACACTGTGAGAGAGAGGGGGGTACAGCTGATGGGGGCCTCTGCCGGTCATCTCAGTCAGCCGGGTCTGTCCCGTGACCCTTCCACACTTCACGCGAGAGCCTCAAGGTGCACCTAGCCTGGCACATGGCGCGTCCTTGCCCATGTATGGTCGTGTGGATCGTCAAATCGATGGTAATTTGGATCGATTCTGCGCAGTCGATCCGATAGCCAGCTTCAAAGTAGATCGCAATTTGCGGGTTAATCGCTGCGTCGATACCATTGCTAATCGATCCATGGATCGAGTAATCCCCATTGGTTAGTGTGATCCCCTCCCTCCTCTTTGTTGATTGGCTAACTGCATTAATTGTATCGCAGTGCTGCGATTGGCTGGGTGAGACGATGTACCCGAGATGCGAGTTCTCTAAAACCGCTCTCACCCGCCGTGGTTAAGTGGTGAAGTAAAGCAATTCCAATTGGCAATTCCAATTCACCCCCCTCCACCCTGCATGCATGTGGCAATTATCTAATCACGCCTGAAAGCCGGCGTAGGGTATCCCTCAATCGGCACTGGGCCGATCAAGGGTTGTAAATCAATATATCAACCAGCATGTATCGTCGATGCCGTTTATTCGGAGACTATCAATTTAAAAAGTTAATCGAAATTCCGATATCTTTTAATCACACTTGTCATTGATATGAGTTAGTGGTGAAAAATATGGATTTTTTGTAAAATATACCGTATAAAGTTTGTTTTACAATAACATTTTTATTATTCTATCTACGTGACTTTACTGAAAGTCCCAAAGAGTATATTAGCACAAGTTACAATACAGTACACGTTTTAAGAGTGCTAATGCTTCGTCCCTCACAGGGTTTGTGTGCACCTGCTGTAAAAGCGCAGCCCTGCAATTGCTCGCTCATGCGACCGCTGGCGAAAAGTTCCTCCACTCGGAGGGAGCTCAAAACGAGGGCCTCTCAATTGTGTTTTGGCCTAAACCTTCCACACCCACCAGAGACGTCTTGCAAAATAACAACCGGCTCCACGTGTTATCATTCCACGAGTCGTCGCCCAACGGGTCACGTGAGTCCTCTCAGCCAATCAGCTGCGCGATAGTCGGCACATGGCGGACCCCTGGGGGCGGCCATGTTAAGTTATTCTTTGGGTCTTTAGGTAAAGTCACGTAGATAAGTTCACAGAAAATAACAAACTACAACGTTTCCATCGCAACACAAGCGTTCGTCATCAGGAAGTGAAAACGTGGTAGTTTGTTATTTTCTTTTAACGAAAGACCCAAAGAATATTAATTCCTGCAGTCACGAAAACTGCTATTTCAGCAGTTTTTTCTTGCTGTGTCTGTCCCTCCTGATAACGATTGCTTGTGTTGCGACTGAAACGTCGTGATTTGTTTTATTTTATTTCTAACGACGCGACTTTACCGAAAGAACCAAATAGTATAAGTCCGGCCCGCGTGATGTCTTTGGTCCGTTTGCCCATAAAAGGAAATGAGGGCGTGGATCCAGGAGAAGGGGGCGGTATAACCCGCTGTGAATGGCTCTTACCAATCACGTGGCCTTGCGAGGGAGGAGTCGGGCCCGCGTGACGCCATTGGTCCGTTTGCCCATAAAAGGAAATGAGGGCGTGGATCCAAGAGACGAGGGCGGTATAACCCGCTGTGATTGGTTCTTACCAATCACGTGGCCTTGCGAGGGAGGAGTCCTGCCCGCGTGACGCCTTTGGTCCGTTTGCCCATAAAAGGAAATGAGGGCGTTGATCCAGGAGAAGGGGGCGGGGCGATATAACCCGCTGTGATTGGCTCTTACCCAATTACATCGCCCCCCCCCACCCACTTAACTCCATATAAGGCGACGAAAAAGGCGTGGCCCGTTGGGTGCGAAGGGCGGGGTCAGGGGTGGTGGTGGTGGTGACGTCACGGCATTGGTGAGTCCGCGCGGGAAGGCCTCCTCCCCCCATCTCCAGTGTCGGTGTTGTAGCGAGCGGACAAAGTCGCGGTACGCTCCTCTCTCGCTCACACAAGCCGCCTCACGGTGCAGCAGGGACCACTCGCCGCCCGCCCGCCCGCCCGCGTAAGAGAGGTCCGGCTTTGTTTGATTTATCGCGTCGCGTTGTGAGGGAGAGTTGAGGGACGTGGGGTTGGGGGGCGGTAATGGCTGCGGTGATGGTGGCGGCTTCGCATCTCGTCGCGGCTGTTGTTGTCGTCGTCGCTGCTGCTGCTGCCGTCGCTTTTGAGTTGCTTTGTTAATTCGCACGCGGACTCGAGGGCGCGGGTTGTGGACACGCGTGGCCGTTCGTTTTAAGAAGAGAAAAAAGACAAAAGCGGCGTTAGGAATCGATTCGTAAGGAATCGAAGCGTGCCGTACTAACGGTGATTCGATTGCTTCCGCTGTTGATTCCTTTCGTTTTAGATATCACCGCGGATCGATTCTAGTGTATCTCTCCCTGGTTCCCGATTCGATTCTCGTGCTGGTTTATTCCGGTCCGTGGCGGTTTGTCGCAAATCGATTTAAAAGGAATCGATTCCTCGCGGCGTGGGTCGGGTTGCTCGGTGGTCGATACCGTGGTGAGATTCTCCCCGTTCCTGCGACGGGGCCCCGGATATTCGTCGTGTGTACACCTTGACACGATCGTGGATATGGTAACCCATGGAATGTTGTGGTGGTGGCGGGGGGGCGGCTCCCTTAACGGCATTTAAAGTGGTGCCCCGTGTGTTGCTGTACAGCCGACTTGTCCGCACGAGTCGAGTGAAGTCACCAGTTCATCTTCTTGGTTCTTTCGGTAAAGTCACGTAGTAGGGAAATAATAAAAATAAAACATAATGAAATACAATTATCACTGTTTTATTATTTTATTATTTCCCTTCTACGTGACTTTACCGAAAGAACCAAGAAGATGAATCCCGGCAGTCACGAAAGCTTTAAATCGAAATTTAAAGTCACCAGTTGTTGCGGCCATCTGGGTTACTCGTGGCAGATTCTGCGTGAGCTTGGGGCATCTCCACCGAAGTCCATTAAGGTTCAGTGTTAATTAGGCCCCGTTAGCTCTGCTCTGGGATACTCGGGCGATAACATTGAACGCGAATGATAACAGGCCTCGGGCATTTGTCGATGGGTTTCGTTCTGAGTGCTGTTGATAAAACTTGATGTGGCAATAATGATATTCCGGGACGTTGAGCAATACTTAACCACGAGGAGCAATTGTTTATGATGTAGTCTGCGTGTTGACGAGAGGTTTATTACGAGCAAAATACTTTATTTTGAACGCAGACCGTGTGTACCTTTTTTTTAAACAAACATGCTCTGTTGTGACAACGCGTTCCTAACTTTTGATTTGAAGCTTTCGTGACTGCAGGGATTCATATTCTTGTGACCATTGTCGCTGTGAATGTAACTAAGAGCTGTACTGTACAACATCTGTACATCTTCTTGGTTCTTTCGGTAAAGTCACGTAGAAGGGAAATAATAAAATAATACAAATAAAACAATACAATTCTCACGACGTTTCGACTGCAACACAAGCAATCATCAGGTGTGAAATCCACAGCAGTCGATACGTCGTGAGAATTTTATTGTTTTATAATTTTATTATTTCCCTTCTACGCGACTTTACCGAAAGAACCAAGAATATGAGTTCCTAACTGCTAAGAATACAGAGCAGCTGGGGCCAAAATATAGAACGACTTGTGACATCCCTGAGTAAAAGTAAGGGAGTTGCGTGTGTTTACTTTAAGTGAAATCTTGCTATTTTTCTGGCCCACTCGTAAGTCTATTATAACCAATAACGATCATTACATACTCTTGGGTTCTTTCGGTAACATTACATCGTGATAAAATGAGTACATAATTGAAGACGTTAATTATGTATACCTGTCAACCCCTTATCAGTGCCTACCTTATTACATACCAATTCACACCTTATTGGTCACCGTGCCCTTATACATCTCCTACAAAGTCCCATCACAAGGTAAAAACACAACAAATAACCCAAAAAAATCGCCCTATTGAAACGGTTGTACGCCGTATGGAACTGAACTAAATTTCCCCGTACAAGAATACGGGCAACCCGGAAGGGTTGGCAGCTATGATGACGTCAACGGTAATAAAGCTTGCACACGGAACCGGCTTAAGTTCATGGAGGGTAAATGACGCCTCTCACGCCATTCTGCATGGGTGAGGTCACGCCGGCCATGCTGCATGGGGGTTGACTTTCTGGCAGGTGATTGGCTAATGCAGTGGGCGTGCTGATGTAATTCCTAGTAATAGCTGAGAGCGTACGTTACAATTGCCCGGCGTGTGATCAGTGTTCTCCGATGAGAACATCGATCAAGAATTGCAGCCGGACTTTTTGCGAAATCGTAAGTGACGTTTTCCGTGCTGTGGCCCAGGTTCGATTGGGTATGGCTGTGTGGCAGAGCCGGTTCGGCAGACCTCTTCAATGGCCACGCAAGAGAGACACGGGCAAGGCCAAATTAGTCTACTTAACTAGACCGTCGAGTTGCCTTGACATTTGTTTTGGCCGTATTTAGGATGGTGTTTTGCACAGAAAATACGATACAGGTAATGTCACTTATAATCCATGCACTGTCGTTCCTTGTATAGTGTGGTCATCACCGTAGTTAACTAGGCACAAATGTATTAGTTTAGCAGCTTAAAACCCGATTCACAACAATGTATTCGAGTCCTAGGAATTATTATTAAATTTTAACTATCTGTGGTATTTCTTTTTACGGGTTATGTGTTTTACTTCATCCTGTAGTGCGGCATCGCGTAAAGACGATCCAATATGAGCAAAGTGTTAGGATGACGTTATGGTGTTAGGGATTTCCCATATTTAAAGCTAGTAACATTGGTCAAAGGTCTTCCAAAAACACGGTGCAAAAAAAACAAATCAAGTGTAAAACGGAACAGCCTTTTCGGCCAAGGCGATGTCGTAGCAGACGGTGCTTTTTCTGTGGGAATCAAATGTTTACGTCCTGTATCGTGCGACATCTTGTTACGCGCTTGTAATGTAATGTTATTGCTAGTCGATTATTTGCAATAACAAACGCATGTTGGATAGCGTTCCAGAATTCGTGCATATGCATGCTCTTTTCTGGTTTAAAAGTTTTGTCTTTTCAATCTTATTTCAGTTCTTCAAGCGACACAATCCATTTGGAATGCTTGGAGTAGTGCAAACATATGTCAGAGAATGATAACGGAATTAGGATTCCGAACTGCTTCTGAAATCCCCTCTATCCCAAGTACTAGATAGTAAACTTTTCCACGTATGGTTACATATAATGTTTCATAAGTTAAACAACTTTTAAAAAGTATTTTCTAAAATGTATTTCTATTACGTTAAAACCCAAATTTAATGTAATTAGTTATTTGCACATTAGTGAGCTTGTCCGCTCCCTGCACTTGGAGAACCCAGTTTTTAATAATGAAACACACTTGGTATTTTCACCATTCTTATTGTGCAAAGCCATCTACTCTTTTAGGATGAGTTCACGAGTTCTTTGTAATATTCACTGTTAAACACACGACGCATATTTTATGGTAAATACACCTGCCGTAAGAGCTAGGGTGGTCTGAAACAAGTGCTGACCATGCTACTGTTAAGCCATATCACAAATAAACACAGGTGGCTGAAACCCACATTCTAACCCAAGGTCTGAGTGTTGCCGACTCAATATTCTGACCGTGAAGTTTTTTCAGCCACCAGATGTGGCTTAAAAAATACGTGACCATCGGGAGAACATGAAAAATCCAAATATATCGGTATCAAACGCACGACCTCCTGCATCCAGGCGAAGGAGATAACATCTCGCGAGTTCGTTGTTACCCACCATTGGGTCCCTCAAGTTGAGCCATGTTATTTATGCACAGTCTCTTGTTCCCCGGCCTTGTAAGTGATGCGAATAATCTAGGCTGGCAGGGCACTATTGTATTCGCAGGAAGCCGGGAAAACAATTATATACATGAGCACATCTCCAAGCAAAGTCCCTTGGGTCCAGACTGTTAAGACTAGGTCCTTCGTTGGTTCTTTGTAACAGACTGAGGAAATTAGGAGGGATTTGAATGCTTATTAATTCTAGATTTGAAGTTTTCGTGACTGCAAGGATTCATACTCTTTGGTTTTTTCGGTAAAGTCACGTAGGTAAAAAATGTAAATAAATTAAATCACGACGTTTTGGAGGCAACACGAGCTTCCGTCTTCAGCAAAACTACTGTGACGGTTCCACCTGAAGACGGAAGCTCGTGTTGCCTCCAGAACGTCGTGATTTAATTTATTTTAATTTTTTACCTACGTGACTTTGCCGAAAAAACCAAAGAGTATGTTATTAATGTCACATGACTTACTACGCAATGCACCTCATAAAGCTATGTAAAATTACAATCATATTTGGAGATGTATTGCCTCTTGCAAAAGGCACTCTGGTGACCCAAGATGCTGTGGAAGGGCATTATTGGAATTGTAAGCGTCTCTGGCACAATATCGATGAAGTGGTATCAGTCGGTTATAAAAATTAAACGGTGACCTGGTTGGGGATGTGGCCATGTTTAAAATGGCCATGATGACAGAAATCCTTACAGGCTGCTTCCTGTAACGTTCATTTGTCTGTCTGTTTTCGATTTTATGTAATAGTGACTGCTGCCACATGCTGTTTAAGTGACCAGATGCGGTGGTGGTGACGCACGCTTCGAATCTTGCGAGCTGGAGGTGGGGGCCTGTGGTCGTGCAGAGATGAGCGTCCGTGTTGTGAATGAGACCCTCAACTCTGCGTTCTGAACGATAGGGAGAGCTTTTGTGCTTTAAACAGTAGTATGCCGCCTTGAGATCCGAAGTCTGTCAAATGAGGCCTAGTCAACATAAATACGTTTTTTGGAGTAATGTTATAACATGCACTCCTTACAGGATTTTATTCAAAGAAGTTGGGCCTGAATGGAGGTGATCTTGACTGGAGTCTGGCCAGTTATGGCATGAAAGTGTTTTTATTTTTGTTCTGGAGCTTCCATACAATGTAAATACCAACGGTTGTGTTGAATGAATCCACAGTAGTTCCGTTTAAATTGTGGGATTGTGTTTGCATGGCTGACTTGCCCTGGCCGTTCTCTCCAGTACTGTATTTCTATTTATCATTCAACGGATGCATGCTGTGGCGTCGTTTAGCCAAATTTTTTGCATGACGTGGGTTTGGTCCTTCTCGAATTGTCAACGTTTGCAGTGAATTGTGACAGAAATATAGAAACGCTTTCTGGCCCACGGTCATAACATTTTGTTCTTTAACAGAAAATAATTGTGATAGAGCTATAATTATTACATCTTTGCTCATGAAACTCATTAATCATTGAGGTCAGTTTATGCTATCGAGACGAAATATACTTTGGATATATATTAAACCCAGTTTTTAAACCAGTGACCCATAACGGATATGTGAAGCGTCCTTTCTTGACCTTTAAACTCGCTGCTGGTGTTTTGCTAAAAAAGCACTTTTTTTTGTCTCCGCTGCAGGTACCAGCCTATAACAATTGTGTGAAGGCTAGCGAGACGAGGCAGCCATAGACACACTCGAGCGCATACAATTAAAAAGCGCAGACGTATTTCTGCGCCGGTTTGCCGTCCCACTGATGAGCCTGTGCCTGGCACGGTGGGATTTCCTGTTCACGTTGGGCAATTGTGGTGTCTTTCAAGCAGCCGCTCTCATGAGATTGCAGCATTTCATTGTCTGTTTGAGGGTTAAAGATGTAGCCCTGCGATTGCTTGCTGTCACCACTGCTTGTGGAAGTGCCTGCACTAGAGGGTGCTGCAGAAACCTCCACTGAGGGGTATGTGGCCTACTATAACATCTCAGCCAGACATCTTGGAATAGATGTTGCTGCCTACAAAAGTGTAGCCTTTAGAGACTGTTGGAACAATTGCGGTTGGTAAGCACCTAATGAAGGCTGGGCATAGTACATGAGTAGGTGACCATCACCACACCAGTCTCCATTGTCTCTCTCGTGGCGATTGTTAAAACACTGCACCAGGTACTCATTTGAGATGGAGTCGTCCTAGAGGAGGCCCAGGACTGGTTAGGATAATCGTCATTGGTGGTGGTCGTTGAAGCGGGAATCAAACCTGGGTCGCCGGGTTTGTAGCGCAGCACACTAACCACTCTGCTCTCCACGTTTCCTGCACTAACCTATCGTAAGTTACTGGCTGATTTTTTTTTTTCGATTTAAAGCTTTCGTGACTGCAGGGATTAATCTTCTTGGTTCTTTCGGTAAAGTCACGTAGAAGGGAAGTAATAAAATAATAAAAATAAAACATAATAAAACAATTCTCACGACGTTTCGGCCACAACGCAAGCAGCCGTCCTCAGGTGAAAACCAGGTCCGTCGAGGCGACAGAGTCTGAATGAAACAGCACACGAGCTTGGAGCATATATATAAGCTGGGCGCATTGACAAAGGAATTTGCATATCAAAAGGAATTTAGCATATTTATGGGAAATGCAGGAATGTGATTAGTACTGCATATGCATGTGCATTATGCAGGATTAACAGCATCAAAGGGAGCTGCAGTTACTGCTGCTGCAGCAGTTACTGCTGCTGCAGCAGTTGCTGCTGCTGCAGCAGTTGCTGCTGCTGCAGCAGTTGCTGCTGCTGCAGCAGTTGCTGCTGCTGCTGCAGTTGCTGCTGCTGCTGCAGTTTCTGCTGCTGCTGCAGTTTCTGCTGCTGCTGCAGTTTCTGCTGCTGCTGCAGTTGCAGTTGCTGCTGCAGTTGCAGTTGCTGCAGCAGCAGCAACTGCAGCAGCAGCAGCAACTGCAGCAGCAGCAGCAACTGCAGCAGCAGCAGAAACTGCAGCAGCAGCAACTGCTGCAGCAGCAGTAACTGCAGCTCCCTTTGATGCTGTTAATCCTGCATAATGCACATGCATATGCAGTACTAATCACATTCCTGCATTTCCCATAAATATGCTAAATTCCTTTTGATATGCAAATTCCTTTGTCAATGCGCCCAGCTTATATATATGCTCCAAGCTCGTGTGCTGTTTCATTCAGACTCTGTCGCCTCGACGGACCTGGTTTTCACCTGAGGACGGCTGCTTGCGTTGTGGCCGAAACGTCGTGAGAATTGTTTTATTATGTTTAATTTTTATTATTTTATTACTTCCCTTCTACGTGACTTTACTGGCTGATGTACTAAACTGGTGCATAATAAAACTGTTAATTTGGATTGCTTGTCCATTCTGATAACCATTATGCCACGGCAACATTTAAAAGATGCAACCCAAAGTCACCAACTGCTTTTTGCTTGTAAGGACATGCCTAGGCTATGTCCTGGACTGTCCAATATGAGCACAAAGCTTGCTGTGATGGGTAATGAAGCTTCCAACTCATGTTGGAATGAGATGAATGATTTGTCATGAATTGTAATTTCATTGAAATATTTCGATGGTCATGCACAAATCATTGCACATATCAAGCATATAATCAATGTTATTTCGTGTCTTTTTGCATGCCTAGTTTTAATACATTGTGAGTGAGTTGTGGAGCGTCTGACTGTAACTTTAAAGTGTTTTTCTCATCAAAGCCTCAAACTTGCACATCCCAGAATGCATGGCTTAGGTGTGTGCTTGTAAGATAATAGTTTTCTGGTCTGCTGCTTGTTTTATCTGCACTGGGGAGTCCAGCTATTCTGCAGGGTGTCTGTTGCAATGGTGATGTGGGTGCCCTCACATGAGGGGTCATTTTGACATTTTTCTGCATATTTTCTTACCGGGGCCATGACCCTAGCACCCAACTGGTGTTCTGTCATTGACGACATCTTGTGGTTTTAAAATGGTGACTCTTTTTTTCTAGTCTGCATGTGGTTTTGTGCACTCCCATACTGTCGCTGTAATACCGGTCTGTGGTTTGGCCGCTTGCGAGTAATTGGTCACGTGATGAACTCTGCATCATGAGTTACTGGTGCAGTGCGGCATCTTAGGGATTGAGGGTTGCACATATGAGTAGGCATGTATGGTGCCAACCATCATTGGCACATCCAAGGTTGATGCAATGGGGGGGGCATTCACTGCTCATGCCCCTTCCCCACTCACCCCCCCTCAACACCCCACCCTCGAGACCCCAGAAGTTGGTATTTGATTGCCATTTACCACCTTGGTAAGTTGATAGAGCCACCTCTGTTGGTCATACCATGTGGCCACAGGCAATAAACTGCTGTCAGATTAAATATGGTCCAAATATTGTGTTATGGGTGTGATATGGGCAATGTGTAGGGTTCAATCAGTCTATATACGTTTGGTGTGTGGTGGTGTGCTTGCGTGTGCTGCAGTAATGGCTCGGGGCCAGCAGAAGATACAGTCTCAGCAGAAAGCGGCGAAGAGGGCGGCCGACGCCAAGAAAGCCAAGGGACACGACCAGAAGAGCGCCGCCAAGATGGCGCTCGTGCACACGTGCGGCATCTGCAAGGTGAGGCCATGCGCCCTGGGCTTGGCACCGCAACAACCACCAACTACAACCCAGCACAATCACCACATCACCACCATTACCATCACTCCCACCATCACAACCAACACTGGTAACCATTGCCACCATCGTGCAAACAACCATCACCACCCTTTGTTGAAATTGAGATTGGGAAATGGTAGTGAGTGGGCTTGTAGCAGGGCAGCCATTCATTGATCAAATTTCATCCTTGGGCTTGGTATTGTGCATGTAATAAAAATCTATTATTTACATTTTATACAACTTACCGCTAATTTACATTGACGTAAGTAAGCAATTGAGACGGAAAATACAAACGATGTCAAACGTGAGACAAAAATGATGTATTCCTTAGTTGAATCTCAACCCTGAAACGTGCCATTGTATTGGTACTTGGGGGTGCGGGTCAATTATGACAAGCCTATTGGAGAGTCTGGGCCCTAGTAAACATGGGCACAGCACCTATTATAAGTAGGAGACAGTCAGATGTCGACTTTGTAACAACTGCAGCATCTGGCAGAAGGGTGTTGGTGATGACAGTATGGTGGCATCCATGTTGTGATGATGTCTTTGCCGACCCTGAGGGGCTGCCTCTCAACAAGGGGTGCATAGAGGGCACTTTTGTTTAAAAAAAAAAAGGAGCAGGTGTGGTCTTGTAGCTATGTGCAGGGCTGTATACCGGGCTGTCCTGCCCAAGTTTGCAGGTTTGTTAATGAGAATAAACACTTCAACGTTCTGTAAGTTGAATAAAAGTGCTCTCAGAGCACTCGTGAAAGCTTCTGACTTTTTCAGGAGGGTGCTGTATTGGGATTTTTGGCCAATTATATTCGTGAATGTTTGGTTTTACTGGAGGAACTGGGCTGTGTGGAGAAACCACTCAACATTAGGGCATAAGTCAAAGCTCCGGACAGATCAATAATCCTCTGCTGTGCTGCCACTTTTTCACTTGTGGTTGTTGCAGACTCAGATGCCGGACCCCAAGACCTACAAGCAGCATTTTGAGAGCAAGCACCCCAAGCAGCCCATGCCCCCAGAGCTGGAGGATGTGCAGGCGTGATGACCACATGCTCTCCCCCCCCGCCCCCCCTCATCCGTACGTGCCCCCATCCCTGGCTGCGCACACACACACACGCATACACACACGTAATACCTACTCGCAGGTTAATATACGTGTAGAACAAGAGCCATACTGTCACTTTCATATTCACACACAATCACGGGGTCTCGTCCTGTTTCCTTTGTACCTCGCTGTGCACGCAAGCTATACATGAACACAACCACTTTCACAAATGAAGCTACTCGCATAAGAGCCGTATGTTTCCTCTCGCATACACACAAACACACTTGCCCTGTACGTCCCTTCGTGTCTTGCTGCATACTTACGCTGGACATTCATACTGATGGATGCAAACAAGTGCTCACGTCTCTTGCTTAAAGGATGGATACACACATAATCGTACACCTTTGCTATGTCCCCGTTACCCCTTGCTGTTCACACTTGGATACGTACAGTCTTGTAAACGGACACAAGCTCACATGCACCAACCCGCATGTCCCCTTCCCTGCTAGCCATTAACATAAACACACATTTACATGAACGCATACACAAGTGCTTACTTGTATGCCTACACCACACATACTGAACATGCACAGCCACTTGTGCACACAGACAATCGCACATGCTCTCATACAGCCTCCATTTAACACAATGGTGGTAATCACCACTGCAGTTGTCAGGTTAGGTTCCCTTAGACCATTTTGAAACCACCCTTACAAATACAATAAAGACAGTGTTGATCCCCCTTATAGCCTGAACAGACTTTTGGGGCAAGCGCTGTTAACGGGGCACAAGAGGGTGGGTGGTCAGCACCACGCCCAATTGGCTTTTGTCTCCCCAGTGGAAATGGTTACACATTGCACCATTTACTCATTTTGGGGTGAGTCGACCTTGGGGAGTCCCAGGACCTGTTCAGATATCCATCACTGGTGTTGGCCATTGAGCAGGAATCGAACTCGTGTCGCTGAGTTCGTAGTGCAGCACACTGACCACTACTCCCGCTTGCCACAAATGGATTTACACACAGACACATACACAAGCACTCACAGCTGCTCATTAAAAATCTCAAGCTGTAGTATAGAATGAGCATGCCCTTTACTCAGAATTTCATAGCTTGTTTAACCACACAGATTCAGATTTAAAGTGCACATGAGGAGTCACTCTTGTGATGAAAGCTGGCTTTTGTGCAGACCACCAGAGGGTGTTATTCATGGTTTCGACTCAAAGGAGGATGTTGGGGGTACCCTGCACAACAGGTTCATTCACAGCTTTGTTTTTAAATCTTTCCATAAACATTAATTTAACCAGGAAAGCTTCAGTCTTTCAATTTGTTTAGACTGGTTTGACCAAATCCTTAGTGAGTTTGGAATCGTGCGTCTCACCTGGTGTGAGAGTACTCGCTGCATTTGTGTTGTGAGCCTAATGAAGGTTACGTGCAGGCAAACTCGCCATTCGCGCAGGTCTCGTACATGTCGAAAGTGTAAATATAAACGGTGCCGCTATTGGCTGGCTCTACCCTTGCGACCCATTTCCCCCGTGGGAGCGAGGTGCATTTGCGAATGTAATGATTGGTCTCCATCGTACAAGGGTTGCGTAACTGAAGGTCTCTGCAAACAAAGCAATGTTAACACCCAATGGCCGTGCACCCGCTAGGCCCAGGTTGACCACTGGGCCCCACTGCGCGTTTTAATAATCGAGCAATCGGCAGCGTCCCCGGTGTCCCGAGTGGACATGTGATCGGATAGAGGAAACATCGCATTTTAAGCCTAATGAAAGTATTTCCTTTAATTTAATTATGGAGGGTTGTGGTTTTAGGCCTTTACGTGAGTTAGATTGGACTCGTGAAATGTGGGTGTTTCCAATGAAGGCGATGTCCATCGCAGCCTTTAATTATTTTTTGTTTGGTTCTATCAGCTTTGCTGTGGCGACTCTCATTGTTTATCGTGCACACCGTTTGGCATTTGCTTCGCCACTCGGTGTGCATTTTAACATGTGTAGGGTTTCTCAAAATATTTTTTTCACGCAAAATTAAATATGCTCAGTTAATCGGACCTCCACACGGGATTCTTCGAATATAAAATATGCCTTCACCCACAGTTAATTAAAATCGCCCCCTTCTCTCACGTACAATCCGAGAGTATTTTTAGTAGTGTACATAAGCATTTGTGACTTTGCCTAACGTGTGCAAGGATACCTTTATTTTTAATTGGTAGTGGGCATGTTTCGATTCCACGCGATGACTTGTCACGACTTTGGACCATGGTTTGAATCAAACATCGATTATTTTGTTAGTAATTATTAATCTTGTTATGCCTATAGTTGTTCACTTGGCCAATTTAACATTTGCATATATTGTAATGTGCCTAAACCATAAATACACTAGTTGATTCTTGCGCACACCATTGATGCGTTTATCATTAGAATCGATTTTTATTGAAATATTGTTGCCATCACCTACAGTGGAGTAAAATCGCCCATTCCCCGATTGCATTAGAAAAGTATTTTTTGAAGTGTACATAAAGAAGCATGGCTATCATTTTGTAGCGTGGGTCTGCTCACGCTTGCACTGGATACGTTGCAGTGCTCAAGTGTTTCCAGATGGTGGGGCACTTCATCTATATGTCCTTGTAATCTGCTTTAAACAGCCCTGCTGTTATGTTGGGGGGTGGAGTGTAGAAAATACACTTCCACAGAAGGTTACTTTCAATAAAAGTGGGGCTTTTGCGTTCTGGTTCGTTCTATTTACGTTTGCTTTTTTTGTTCCTGTGTTTCAGGAGCTGTTTACTGGATGTATATCTCGGGAGGTGGGGGTCCCTGAGATTTTATTTGAGCAGATGTCGCTCTGAACGTTCCCCGGCTTCTGTTAAATGTGGCCTCAATAAACTTTGAAGGGGCATTCCATGCCCTCAGGAACCCCTATAGGCTCGAGTATGTTAATTAATCTCTTTAACAAGTGAAGTCTGCATTTTTTTTGGATATGTCCATGTTTTCTTTTAGGTTTTGAGTGGCAGTTGTTTCTGTATCACTTCTGAAGCTGCCAGCTTTTCTGACCTTGTATTCATGTATCCACATATTGAAAAATTCTGGTTTTCTTCAAAAAGTTGGTAATCACGCAAGATGCCGTCTGCTGTTTGGTATTTAAGTATGGTGAAGCTAAAATAAAATCTGATTCTTTAACTTTGTCTTGGTTACATTTTTCTCAAATGATTACATTTTATAGTGAAGATTATCTGGGAAAACCACACGTGTGAGATCAAGCCTTTATACGGAATTCTGTCGTGGGATGTTTTGCTAAAACATTTAATGTGGAAGGCCTCTACACAATCTCCTGGTGACCTGGCCTACAACACATGGAAAAGCCCTGATTTACACCCCAAGACGTAAAACAGTGCTTCTGAGACCTGACAAGCTTGGTGCTTATTTTAATTTCCAAAAGTAATTTTGGCTTTCAGACCCCTTTTTGTTGAGGGTCCTGATAATATATTTTTCGCAAAGGTACCAGAGTACCCAGAGAGAATCTCACGTATGAGTGACACTCATCTACAGATATGAAAGAAGTCTGCTTGCTGGACTACATTACAGACAACACAGCGGGTGCAGGACACCGCCTGCTAACACGAGATGGGCAGTTCAAATTGGTAACCAACAATGTGGCTTTTTAATGGTTTTCAGTTGTCCAGGCAGTCAGGCCACTAAATCTTCTTCTTCTTCCTAGCGTTGTTCCCGCTGTGGCGCAGGGTCCGCTTTTCGGCATTGTCTTCTCCATTTGGCTCGGTCCAGGGCATCTTCAGGGGATGCGTTGACCGTCTTCATGTCTTCCTTTATTCGGTCCATCCATCGCTTCTTCGGACGTCCGCGTGGACGGCGGCCCTCTGGCTCAATACGCACGGCAGTCTTGGCCACTGATGACTCTTCACTTCGCATCACATGGCCGTACCACCGAAGCCTTGCCTCAAGCATCTTGTCCGCAATGGGGGCCACACCAAGTCGCTTCCGAACGTCTTCGTTCCTGACACAATCCCATCGAGTGAGTCAGGCCACTAAATCGTGATGTAAAATTACATTTTTCTGACTTTCGAGTGGCAAGGTTCATGTCATTATGCTTGATCGGTATTAAGGGTTCAGGTGAGCCCAAGAAGGTAAATGATTCTGAATACAGCCCCATCAGACTCGTATGCCCCGTTCAAGCTCAGAACTCCTGAGACCCCAGACTGCGTCCAAGATGCCTACAACCCACCCACGTAATACATGGATTCATCCATACGGTGTTCAACCGCTACACTAGGTCAAAAAACGTCTCATTTTCCTTAAGTGGTCCTTCACAAATTTTCAGAGGGGGGGGGGGGCGCTTTTGCAGATACAATATCAGTGAGGGCCGCCACGTTTGAAACCGTTTGGTTTGACAGCATGATGGTGTTTTTACGGGACCACAAGTTGGGCCGCCAGTAGCCCGTGTGGACCTTGCAATGAACACTGCTGTTCCTGCTCCATTTGTAATTCTCTCCCATTATCTCTTCCTAAGTTAGGATAACCTTGCTCAATTCAGGATACGCATATTAACTTCTACCGAGAGTGCAGTAGGACACCTTCAATAGCGCTGCTTGGTGTTATTCCCTCGGCAACTGCTATACAAAGCGGCCCAACCACAAGGCTCGTAACCTACGCATTTAACGACAACCCATTGAAGTGAAGGGGTCGGTGGAGGGGGAAATGCCCGTCCACTGATATGGAGGCTCCTCCCATTTCACAGAAGCCCCCCCCGTTGATGCAGAGGCCCCGCCTATTTTCCCATCGCTGCAGATGGCCCCCCGCCCACCAGACCAGAAGTCCATCTTTCACGACGTTGTCAGAGATCGTCCACGCGACGGTTCTAGACCCATGGGACATCGATCGCTATACGTCGTCCCACGTGCTCGTTCTCTGCAATAAGGGGCCGTCCATAAATGACGTCACGCGATTTTGGACGATTTTTGACCCCCCCCCCCCCTTCGTCACACGGCGTCACAAACAGTCAGACCCACCTCAAATATGACGTCACAAAGCTCTGCCCCCCCCCCCAAAATAAAACATGCTTCAAATCGCTTCAAACTACTGTATTGTCATTGTAATGCGTATTTAATGTGGCGCTGCACTCTGATGTTGTAGGAGAAAACATTTATTAAAAAGTATATTTAATTAAGTGGAACGTGTTGTCTATATTTAAAGTTGCGCATTTTGATGTGACGTCACATTTCTCACCCCCCCCCCCCTCGTCACATATCGTCACAAATGCCTGACCCCCCCCTCCCCCCGTAGGTGCGTGACGTCATTTATGGACGGCCCCTAAGGGCACGGGTGTGACCAATAAGGTCTGAATTGGACTGTAGTAAGTTAGGGCACTGATGAGAGGTTGACAAGTATGACATTGTCCGTTGCAACACCACCAACGTTTTGGAACAACGTTGTTTTTCGTGCCTTGACACCATCAATTAAAAATATACCCTTAAGGAGAGGATTGGCGCATATTGCAAATGTGATTTGTACCCTTTGATCCTGACCCACGTATCGATAGTTACATTTTAATGTGCAACATTGTTTTTTAGGGATGTATGTGTGTTGTCTTGGTGTGGTCTGGCGCTGTGTTTTACTGGTCGGAACCTCCTGGTTACACCAGCCCACAGGGGATTATTGTGTCCGTCCGTCGTGCAGGGAGGGGCTGGGTGGGGAGGGAGGGGCTGGGTGGGGAGGGTGGGGCTGGGTGGGGAGGGGAGGGTGGGGAGGGGCTGGGTAGGGAGGGGCAGGGTGGAGAGGGGCTGGGTGGGGAGGGTGGGGCTGGGTGGGGGGTGGGAGGGGTGGGGCTGGGTGGGGAGGGTGGGAAGGGTCTGGGTGGGGAGGGGCTGGGTGGGGAGGGGCTGGGTGGGGAGGGTGGGGCTGGGTGGGAGGGGTGGGGCTGGGTGGGGAGGGTGGGGCTGGGTGGGGAGGTGGGAGGGGTGGGGCTGGGTGGGGAGGGGCTGGTCACCCCGTGGTGCCCTTATAAAACTCAACGTTTAACCTACTCACGCCGGCTTGTGCCCGCCCTCACAGGCATATTTGCGGAATACACCACGCCGCCGTTAACCCTGGCCATTGACCGAGCAACCCAACGTTCCTTCCAGCTCCCTCCGCAGGAATGTGTTTGTTATTGTCTTGCTGCCTTGCCCAAGCTTACATTTAGTTTTGAAAACCAAAAATCGGCATTTTTATTATTTTATTTACTTTTCGTGACTCACCTTTTCTAAATTCTGCACTCCTATCGTGTTTTTTTTATATTGTTTGTTGTTGTACAGTAACATTATTACCCACCCTATTGTACACATCTGTGAAAAAAGAGCTTCATGGCTCATCGGATTCCTCCAGTCGAATTTAGAAAGTTCCTTATTTAATCCGTTCACACAATCAATTTAACGCGTAGGCTTTGGCGACCAATATCCACAAGAGGTTTTTTGGGTTCGATCGCGTAAATATAAATGTGTCGTTAAACCAGCCACCACCCGACACAGCCAATTAGTAAGGTTTGTCACGTAAACAACAACAATTCGTTACAGCACACCGGTGTGTTTGATGTTAAACCCACACCATTTACAATTAGAGTACAACGTTTCGCCAGTAATTACAACTGGCATCATCAGGAAATATAAATGCGTCGTTAAACCCGCCACAGCCAATTAGTAAGGTTAGTCACGTAAACGAGACATGCCCATTCGTTACTAGTACAGCACACCGATGTGTTGTGAGAGTAAATCCACCACAACATTTACATACCTGGTCTTCACCTGAGGACGGCTGCTTGCGTTGTGGCCGAAACGTCGTGAGAATTATTTTATTATGTTTTATTTTTATTATTTTATTATTTCCATTCTACGTGACTTTACCGAAAGAACCAAGAAGATGAATCGTTGCAGTCACGAAAACTTTAAATCGAAATTTAACATTTACAAAATAAAATCAACGCAAAGGTGGACACGAGGTCCCCCGCCCCCTAGAAGGCAAACAAGCCCCGCCCACAACACCCAAGCTCCGCCTGTCCCACGTGGTCGGGAACCCCGCCTCCTTAGGGCGGGCCGGTATGTGGAAGGGCCGTTAGGTGAGGGGCGGGTGGGGGCGGTGCGTGTGGTAGGGGGGGCGGGTAGTGGAGGGCGGGCTGGTATGTGAAGGGGCGGGGGTAGTGTGAGGGGCGGGAGGTGTGAGGGGGGGGGGTGAGGGGCGGGGCGGGGGTAGTGTGAGGGGCGGGCGGGTAGTGTGAAGGGCGGGGCGGGTATGAGGGGGGTGTAGTGGGGAGGGGCGGGGGGGGGTAGTGTGAGGGGCGGGGCGGGGTGGGTGTGTGAGGGGCGGGGCGGGTAGTGTGAGGGGCGGGGCGGGGTAGTGTGAAGGGGCGGGGCGGGTAGTGTGAGGGGGCGGGTAGTGTGAGGGGCGGGGCGGGTGGTTGTGAGGGGCGGGGGGTAGTGTGAGGGGCGGGGCGGGTAGTGTGTAGGGGGCGGGGGGGGGCGGGGTAGTGTGAGGGGCGGGGGGTAGTGTGAAGGGGCGGGGCGGGGTAGGTGTGAGGGGGGCGGGTAGTGTGAGGGGGCGGGCGGGGGTGGTGTGAGGGGCGGGTGCGGGTAGGTGAGGGGCGGGGTAGTGTGAAGGGGGGCGGGTAGTGTGAGGGGGCGGGTAGTGTGAGGGGCGGGGCGGGTGGTGTGAGGGGCGGGGCGGGTAGTGTGCGGGGCGGGGCGGGTAGTGTGAAGGGCGGGGCGGGTAGTGTGAGGGGGGGGTAGTGTGAGGGGCGGGGGGGGTGGTGTGAGGGGCGGGGCGGGTAGTGTGAGGGGCGGGGCGGGGGTAGTGTGAGGGGCGGGGCGGGTAGTGTGAAGGGGGGGCGGGTAGTGTGAGGGGGGCGGGTAGTGTGAGGGGCGGGGCGGGTGGTGTGAGGGGCGGGGCGGGTAGTGTGAGGGGCGGGGCGGGTAGTGTGAAGGGGCGGGGCGGGTAGTGTGAGGGGGCGGGTAGTGTGAGGGGCGGGGCGGGTGGTGTGAGGGCGGGGCGGGTAGTGTGAGGGGCGGGGCGGGTAGTGTGAGGGGCGGGGCGGGTAGTGTGAAGGGGCGGGGCGGGTAGTGTGAGGGGGCGGGTAGTGTGAGGGGCGGGGCGGGTGGTGTGAGGGGCGGGGCGGGTAGTGTGAGGGGCGGGGCGGGTAGTGTGAAGGGGCGGGGCGGGTAGTGTGAGGGGGCGGGTAGTGTGAGGGGCGGGGCGGGTGGTGTGAGGGGCGGGGCGGGTAGTGTGAGGGGTGGGGCGGGTAGTGTGAGGGGCGGGGCGGGTAGTGTGAAGGGGCGGGGCGGGTAGTGTGAGGGGGCGGGTAGTGTGAGGGGCGGGGCGGGTGGTGTGAGGGGCGGGGCGGGTGGTGTGAGGGGCGGGTGGTGTGAGGGGCGGGTGGTGTGAGGGGCGGGGCGGGTAGTGTGAGGGGGCGGGTAGTGTGAGGGGCGGGGCTTGTAGCGCTCCGCTGGGAACCTGGAGACTCGGGTTCGATTCCCGCTCACGGCCAATACCTGTGACGGATTATCTGAACCGGTCCTGGGCGTCCCCTAGGTCGACTCGGCCTCAAAATGAGTACCTGGTGCGGTGTGTAAACATCGCCACTGAGGGAGACAAAGGCGGCCGGGCGTGGTGTTGGCCTTCATAGGTGCTCGCTAACAGCTCTTGCCCCAACAGTCTTTTAGAGGCTACACGGGGGATCTTTGTCTTTTGTGAGGGAGGGGGTAGAGGGGGGGTGGAGGGGGGGGGTGGAGGGGGGGGAGGGGTGGAGGGGTGGGTGGAGGGGGGGTAGAGGCGGGTAGAGGGGGTGGGTGGGGGTGAGGAGGGGGGGGTGAGGAGGGGGGGGGTGGAGGGGGGGGTGGAAGGAGGGGTGGAGGGGGGGTGGAGGGGGGGTGGAGGAGGGGTTGGGTGGGGGTGAGGAGAGGGGGAGGGGGGGTGGAGGGGGGGGTGGAGGAGGGGGTGGGTGGGGGTGAGGAGAGGGGGAGGGGGGGGTGAGGAGGGGGGGAGGGGTAAAGGGGGAGGAGTAGAGGTGTGGAGGGGGGGGTAGGGGGGGGTGAGGGGGGGGTAGAGGGGGGGGTGGAGGGGGGGGTGAGGAGGGGGGGGGTGAGGAGGGGGGGGTGGGGTAAAGGGGGAGGAGTCATGTTTTTCCCGCCATTGGCTCGCGCCTCACTCGGGCGGGGCTCGCGGTCTCCTTGGCAACGGGTGACGTCACCGCCCTGCGCCTCCATTTGACGCAGAGCCTCGGCGGGAGACGGAGCCGCATTATTGTAACGCAAGGTATCGATTGTTGGCGCGTTATAATAACAATTTATGGTGTTGTCATCGTTGCTATTTCACAAGCAATTAAATGCTTTTCGTCGTGGGCATTCGCCGCGTTAGTTTCCGTTGGTGTTTTTGTGAGGAGATTGTTACCTCGGGCGAGCGAGGTTTTACTGTACCCGAGCACTGTGCGTGAAATGTCGCTTAAAATTGTTTTATTATCTTAGATTCAAACATTAAAATCTTAAATTGATACGGAGCGTATTCGCGGTCGTCGTAAGTTACATGCATTGTGTGTTTTTTACCTCGTGTACGTATATGTATATTGAATGGGGGCGGGGGGGGGTTATGTAACGTATAGGTGTGTTACCTTATGCATTGACGTGCACCGTTTTAAATACCCTTAAATATCCGCGTATGTATGGCGGTGTTTGTTCATAATATGGTTGCTTTTGTTGCGTGTATATACGATGTTGTACCGTGCTAGGGATTTTATTTTAAGGCGGTGCCTGGATCGCGTTATTAGACGGAAGAGGCGGACAAGAACCGTATTCATCCAGTGCTGATGGTAAAACTGAATTATCATCTTGTAAAATAACATACCTCCGTGTGCCTTAAGGAAAAGAACGTGCTGTAATCAGCAGAGGTGTGGACTCGAGTCATGTGACTTGGACTCGAGTCAGACTCGAGTCATGAATTTGATGACTTCAGACTCGACTTGGACTTGCATAACAATGACTTTGTCCCACCTCTGAGGTGTGGACTCGAGTCATGTGACTTGGACTCGAGTCAGACTCGAGTCATGAATTTGATGACTTCAGACTCGACTTGGACTTGCATAACAATGACTTTGTCCCACCTCTGAGGTGTGGACTCGAGTCATGTGACTTGGACTCGAGTCAGACTCGAGTCATGAATTTGATGACTTCAGACTCGACTTGGACTTGCATAACAATGACTTTGTCCCACCTCTGGTAATCAGTGCGTACTGCCTCCTACGACATTCGATTCGGAAGCGTGGTTATTCATTTTAAACATGTAACAAAAACTGAAAAGCGGAACGCATGGATTCTTTAAAGTAATCGGGTTAATTTCATTAATTTAACTGTTAAGAAAGTGCAGTGGACTTGGACTAGACATGGCATTGTGTCCTAAGAGAAGGAGCGATCAAATCTGCACCTTGCAGGATCACGATAGATGTCAGCTTGGAGGCTTTCATCCAGCAGTGCATTGACCATAGATGAGGATGATGTGTTAGGTATTGCTTATACTGTGTGTTTATATGTAACACGTAGGCTTTTGCGACCGATATGATTCATTATTGATGTTTGGGTCATGTCCGTCGCATGTATGTGTCAAGTAGTATATGTGCATGTAGTACTGTATGTGTATGATGTATACAGTATGTACAACAGTTATAATCGCGGCCAGTATACGTCTATGCATCATATTCCAGATGTGTATGGATCGTTTTGTATGCCTTGTATGTGCACATTTGCATGTCATTGTTAATGGGCATCTGTGAACAGAGCTTGATAGCTCATTAGATTTTTCAAGGATAAATAAAGATTCTGATTCTAACTTTACCTATATTCAGTATGTTTATGTGCATGCTAGTTAATAGATTTTCTGTAGATACTCTATTCCATTGTATATAGGTACTACACGTTAGGTAAATGTGCACGCCATTGTATAGTATGTACAATATATGGCATTTTGTTAGACACGAGGTTTTGCATAGTCAGGAGCAGGTTCCTGCCCAGACGAGTGCTGGGCCGTTTGTGTAATGTTCATAAAACACATATGTTCACCCCTATTTACAACCCTGAACAAGCGTTTGAAATACCACATTCTTTTGACATAAGCCCCTTACATAGTTCCTTATAACAGCCATTTGACTTTCCACACAGTGATGCCTCTTTTTTAATAAACCGATGGATGAAACACCCAGTCAAAAGCAAAACCGGCATCTGCAGTTGTATCGTTCCAATTAAAAAAAGGTCCCTTGATCATAATTATGACACTTTATGACACTTTGTGCCCCTTACATAGTTCCTTATAACAGCCATTTGACTTTCCACACAGTGATGCCTCTTTTTTAATAAACCGATGGATGAAACACCCAGTCAAAAGCAAAACCGGCATCTGCAGTTGTATCGTTCCAATTAAAAAAAGGTCCCTTGATCATAATCATGACACTTTGTGCGAGCGCAGGCTGACAGTGGCGGCGACAAGATGGAGAAAAGCGAACTGGTACAGAAGGCCAAGCTGGCTGAGCAGGCCGAGCGTTACGACGACATGTCAGCTGCCATGAAGGCGGTGACGGAACAGGGCCACGAGCTCTCCAACGAGGAGCGCAACCTGCTGTCGGTCGCCTACAAGAACGTGGTGGGCGCGCGTCGCTCCGCTTGGCGCGTCATCTCCTCCATCGAGCAGAAGAGCGATGCCAGCGACAAGAAGCAGCACATGGCCAAGGAGTATCGGCACAAGGTGGAGAAGGAGTTGTGCGACATCTGCAACGACGTGCTGGTAAACGCTCGCGCCTGCGATCCACCGCCGCCGTGCTCGCCACTGCCCGTTTAGCCGGAGGGCTTGCCCGCAGATCCGTAGTCTGCTAGCCGCGACACAAGGCATGTAACAATTAATCGCATAAAGCTGATCCTTATGCTTAAAAGAGAGAAAAACACTTCATTGTTCAAAATGTGACATTTTTATCGTAAGTGCAATGGAGCAAATTAAACGAACAAGATGTACAACATAGCTAGACTGTGAATCAGACTACAGTTTAGGAAAAGGAATGGATTCTTGAATCGGATAATTGGGGGGAAGGTGAATCCCAAAGTTTTAAGCATAAATATTCAACCAAAATGGTTATTAAGTGTGCTTTTTCAAAGCTAAGCTGCAATCCAAAATTCGCCCCTCTGTTTTTGCAGCTTGTGATGCCTCGATTCAGAGTCCCCATGTTGTCACCAGCATACGTGGTTTACTCTTTAATGTTTTGCACCTGGCAATGCGCCCAACGTTGTGACTGTAGGTCTCTTGCTTATCTCTCACGAGGGCTGAAACTCAAAGGCCATTTGATATTGTTTATTGCATTGACAACCAGAGGGAACAATAGTGTGTGTTTTGTAGGGTGTTTGAGTGGGGATGTGGTGGGGCCTATCCCTCATGCACAGGTTTTCTCCAGTTACTGTAGTTTCCTCCCAACACACATTACATTATGAATTCAATCGGAATTAGCAATACATCCTCATGCATGACCCTTCTGAAAAAGAGTTGGGGCTCCTATTATTTGGGTCTTTCGGTAAAACTATGACGTTTCGAAGACTACGACATTTCGATCGCAACACAAGCGGTCGTCATCCCTATCCTGATGACGACCGCTTGTGTTGCGATCGAAACGTCGTAGTTTTTTGTTATTTTCTTTGAACCTATCTACGTGACTTTACCAAAAGACCCAAAGAATATGAATTCCTGCAGTCACGAAAGCTTTAGGTCAAGAGTTGGGACTCGTTGAGGCTTTGCTGAATAAATATGACATTTTTAAAATGAAACTCCTCATGGTGATGTGGGGCAGTAGTTGACAAATCATATTCGTGTTTATTCACATGTCATTTGTGCAGATTCATGCATGAATAAGGATCAATTTGCCACCACTTCCTCTTCTACAGCTGTGACATTATTATACACCGATAATATAATGCATTGCCTCTCTCTGCCAGGTGACTGCTATTATCTGCAAATAATGATACAAGGAAAAATAGTTGCATAACAATAGTATTTTCTGCAGATCATTTCATGGTGCAGAGAATAGGAAGACTGGGTATTTAGAAGGTTGGTAAGAGGAGTTTCACTGCATTGAAATTAATGGTGTGAGTCTCACAATCACCCGCAATGTGCTCGATCCTGTGAGATATTTAAAACTAAGCAGGGTTGAGCCAGGATAGCACTTGAATGGGCAAAATATCATACAAAACAGGTTAATTATGCAGTGTGAGCGTGAGAGGGTAGTACAGAAAATCCATTATTATACTGTACTCCCCCCGCCTTAATTAACTCGTTTGGTGAAGTATGGTGATATAGCCCTAAAGGCCTGTACAGCATTGGATTGACGAATTCCACATTACATTTTAACTTTATAAGCATGATTCTGTCAGCGTCTGGTTTTGTGACCTTTTGCCTGATTCTGGGCGTCTGAGTGCATAGCATTGCTGCCTAGGTAATTTTAGAAGCCGAGCACAAGCTCCCTCACTCTCAAAATTAGCCTTACCACCCACGGGCAATAACTATTTGTATGACTTGTGCTAATCTCAACCGTGCTCACTTTACTGCTGCTATAAAGCTGATGTTGCTCGCTGAGTCATCGCAGTTGGGGCGATGAGTGCACTGCTCAATGTGCAGCAGCTACACACTGTACGTGCTAATGTCTGACGTGTTACAAAAGAGAAACCCAAGTTAGAGAAGGAAGCCTAGCTCCAGTTATCATGTCCTCTCAGAGCGATGCATTCCTCCTTCGTAGATGAACAGTGTGTAGTCTGGAGGTTGTATATGGTAGACCCTTGGAGGGTGTCGGCCAAAAAGAGATGTGTGATGTCACCCCTTGATATGAGAATTGTCCTTACAGGGAGGTGTAAGAATCTTAAATCTGCTATTTGAATGCATAAATGTAGGCACGCATTTTTTTTCTTTTAGCACACAGAATACCACTTGTCAAGTGGATGCCAATTTACTGACATACCACAGCGTATCTTGTCTATAAAATATCAACCGTGGCAAAAATGTCTGTCACGTCAGTATAAAACTGATGCGATCTGCCAGGATATGTCATCCATTTCCTTCTTCCATGCGTGTCGCGCGCATAATCGCGTTTGATGAGGCAGAGTTCCACCCTCTGCCTGCATTAGACATAATGCGTAAAAGCCAGACTCGAGTCAGCCAGAATTTGGAGTAAGCCTAAAGGCTATCGGACATAGATGAACTACATAACGGTGGGAATTAAATCCAAAAAATGTCGACAGAAAACACTTAATTGGCACACACTACTTGATGCTATGTGCTTAAGCAATTATAAAGTTATTTACACATACCGTACTTGTCTGTAAGGATATTTGGAATTTGTATAATTTGACAGTACATGAGACTAGGGCTGTCGTTTTTTATATTTTTCTTCAATAGATTTTTCAAATGTAGGAAATTCAGAGTTCATAGCACACCATGCTAACCGCTGTGACACTGCTCCATCCCGTATAGATGTAATTGAAAATGTGTGTTTCTTGAAAATGATTTAATCAATTGCAGTAGTTTGGAAAATCTCCAATTGGTATGGCTTCGAGAGGTTGTACTGTGCTTTGCATTCATTTACAAGTGGAATGTCATGCCCGCAATAAAGAGCTCCTTGATCAATTTGTTCCCATGCAATAAAGACTCCAATTTTTCTCAACCTAATGGATGAAAACGTGGTATCAGCAAAATATCGCAGACAATTTGTCCTCTTTTGATGCCAGCGGTAGATATTGACCAGAGACTGTTTCATCTGTGGGCTGTTGGCCAATTGGATGTAAGCATAAATGGGAGATTATTAAAGCAAAAAAAATATCGCAAACTGTATTAAACTTTTGAATTCAGTTCTAGACGGTTTATGTCATAGCTCACCAGTTCTGTTCATCCTTTTGTTATCACACATTATTTGAAACCTCTTAACAGTTTTATCAAATAACCCAGGGAAATTAATGTCTGCATGTAGACCACTGAATGAGCATTCATAAGCTCTCCCTGGGTTGCAGTTCCATTAAACTGGATTCGCGAACGTAGTTTGGTATTAAGTCATGTGGATTGTGCAAGATCATATTTTAACTATAGCAGCCTGCACGTATGGTTTTGTCTGTTCTAAGGGATGATAAAGATACAAGGCAGAATACCAACAAATATGCATGAATGAAAAGTGCACACTTTTGTGGTTATGTAAATGAAGCAGTCGTAGATTATCAGTACACACCGGGCATGCTATTTCATGGCATTCATGGTGCTCAGCTGTTTGAAGCAAACCGTGGGAAAATAATATTTTGCACGACTGCTGGAAAGTGTAAATATATCAGATTAAAAAAACACTGCAGTAAATTAGCAATGCATTGTGCAGTTGGTAAACTGGTATTGAGGTTTTGTGCTCAAGGTTCCCTTTCCATCTAGCCAGGATAAATACAAGCCTTCATTTGGTCATTTGTGCTGCAGGCTCTGCTGGACAAGCACCTGATCGTCAGTGCGACCAGTGCAGAGAGCAAGGTGTTCTACCAGAAGATGAAGGGCGACTATTACAGATACCTGGCTGAGGTTGCAGTCGGAATAGACAAAGCCAGTGAGTATACGTGATCACTCCATATCTCTGGTTGTGTGCACATTTATTCAAGAATGTTTGTCTTCATGTGTTAACATGTCTGTTTTTGTTGTATCTGTGATTGTGTGGACATATCTGGTATTGTAAAATCTGTGTGTACATGTGTGGTATGTTTGTTTCTGCGTGTATACTGTATGGGTATGTACAGGTATCCCTTGATTTACAAACGTTCGGTTTACAAAATTCGCGTTAACGCAAATGACAAATTATGGACACTGTTTAATTTACGAAATCAAATTTCCACGTGAGCAAAATTTAAATGGTATGCGCCACGAGATCAAACAAGAAGCGCCCGAAAGGCTGCATCATCCATCTGTGACACTGTCACATCACCTTTCCATTCATTCCAACTTGCAGATCTTTTGGTGAGTTCCTTGAAAAGGTGAATTATTTTAGTTTTTAAATAAATTATTTAATAGTTTTAATATTTGTTCTTTATTATTTTTGTATTGTGAAGTGATGTTTATTTTTAGGTTAGGAGTAGAGTTGGAACGACTATCCGAAACACAACACTAATTTTTAAGGATAAATTTAACGGGAAACTCCATTTTGATTGACTAAATTTCACTTTACATGTGTTTTTCGACAAACGCATCCCTTTAGTAAATGTAGGGATGCCTGTATCTGTTTCTACATATGTATTAATGTTTGTGTGCGTGTGTCTGTGAAGAGCAGTACCACAGTGGCAAGTTGTATATGAACCTCTCTTGGGCCTCCTCGAAATCAACACAGCCTTTAATGAGTGCCAGGTGTGGTGTATCGACGTGTGCACTGAGAATATAAATACAGCCGGGCATAGTGAAGGGCACAATAGGTACTTCCTAATTGCACTTCCTCAACAGTCCTTCAGACTCAACAGGGGGAACTTTAACATGTAGGCTTTCGCGACAAATATCCACAATGCAGGTTTTTTGGGTTAGAGCGCGTAAATATATATATAAATGTGTCATTTAACCTGCCACCACCCGACACAGCCAATTTGTAAGGGTTGTCACGTAAACAGAATATGACAATTCGTCACTAGTGTTGGAGAGCCAAGCCACAACATTTACAATCTGAGTACGACATTTCGCCAGAGAATCGTCAAATAATACAATGTTTAAATGCATGCCTATACAGGCCATCATACTTCAATAGGGATTACCGTTGTTACGGCTATTTTAGTGCACAAAATGGACAGGAAGTACAAGATCAATGTGCTTGCATAATGCGCATGCATAATGTACGTTGATTCATTAACCCCCCCCCCCACTCTGCGCAATAAGAGCGCACAGTGTTGTCATCACATCTACGCCTCTATATAAAAAACGAAACAGGTGGACTTCACAAATCTGGCTGTCACCTGATGAAGCTACTTGAAATTACTGGCAAACGTCGTACTCAGATTGTAAATGTTGTGGCTTGGCTCTCCAACACACCATTGTGCTGTACTAGTGACGAATTGTCATGTTTTGTTTATGTGACAACCATTACGAATTGGCTGTGTCGGGTGGTGGCGGGTTTAACGACACATTTATATATTTACGCAATCTAACCCAAAACCTGTATTATGGACGGGGAACTTTGTTCACAAACATAATGCAATTATAAATGTAGGACTTCCAATTGTGGTCGAACGATGCATCAATTCTTCAATTTATATAAATCCCAAAGCACACAAGATATGTGCATATAATCATGTGTGAATGAATCAATTCTTTTTTTACTTTGGTAAATCTAGTACGTAATGAATTTACATCACCCCAGCAGCCACGAGAGGCACAACCATTTACGCTGTGTTAAAAAATAAATCCATTCTTGAATTGTGCACCGTAATCTCGACATGTAATTGAAGCAATGGCAACGTCAATTGGTCTACTCACAATATAAATGTTATGCATACATTTATTTCCACATATGCGTACATTACCACAGCACGAATACATGCTTGCCTGCATGTAATTAGCATTGCAGTTGTTGCGAGGTCTCGGAGGACACAACACCCGCACACGTCTGTTTCGTGTCAAGTGCGGCTACGTGTCATTTTTGCTATTTTACTCGTGACACATCTGAGGCATGTTTGTGATGTGCGTCCTGACCATAACCGGCTGGTTTGGGATGCCACCTGTCCATTTTGAAAGTGGGCATGTCTGCTAAATCGGCTTGTGTTGGTGTGTATATCTGTATGCGCTCGTACTCGCACAACACCTCAAGGTAGCACAAATGTAAAATGTGTGCAGAGAATGCATGTATGTACTAGACGTGTAGCAATGAATTGCATTTTAGCATTTAGCAAGCAGTACTCGCGCTCAATCGGCTTTTTGGTGTGATGATGGTGCTGATATGTGAATATTGAATAAGCTGTCCCAAGTTATTGGTGTAACCAATGAACCAGCTAACTTCAATTAAGCACAGATAATGGAATCGTGATTCATTTTTAATAACATGCAACACAATTCTAAATAACATAATTTTTATTATTTGCCAGCTTTAAGACTTCCTAAGTATAAAAATTCCTTTATGATGATGACCAGCTTTAAATTCCTAGCAGCAATTTTATTTTCAAGACATAGATTAGCAAAATCTCTCTGTGCTCTTAAAATGCTTGATTACTTGCCTTTATTTAACCATTTCAGATCCCATTCATATATAATACCATTTTAAAAATGGAAAACTTTGAAAAAACATTTACAGGTAGTTTCAGTAATGTGGCATTTAGGATATGAAATGGACACTGGCATATTCTTGCAAATAATAATGATTTACATTTGCAAGGTGCATTTAACCTGTAGATCCCAATGTGCCATGTTTGGAAAACCGGAAATAAAGAGAACCAGGGTAAATGGCCAGAACTAGAGAATTAAGTCCAATTTAAATAGATGAGTTTTCAAGACAGACTTAAATATCTCTAACGACTGATTATCTTATGACCAAAAGCAAAGCGTTCCATAGTCTAGGAGCTGCACTAGCAAAAGCTTGCTCACCCCAGGAACAGAGCCTTGACCTTGGAGTAGTTAGAAGGCAATCCAAAGATCCTCAGGGACATTGTTTAGTATTAAAATGTATCACTTCCTGCAATTATTGTGGGGCTAACCTATATTGAGAGCCTTGTCGGTCAGAAGCAAGATCTTATTATAATCCACTGATACTCTACTCGTAGCCATTACAAAGACGAAATCAGGTGTGATGTGCTTGTTAAACGGTGTGTGCGTAAGCACTCCAGCTTGTTGAGAATGCATCTGCTCAAGTCTCCCCAGAAATCTTCTTGGTTCTTTCGGTAAAGCCACGTAGAAGGGAAGTAATAAAATAATAAAAATAAAACATAATAAAATAATTTACATAATAACATTTTTTTATGTTTTGTTTTTATTATTTTATTACTTCCCTTCTACGTGACTTTACCGAAAGAACCAAGAAGATGAATCCCTGCAGTCACGAAAGCTTTAAATAGAAATCTCCCCAGAAACTTAATGTGCTGCAGTAAATAGTCTCAAAATCTTTCGCATCCAGTTTAGAATCATCAGCTTTGTGAAAATTGACCTAGAGGTTACACGTCCTAAGCTTGTGGTTCCTGAATCACAGGGTCTTTGTTCATAAAACTAAAAGATGAATTCTTAAATGAATAACAAGTTCAAGTTGATAAGACAACAAAAATAATGAGTAAGATGAGTCTGTTTATACAGCTTTGAGAATTACACATGGGGAGTGACTTCTCCGACAAAATAGTGTGTGGGCGTTAGTGTGCACTCTTCGTCCAGCATGATGTCACCCATCATATGACAGCATTGCTCGTGCTAAAGAAGGAAGTTGAGCGCATGGCTTGAGGAACCAATTCGGTCCGCTTTGTGACTCAGAGGCGCCAGTTATTTTAACCTTCCTGTTTTGCTACATTGATTCTACAATTGTTTAACTGTCTGGTTGGTGGGTTTTCTTGTCTCATGTTCATTGCTCTGCCCGTGGCATCCTTATCACATTGAACCTGAGTGAATCTCGCAGTTTTAGACACCCTTGTTGCTGCTCGGGCATGAGGACTCCAGAAGTTAATTTTCAACATTTAGGGTAAATTGTCAGCTTAGAATTCACGGGTGCATGAGTCTTTATGCTATAAAAATGGGTTTCCCCGTAAACATTTAGAGCAACAGATGCCTCTGGCTTGAATGTGTTTGTGGGTTGAATTTTTTTAGTGCGATTATGTCTGGAAGCCTTACAGTCGGAGACCAAAACTCATGATATGCCTAGGCTGTGTCCTGAGCGGTCCAACAAGAGTTTTAAGCTTTGATATTGAGATAAAAAGATATGGTTGTGGTTGAAGGTATCTTTAATGTTATGCTACTGTATTTTAAATGTTTAATCAAATAATCTTCAAACTAATGTTATACATCTATAAACACAGCCTACGTACAAATTTACAAGAAACAAATTCATTCGTTACTAAAATTTAACTTGCATATAATTTTTGGCTCATTCTTCCAAAGGTTCATTGTTGCTCTAACGATGTTCATTATATCCCTCCCTTTGGACTCCTAAATTAACCCAGTTGCTTCAAGACTGTATAAAAAGTAAGGCCTCCATATTGTTTTCACGTATTAGATGAGAGTATATACCAGTTCACGCTAGGGATAATGTTTTAGTTTAAATAAAAAAGTGATCTGAAGCAAGCCAGTAACACAAGTGGAGAGAATGTTGTGCATTGTGCAGAATTTCACTGTACATGACCCTGTAGTGTATATGATAGGCTTTTGCCCTTAATATCAGGCAACTAGTGGCATTTATTTAACAGACCATACACTGCAGATGAGACCTAGTCAAAACTGATCCATAAGGCACATAGGTGGATGGACTGGATAAACAAAAAAAACCTTGCCTCTTTATTTGCTGTCACTTTATTCTGATGACACAAATGCTTCTTGCGTCTATTCCATTGTCCAGAAAGTCCATGTGCTAATTCACTTAAAACATTTTTTTTCATATTTACTCTGTGACACAAACCCATGTCTGTTTTATATATTTGTTATGTGCGTGACCACCCCTTGCTAAACACAGGTGCCATGGAGCGGTCACAGGCCGCCTACCTGAGCGCGTTTGATGTCAGCAAGGCAGAGATGTCACCCACTCACCCAATCCGCCTGGGCCTGGCACTCAACTTCTCCGTCTTCTACTACGAAATCCTGAACTCGCCCGAAAAGGCGTGCAACCTCGCCAAAACTGTGAGTTTTCTGAGTGCTCAGCCCTGACCCCGTGGCTTTGGTTGTCCTGGAGCCCTGATTAAGAACCCTTGGTTCGGAAAATGTATCTGATGAGAATCATGGTGAGCAGTAGGCATATAATGAATTGCCTAATTTCAATATAGGAATTAAAGTCTCTTAGGACCATGGGTTCTCAACCAGGGCTACAGAGATCTGGATTTGGCTACAGGCATAATTAGGGGATCTACAAAAGCCTAAGGGGTCTACAGAGTGCAGAGGAGTGTGTGCTGGCTCCATATAGCAGTACCCTTCACTTCATATTCAAACCATTCAGTGTGACAGACCACTTAACTTGCATTTGTAAAGGCATAAGTTCAAATTCTGTTGTCCTATGCCAGCGGTCGGCAACCTACGGCTCCGGAGCCGCATGTGGCTCTTTACGGGCTGCTTCTTGACGATATGTACGTATGTACTCAGATGCATTGCGGCTCTTGAAATACTGAATTTTGTACCGAATTGGAAAGAAATGGCTCTTCTTGTTATTTTGGTTGCCGACCCCTGTCCTATGCAGATATTATTCCCCTCCATGAGAATATGGAATTTACACTATTTACGTATCGCTACTAACAGTGATGAGTACTGCCCCATGCTTTGATTTGCATATCGCTGTACAACATTGCTCACTACAATAGGGTATGTGAAGATTTGACATGGGCTGTAATTGGTGTAGATTAAACATTAATAACGATTTACTTGCCTGCAATTCAATATTTTTTTTACATTTGAAGTCATTCGATTGAATAATATTTTTTGGTATATATATATTTTTACCTTTAGTCTCCTTTTTTCTACTGTCTCATTCTCACTGCGACCATACGCCTAAAGGATAATATCGCATTAAACAATAATACATTTAATTGTGCAATTGTATATGTACATGAAATGTGCACAATAAACAGATTTCTTTCAAAATCTGTATATATGTCTAGTCCTAAGTCCAAAGTGGTTGAGAGCTACCAGTATGGATCATTAACTTGTACCATATAAACATTAAGAGTGATGGAAAATAACATGGCCATTTGATGTGGAGAGGAAAAAAAACATTAATAGAGCATTTAACAGACCACAATGCGAAATTTCCATACTTGAGCCCAACCGTGAGTGTTGCATTAAAATTGAGTCACGATGCCTTGTCCATTTGCATGCACAGCAGCAGCTTAATGCCCAAGCCTTGGTTTATTTATGGGAATGAGTCACTGGTTGCTTCACCAAGCACATTATGGCATTCAAAATAAACTGGTGGAAAAACTGATGGCCTGCCTGCTCCATAGACTTTGTAGGGGCCAGTGGTCAGCACAAGGAAACTTGAAACGACCATGGGATTTGTGCCAGTTAAGGTGCAAGTGTGTACGCTTCTTTAGTGCTTTGCTCATAAGAAGTGGGTGCAATGTAGACCCATGTGGGTCTTCAAGGACTTGTGCTTTCATTACACGCTTGATGACATTTTGGGATATGAGCATTTGCGGTTTTAGTGTGCAGGCATTTCCTGCTTGTGATGAGTGGAGTTGGCATGAATTAGATGTAATGTAACACTTTTGGCAGCATGGTTACCAACATAAAGAATTGAATTTCCCTCATACGCAATCCTCTTTTCATTTGTATGTGCCCAGCACAAGTTGTGGTGCATTGTAGTTGATGGATTTACTAATAACTGTTATATGGGTAATATAATTAGTGATAATCTAAAAGTGGGTATTGTAGTGAAATCTACTGCATTCTGAAATATAGTACATGCTTTGTATGGTCTTCCTTTAGTAGCCTCGGCTATATGTTTTAAACGAGTCAGGAGAGTAGATCACTATAATAATAGGTTTTACCCTTTCTGTTATTTATTACAATAAAACCTGTTTTATGGCTAAATATAAAGGGTAAAACCTATTATATTTTGATACTGGCAAGGGAGGTCCCATGATGTAGCTGCTCACCCCAAGCTCTCAGTGCCCTGAGTGCATTGTCTTTGTGCTGTTTGTCTTTTCGCGTCCTCTGGTCTAACACTGAGATGTAGCTCTAAAGAAAGCCATCTCTGGTGTGGACCAATCAGTTTAAAAGAAAATGCATATACTACCAGAGCATGTTTTTTGTTGCCATGTTCACCACAAGCATATGTGGTTAATGCAGACACGATTCCTTGCAAAAGGTTTCTGTTTGGTGTTTTAACATCTTAACACCTGTTTTATTGCCAGCAAGGGTAAAACCTCTTCTTATATTTTGATACTGACAAGGGAGGTCCCATGATAGAGTAGATCAGCATTTATATAGCTTCTAAATAGGACCACATCTTAAATGCTGCCCAGAACCAGTGTAAATGTTTTCCAAAACAGGATCACTGTAGACATGATGTTCACAGCACGACAGCTCCAGGAGAAGTGTCGGGAGCAGCACCAGGATCTCTTCATGGCTTTTGTCGATCTGTCGAATGCCTTCGACACAGTTAATATGGAGTTTGTGGGACGTTTTCCTGAAGTTTGGCTGCTAAAGAAAATTTGTCAATATCCTGCGTCAATTTCATGAAAGGATAAAGGCACGGGTGACCATAGGAAGCCAGGAATCCGAGCCCTTCAGGGTGCGAACCGGCATACGCCAGGGGGATGCTGTCCTTGCTCTGGTACTCTTCAACATCTTCCTCCTATGTGTCGCCACGCTACTGCACAAGGAGATTGAGAAGGATAGTGGTGTTACAGTGGACTTCAGGCTCCGAGCAGTCCCAAAAATAACATCCAAGCCTGTTATCGAGCTGCAGTATGCTGATGACTGTGCACTCGTGGCCAACACACCAGAGGCCCTGCAAGCTACCCTTGCAGCTGCTGCAAGTGCGTATGACAGATTGGGTCTCGATGAATATCATGAAGACTGAAGTAGTATGCCAGTGGGCATCTACTTATCCACCTTATCCACCCACCTTCACCGTCTTTCAGAAACCACTCACAAAAGTGGGGAATCCTTTAAGTACCTGGGCAGCTTTCTGTCTGACGACTGCAGCATTGAAAGGGAAGTATAAAACCGAGTAAAGCAGGCGTCATCCTCTTTTGGCAGGATAGGAAAAAGGGTATTCCACAACAAGGACTTTGGCCTAAATAACCATCTGCTTACCAGGCAGTGGTCATCACAACACTTTTTTACAGCTGTGAGACGTGGACCTTGTACAATTGCCACAGCAAAATGCTTGAGGACTTCCATATTAGGTGTCTTCAATGCATCCTGGGGATAACCTGGCGTGACCGGATTCCCCATACTGAGATACTCTGCAAAACCAACTGCATCAGTATGGAGGCTGCCATCATCCAGCACCAACTTCGCTGGCTCGGTCACGTCATCAGGATGCCAAAGGAGCATCACCCATGTAAGGTCCTGTATGGCAGCTGCACCTAGACCACCGCTCTACAGGGGGCCAGAAAAGACGCTACAAGGGCCAACTGAAGACGGCCATGAAAAAGTGCAACCTGAACCCCACCCAGCTGGAGGACACTGCCACATACGCTCCATTTGGCGCCATTGCCATTTCTGCCAGCATGGAGTGTCAGAGCTCGAAGAGGACCGAAGTGAGCTACGGAAAAGGAAGCGTCTCAAGAGACATGAAACCAGAACAATACCCCACACCTCCAATCAGCGACTTCACCTGCTTTTGTCTGTAGCAGAATTTACAGTCACACAAAATCCTACAAATAGAGGCAGAGGAGGAATGTCATCATTGTATAAGATGGACAACCCCGAAGAGATAAGAAATGTTTTCCTACATAGAGGCAGTCCGTCATAGGCAGAGGGGGAAGTTCTTGAGCATGGAGTTGGACAGGGATTCAACTGTTGGCTAGAAGAAGGGAATTCCAGATGATTAGGGTATTAGAGGAAAACAAGTGTCCTCCCACTAAGTGACTAGGGACTTCGATGGAAAGCTTTGCTTGCTGGAGTGAATCGCGCACAGAGAGGTAGTGAGATGACAGGGGAGAGGTAGGGAGAAATCAGCAGAGGATCTTTCACGTCAGTGGGTATAAGCTTGAAATTTATACATGACTGGATTGGTATCGAGTGAAGGGATCAAAGTATTGGTGTAATGTGGGCTCATGTACAGGTGTAGGTGAGAAGTCTGGAAATTGTATTTTGGATTATCTAGACTCTAGAGTGTGAAAATTAGAGACTTTTGGAGGCCATAGAGGAAGAAGTTGCAATAGTCGAGTTGAGATGTGATGAGGGCATGGATGAGTCTCGGCAACATCTGGAGCAAGGGCACAATGGATGCAATAAATGCTGTGCAGATTGAGTTATGAAGTCTTGCGGAGGTCAGATGTGGGAATAGAATGAGAACCAGACATCAATGACAACTCCAAGATTTCACACACTCTTTGCCAGTTTAATGTTAGAGTTTAAGAAGTGCACACTTAAACTGGAGTCTGCTGAGTGAACTTTCTGCCAATGAGAGAGTACTTTTTTGGAAACAAATATCTGATTACACTATGGCCAAAGTGTGACAAGTGGTAGCACATGGTTGTTACCGGACAGAGCCAAAACAGGAATTGTGGAATCCACAGAAACACGCTTTGTTTAATGTTCACTACCGTTGTGTGAACAGGCATTCGACGAAGCCATCGCTGAACTGGATACTTTAAATGAAGACTCGTACAAGGACAGCACGTTAATCATGCAGCTGCTGAGGGATAACTTGACGGTAAGAGCCACATGTGGCTTTTTTATTTTCTTAATTAACTTACTTTCATTACCTGCACTTTCATGTAAAATAGTGCTATAGCAGAGCATTTGACAACAATACAAATAGGTACGAGCTTACGTTTTAATTGAAGTTGAACAAACCTATAATTTACACAAGATTCCATATGCAACTGCATTTTGCAGGATTGTAAAGCCTGAATTTTCATAGTCGACTCAAAATACTTGAGCAACATCTATTTAATTAAAAAGATGAAGAATCCAGTCTAATATACCAATGCTTTTGTAAAGATTAGGCAATTTTTGTTCCACTTTCCAGTGACTTTCGCTGCTGTGAAACCTTTGTAACTTCTTCATAAATACCCACTTGGTGTTTTTTCCTCAGCAACTTGGCAAACGCATTGCTCCACTGTAGAATAATTTTTTTTATTCACTAAGACGTCCTAAGCATATTAGAAACCCATTGGAGCTATGCACTCTTAAATGGAGATTGAAAAGATTTTTTGTGTTGCTTTTTGTGTTCAGTTTATTGTCCTACCTCCGCCGATTAGCACAGTTGGCTACGTACAGTGCAAAAGAAGTTCATCATACATACAAGACTGCAGCGTTATTGTTGACCTCTTTAACGTAATGCGCTACTATTCACTGACAACAGCGAGTTAAAGGCATGACATTATTGACGGGCTATTAATTTTCAACTGTTACATCATTGATGCACACTGCAACGTGGCGAGTTTGCTAAAGGGGCTTGGATCATAGAGCACCGAGCTGGAACTTTTAAGATCCTGGGTTTGAGTTAATGAGGTGCTCAAATGTGGTGAATTTATGGTCACTTGACTAGTGACCATGTGCACAAAAACACATCGTACTGCATTTTATTTTTCACTTAAATTGGCATATTCTGACTCCAAGCACAAACAAATTATTGGTTTACCATGCAACACACACCTCAATGGCAGAGCATTGACTAGGTGCATTACCACTGAGTGTGGATAAGAGGTAATTTAATAACGTCGGAAATGACATTGTGATGTCGTATTCCAGAGGCAGTTCTATAACATAAGCTGACGTTCTGCTTTCAGCAACAGTTTAAATTGTAAAGTTTATTTCATTACACTACATAATGCCTCGTCAGCATGCTTTTTTACTGCTTGGGGAAGCGACATGACAGGAAGTACATGACCTTGTTACTTGCCTGAGCAACATGCAGTGATAGATAGTAATATTTTATTGTTTTTGTTAATGTATTTGTTTTTGCAGCTCTGGGCCTCAGACGCGCAGAGTGAAGATGCAGATGTGGATGGAGCCGAGAACTGAAGCGGGGCACGAAGAGGGGTACGCGAGCGAGCGACAAACGTAACACCAACAAAACCTCTCTCCCCGGCTTGACAGAATCAAATACATCGCAGAGCTGTCATGTGCGATCGGCTCATTGTACCATCATCACCACCACCTCCACCACCCATCGCGGCTACAACACGATTAAAATTCTTAAACACGAGCAACCGGCCACAATTGGGTGGACTGAGCACCAATCTGTTTTGCTTCACAAAAGCATTTTCTTGGCCTCTCCTCATTGCCTTTCTAAATTATCTCTGCTCGGCAGCTTAAGTTTTTTATTTGCAAGTGGAAAAAGTCTGTGAGAGGGAGCACTTGTGCAAGGCACACGCATGAACACTCCAGTCTACATAGCACCCACCAACATATCTCAATCTCAAACAAACTCTGGTTTGTACTGCTCCTGTATGCTCATTGGTGGTCTTACCATAGTTTATTCATAATTGGTAAGAAGGTTAAATATACGTCAAGTGTATATTTATCAACTCCTTGCATTGACAGGTGTTTCTGCATCCGTTCCTCTGTCGCAGGGACAATTTGAATGGCAAAAAATGTTGACGTCAACCGTTCCAAAATTCAATCTTTTAGTGCTTTGAATGTTTGAGAAAGTTTAAAAAAAAAATATTGAAATTATTAATGATTGTAAAGTGTACCCCTGTTACTCGGGCATGACAAGTAGTTACTGAAAAACGTTATCCTAAGCTATTGTGCGTAACTGCGTTGCAAATGCATTTTAACATCTGTGATGAGGCAAATATTGCAGCCTTCACGCGAATAGCCTAAATTTAAATCCTAGCGACGTTAACTAAAACAATGGCAATTGTACATTTAACCATCTCAGGTTGGTTCAGGGCAAGTCGCACTCGTTTTTTTTATAAATGTGACCAGGGCACTTAGATGATATGCTGTCCGAGGCCGTTCTATCGCAGGTGCTTGTTTAAAAATAGTTGCTCGTGATTAAGAGGCCAATGACCATAACTGGGGCGGTGTGGCTAAGTGGATGCTCCGTCATTTGAGACGCAACGCGTCCCACCTGCCTTTGTGCGTGCGTGCTCCACGCGTGTTCGTGCACACATGCAGCTGCTCCTCGTAACCATATGCACTGCACGCGCACATCCATGACTCCGTGTAACTAAAGCACGTTGTTTACAGTCCTGTGCACACGTACGTATACGTACCATATACATACTCGCACGCACGTTTAAACATGGTATCATCCACGCACATCACATGCACGCACATCTTCTTGCAACAGGACACTAACACGCTTGGGCACCCATTTACAGAAAGGGCACAGCGAACGCATGACATCCACACTGGTGCGTGTTACCGCTACCACAGCCCACCACGTATTGCGCTAGTGTATGCACACGACCCTTAAAACATGTCGTGCCACACACCACACACACCTCAGCTTGAACTACAGCACACCAAATACCCCCACTTGCTGTGACATGTCAATTGTGAGGTGAAATTGTCAGTGTGCATACATTCCATTTTACTGCATGCACTCACATTATGTGGAAGTGTAATTGTGATGACCTGTTCAAAAGTTGTTGGGTTTGTTATTTTTTCTTCTCATTTTTTACCCACTTTCAGTTATGTTTACCTGGTATAAAATAAATACATACCAATAGTGACATCAAAATATATAAAGAATATTGTAGGGTATTGAGACGTCACTTTTAATTATAATCGGCCTTTGTTAATCGTTTAAGTATGATAAGATGCCGCAAAATGCCTTTGTTTTTCTGCAAGTGCAGAATTAACCTAATAACAGTTGTGAAAACAAACCGTAAGTGAAAGTGGGCAGCATAGCCTCTGATGGAATGTTTGCAAATGGAACTGTGGTGAAACATTTGCATCCAACGTTAAGTCCACAAATGGTATATTCCAGTAAAACATGAATGGCAAAATATAAAATTTTTACTCCATTCTACATATGGCAAATAGTCCAATGGTAGCATTATTAGTCCATTTAATATAATTCTATGTTGACAAATACTTACTTTAGGTACTCTGCTTTAAGGCATCATACTGTATACCAATAGTTATAATTTTGGCATATTGTGATATTCTTTAGTTCAAACATACTAGTGCTTTTAATTACACTTGCCGTATAGATACATGTTTGACAGTCGAGTGCAGTGGTAAGCAGCCTGCGGCCTACAGGCTGCATGTGGCCCATGGTGCCCCTTATGGTGGCCTGTTTTCAGGGTATCTAGGCTTATGCGTGGTGGTCATGTGGCCCACTGACCATCGCTAGTTTATAGTATACTGGAAAACAATATAAGCACTATATTACATATTGGTGTTTATGAAGCCATGTTTCCAAAAAGTGATAATTGTAGAGAACAAGCTGCTGTAGTACTTGGTCCATTTGTCGCCTAAACGTTGCCCAAATACTTCACCACAGTAGTATGTGTTGCACCGTCTGTGACAGATTTCCTGCTGAAATAAATACAATCTGAAATCCGATTTTGAAGTATCCACGTCTACAATAAAAGTTTGTTTTGCCTGGCATTTGGCTGTGTGTTTTAATTTCGCGCAATAAACAATAAAAATGTGACTTTGTTAATATGCCCCAATCACAATTCTTAGCTTATTGCAGGCCCTGAAAGCTTTGGGCCAATCCGGCCCTCTTTTCGAAGTCAATCCAATTACATAACAAAAAAAGCAAAGTAGGGTATGTTAATAGCAAAACAACTTCCCATATTTATAACTACATACAAAATATAAATATTTAGTCAATTGGCTGTATGGTCTTCTGGCAAGAGCATCAAAACAGGATTGGTTCAAAACAAGAACCGGAGCGTTTTCCCACATTCAGAATCTTATCCACAGACAGGTTTGCTTGAGCCAATGCTGGTGACTTGATCCTTGCTTAAAAACTTGGCTTCAAGCAAGCCTGATTTTTCTGATGAGATACAATTTTGAAACCAATGCAGCTGATAAGATGTACTCCCTGACGGCCGTGCAGCTGATTGAGTTTTCTAAGAAATACGTCCAAAAATTACATAATTACAAATAGGGGAAGGGGGCATTGTGTATAACGTATCAGTCGTACAAATCGGTAAGCATATTGGTTGCCACATTTGCAAGCAAATGGAAAAGACTGGGTGAAAAGAGTCAGGTGTTTTGAACCCCATGTCTATGCAACAGTCCAATATGGCAGTCATGGATAACTAAACTCTAAAGGTATAGTTTGCATTCAGTACAGAAAGATAGCAGGAAATTTGGAATCCACATCGACTGGAGCCAGGGCTGGAAGTGTAACTTCTACATTTTGGTTTTGGGGCAATAATATCCATCATCACACTGGTAATTGTATACAATTCTAAAGCTCACTGATTAGTGCTTAGAATATGAAACTGGCCATTTTTTTGTTTCATGACTCCATTGCCAATAGGAATAATGAACATCCACCAGTCTTGACAACTCCCACAACTACTGTCCTCGCCCATATATTGAACACCGTTTTGTTGGAAACTGCAAAATTTCCTGAAACGCCAGTCTGCAAGGATGATACCTTTTTTTTACCCATGACAAATATTGATATCTTTACACAATTCAAACATTTTATTCAAACATTAACTTCCTATCAACATGGAAGTTGTGTCGATCCATAAAAAACACGTGTTTAGCGATTGATTAATTATTCCAATTGTGCTGTCGGTGTCATGCCCTCAGATTGAACACATTTGTAACGCCAGCCTCTAGCAGTACACCTTGACTGAGAACCACTTTGGAAAATATCACGCAATGACTTGTCTCGTCACTTCATATACACTAGGAAGCGCACCTTGTATATATCCTGCATAGTCGCATATCAATCCAAAAAATTCATTCTCAGAGCTGCAAATTATATTTTTATCAAAACCAAATGTAATGTATGTGTATGCTGAGGCCATGAACTCACTACACGTGAGAATCTGGTGTAATCACAGATGGCTTAACCCTGGAATGAACCTAGGTTGTCTCTGCAGTACTGGCCACTGCTCTAAAACAACTGATAAATGGGCACACAAAACACATCCTTCACGTATCTGTCCCTCCACATAAAAAAAAAACATTTACACATCCCATTAGTATGAGTGCAACACTACCAAACTGAACCTGTTTCAACATTCAAGTGTCTCATTAGCAGTCAAGCTTGCTTGAACCAATGCCGGAGAACCACTAAATTATGTACAGGCAAGGACTTTCTGTTAAATATGAGTCCCCACTATGGGGACCTCATTTGCCAGTAAAAATATGATAATTGGTTCTTTACCCTTCTATCTGGCAACAAAACTGACACCTTTTTGCAAGGAGTCATGTTTGCATAGACCACAATACCTGCAGTCGGAATGCAAACAAAAACCACAACTCTGATAATGTATGCACTGTCCTTGAAATTGATTGGTCCACACCCGAGACAGCTTTCTTTAGAGCCTAGTCTCACATGGTGTTGGACCGGATGACGCCAATGAACGACACTGATTGCTGCGTCCAGGAGAACCTCGGCGCGACGCGCAGGGGATCGGGTTTTAAACGCGCGCGCCCTCCTCTGTGATTGGACGGCTCGGCTTTGTGGGCGGAGTCTAAGCGGCGGTATAAAACCCCCGGTTAGCGGTGACGCGTTTCCTGTCGGAGGTCGCCGTTCATGGACGAGGTTGGTCGAGGCAAAAGGGTCCCCCCCGAGTCGCGTCGAGTTAAAAAAATAAAAAAACTATCTTCGTAATTAACAACGCGGCAACACTGATCCGCGCAACCACGCGCTGTTGTTATTGTTGTTATTATTATTGTGAGGCGATTCTTTAAAGGTTCATTGGAGCGCGTTTAAAACTTTAATAAATATAAGCAGTGACGTCACGCTCTCAAAACCGTTTAATTCCGTTGAGTCTTTAACGTCGGCACAGCGCGGATTATACAACATTATTAAGCGTTTACAATAGTAACCAGCAGCTATTTTATACCCGCAATACCACCAACAACAGCTATAATAAATCGTTACGTGAATATAACAAATCCTGGAGCAAAAAAAAAACGAATTGATAATAGCGAATCACTTCACATTTGATCAATGGGGGACCCCAGCCAATACATTGATGAGCAGGGCCAGGTTGGACCCACGGGGCAGTCGGCGCACATGGACCGTGATGACCTCGCAAGCGACGCCGTGGCAGGGATGGTCCCGGGGGGCCCCTACGTGGAGATGAGCGAAGTGATTTACGCGCAGTTGCACCAAATGTCCTACACCTCTATAGCAAGCGCGCCGACTGGGCAGGGGCAGCAAGAGGGGGTCAGCACTGAAGACGAATGTTTGGAGGATACATTGGTCGCTACACAAGGGCAGCAGGATCAGCAGCAGGTGTTAGTTACCCCTGCCCAGGACAATGCGTTTCAGGCCGCAGTGCAGCAGCAGCAGCAGCAAGGCCACATGGACTTTCACGACCTCAAGGCGATGCTGGTGAATGAGCCGCCCTCTGCTCACCAACACCATCAGCATCATCACCACCAGCAGGACCACCATCTGCTGGTCGTTCACAGTATGGAGAAGCACCCAGAGATGCAGGTGCACGAGGTTGAGTCTCCACGGCTGCTGGATCTCACCACGGTGGGGCCTTTGCCGCGGGACACGGAGGAGGAGGACGAGGAGGAGGAGGAGGGGGGTGGTGGCACCGTGAGATGCCAGATGCGACAAGGGGAAATGGGAGTGAGGGTTCGGCTGGAGGATCGTTTTGCGGAGAATATGAGCAGCAGCAGCAGGGACTTGATGTGTGAGAAGTTTCTCTCTGCCCAGAGACAGCAAAGGGGTCCGGCCTTGGAGCACAGCAAGTAAGGGTCAGATTCCTCGTCTGAATTTCGTGACTGCAGGGATTCATCTTATTGGTTCTTTCGGTAAAGTCACGTAGAAGGGAAGTAATAATAAAATAATAAAAATAAAACATAATAAAATAATTCTCACGACGTTTCGGCCACAACGCAAGCAGCCGTCCTCAGATGAAGACCAGGTCTGTCGGGGAGACGGCGTCTGAATGACGCTGTCTCCCCTGAGGACGGCTGCTTGCGTTGTGGCTGAAACGTCGTGAGAATTTTATTATGTTTTATTATTTTATTACTTCCCTTCTACGTGACTTTACCGAAAGAACCAAGAAGATTCCTTGTCTGGTTAGTGAGGTATATGGGGCCAGGGCATCTAGGCAAATTGGAAGTGCCAGGAGATTGGGTTCGAGGGTTGATCCCAGAATATGTCTCTATTATGTAACATTTAGAATAGTATAAATGTATGTTGAGTTTGGAAAATATGTTATGGGATCTGGATTCACCAAATAGATTCCGTGTGTTGGGTAGTAATCGGTGTCTGTAGGGAAATTATGGGTAATGTGTGGGTTTTTTTGGGGTGTTTTGTTGCCCTTTAACATGCCAAACATTAATTGAATTGCCCAACCATTCCAATTTAGCACTGTCCTGAAAAACGAGTCCTGTGACATCAGTGGGAAAATTAATGCCATACTTTTATATTGATGACGTTTTCCTAAACTTGTAGTAAAGTTGAAAATGTCACAATGTATATTAGATGTGCATCTAAATGACTGAGACAAATGTGTGCCTTTCAATATAAGGTCGAGGGGCTTTACTGCACAACTGACTGCGCTGTGATGGCCTGTGTCCTTCAGCTTGGTGTCTGGGGCTCAGCACCTGGCTGAGTATTGCGGGCAGCAGACTCTGGAGCAGCAGCATCAGCAGCAGCTGCATTCAGACCCAATCACTGGGAAGGTCGTTTCAGGGCCCAGCTCCTCGGTCGTGAAGTTTGTGTTCCCCGGTTACAAGCAACATAAGTGCTTTCCCAGCAGTTCCAAGGTGAATGAGCCATGTTCGTTTTTTCTACATCATATCACTGTGAGTATGCTCGTTCTCATCAGAACTCACACCCAAGGTTGGGTCTGGTTAGTAATTGAAATGAATACCGGGCGTAAGCTTGGGCTGCGAGGTGGCCAGGAGATGGCATCACATTCTTGAATCTAACTGTGCTGAGCTTTGAGTGTTTCCCTTCATATGCGTGGGTTTTCTCTGGTTTCCTCCCACATGCAAAACACTCTTTAATTGGTCAAATATCCCACGGTAAGGTTTCTCTGGGTAAATAAAAATTGTAATACAAGTGAAGGGTACATGTTTGGATGTGGTCAATGGCAAGATGGGGATAATTATCTACTTTGACCCGAAATAAAATGCTTTGGAGGCAAGGGTCGGTGTGGGTCTCAGATTTGTGAGCTTCCCAAACCCACCGAGCTGGAAAATGAGTAAATCAAGTGGGTTAATTAACTCATCTATGCTTACCTTTGAGGGTATGTCTTGCATGTATGTCTTGCATGTTTGGCTTAATTCGGCTTCTAAGATTTACTCCCATAATTGGGGTTTCACTCCTTGGCGGCTTTTGACATTTCCACTAGGTGGGGCTGTTGTGAGTTACCTCTGAATATATTGTGTTCTAATTAAGAAAAATACCTCGTCATGTAATTGGCCTTCCCGTGAAAGTGACATAACTGTCTTATCTACCAACGGTAGGCATTTATAAACAATACGAAACAAAACAACAGCACTCAAATTCTGCCCCCATGACCATCAAGTCCTCACTACACAACCCCTTTGACACTGCGAAAAGCCTGAAGAACAATTAAAGATCAAAGAGTAATTAACACGACTCGACAAATGAGCCAAGGCAACCAAGACACCGCATACTATGTAATAACAGCCACATACCGTCGTACACCCACCTACGTGTTGGCCGTGACTTGTTATATTAGCACAGTGCAACCTAGCGTTGTGACATAGTAATTACAGCTGTGGGCGCCACCCAGAATGGGTCTCAAACGGCGTGGCTAAAATGCTCGAAGCTAATCGCAATGAATGCAGGGGGACATCTCTCACTTGGACGCCTTCACAGCCGCCCCGAGACCTCCCCGAGGCACAAATCAGACTTTTGCAGCGGTTTCCAAAATTAACAACAAAATGTTAGGGCAATTAACGTTCAAAGAATCGTATTTTAAAAATTTCAAACGCAACAAAACAATTTATAGAAAAGTCTTTTTAGACAAATAGTTTCTAATTTCCAGCTGCTTGGTGGGGCAGCACCCCAACACCCCGAGTGGACGAAGCGCGCATGGTTTTACTGTAAAAATATGGAACAGCTGAACTGAGATTACAAGAGGAAATGTGTCGTCACTAACAGTTTTCACAGCTAAATTACAAAATGTCTTTAAAAATGCATTGCAAAATATAAAGAGAGAAACATTAGATTGAGAAAAGTAGGAACCATAACTTTGCTGAATACGATCCTAATAACCAATGTAACATATGCTTGAATAACTTTAAAATGGCTGCAGAATTGGACTCAAAATAATTGAGCAGAATAAGCCACGTTCAATTCACTAAACAAATACAATTATTGTTGACGGGACTTCTGATGAAACACAGCAGAATATTTATAACCAGGGCAAATATTGAAGGTGGCTGAACAAAAATTACGAAGATCAGGTTGGAGTGCTTTTGGATAATGATAATGAAAAGCAACATGCCAGTGTGCCAAAAGAGAGACGCTTTCCATTAGTAAATATTGCCTACTCTGATATATAAATAATCAAACATGAACGAAAACTGAAAAGTATCTGAAGGAGCTTGGAGAGATGCATGCTCGGACCAGAAACCATACATTCCGAAAAAGAATACTAATTTGAACTCATCAAATGTGCTGTGTACAAACTGCTGCATTCAAATAATGTGCCTCTTGTTGTGTTAAAAATTGTTGCTCAGATGGTGCCTCCACCTCAAAATATACCGACAGAGCGGTTACTGGAGTCTTTGCACATGAAGTTCAACCAGGGCTTGGAGGCCCCAATCCACATGGGTTCGCTGGCACCACCAGTCTTTAGCACAGACAAGCATCCATCCACACAGCCCTGGAGGAGCCAAGAAGGTGCGTTTGTCACTTTTCGACATACAACAATGGCAGTACCTGTCCCTAGTCACGATAAGTGTGTTTGTGTGTTAATACATAAAAAGTGAAGAGCAGTTGTTACCACACTTTTTTTTTACAAACGAAGGAATATGCACTCATCTCCACTTGTACATACTCGTATAATCCTCAGTCATAGTGTGTGCAGTCAGAGTGTCTATATGAGTATATGTGAGTGCATGCATGCATGCATGCGTATAAGTATGGACAAGCATGAGCTTGTGTGTATGTGCGCACACGTGCCTCTTTGCATTTGTTCAGAGTTGGAGAAGGAACTGCGCAATGTTTTCAACGAGGCCAAGGTACAGCCCAAGCGGCACCTCGACAGGTCGGAGCGCAAGACCCTGGGTGACATCGGCAACAAGATGAGGGGGCAAGCCCCGTCGCAAAGCTCGTATGCAAGCCCGGCCTCGCCGCCGGAGGGAGGGAACTACAAGCGCGTGCGGCACAACCTCATGGAGAGAGATAGGAGGTGTGGCGCTCGGGCTCACGCCTGCGACCCTGTGCCTTGGAGGATCAATGGATCACTTCGATTCGTGAATTTCCCAAAACTGTTGAGATGGTGATATAGCATGTGGGCTTGAGATGTTGGGTGTTGTCTCATCGTGTGTTTTGTGGGTTTTCTGTGGGTACCGTGGTTTCCTTCCTCATGCAAAACTTTCAGTAATCGACTGTGCCAAACATCCCAGTGCAGAATGTGTCTTAAAAGGAGGCCTGACTGTTAGTATCTCTCAGGGAAAAAAATGACATTAAGTTAGAGCAGGGGTCCGCAACCAAAATAACATTCAATTTTTTTCTAATTTGGTAAAAAAACTATTTCGAGAGCCCACAATACATGTGAATACATACTGCACATAAATAACGTCATGCAGTTAGTAAAGAGCCGCATGCGGCTCCGGAGGCGCGGGTTGCCGACCCCTGCCCATGACAATGCTCTGTGGTCTATTTTGCCTCCTTAGCCTCTCCAGCAATGGGTGTCAATAATACAGTTTGGCATTCTAAATAAATGAAATGACTTATTTTAAAAATGCAAGGTGTGGAGTGGTGGTGCGGTGTTTAGCACACTGCCCTATGAACCGAGTCACATGAGTTCACATTCTGGCTACATATAACATCGGCGGGGAGTGCTATCTAAACATCCTGGGTCCTCCAAATCACCAACCTGTAACGACCAGTGTGGTGAAGCATGGTGAAGCAACCCCCTTGATCGACGTGGCTTATAGAGGAAGATTATATTTGTATAAATGTATTGGTTGAAGGAGAAGGTAAGGGGGTGTTATGGAGAGAAGTAATACGCAGAAGAGAATCATCATTCCTAAATGATAAAAGCATGACGATCTCGCAATGTAAAGCGATTTTAACAAGAGAAAATGAGCCCTGCCTCACATTAATTTGAAGAGGGAGAAGCCTTGACTTCTTAATGGTACTTCATCCCGAAATATCTAAACTTCGCCTCAAGACTCATGTTTCAAGAGGGTCCTGTTTGAATTGTTTTGGCCAATTACCAAGCACGTCTGCATATGGGAGGAACCCAAAGTGCCCATACAAAACCCACGCATAGGAAATAACATTGAACTGACCCAAACACATAGGTTAGTGACCGATTGGGTATACTGTCATTTCTTGGCTCCATCATGTGTGTGCGATCCATCAACATGCTGGATTATGGTCGTGCAGCGAGATGAGCAAAGGATTGTCCCCCACCCCGTGCTGATTTGTGCAGGCGACGCATTCGTATTTGCTGTGACGAGCTCAACTACCTGGTTCCCTTCTGCAACGTGGAGACGGACAAGGCCACCACCCTGCAGTGGTCAGTCACGTTCCTCAAGTACATTCAGGAAAATCATGGCAAGTACCTCAAGGAGGTGAGGCCACACACAACACGGCATCCAAGTTCCAATGCCAGAATTGTATCTTGACGACATTACCTCAACACGTAATTTTGCTCGTTCACAGTTCAATATGTTTAGGTGATGTTTTGTCCAAATTCCAGCTGGTGGTTCATTGTTATCGCAAGCATCTGCAATTGGAAGGTTGCGAGTTCAAATAATGGTGGGGGGGTCGACTGAACACATCATCTCTCCAATAGATACCACTTTGTGGGAAAGGCAACCGTAGTTGTCATATGGATAGACTTGCCCCGGGCATAGGGATGTGGAATTTTCACCACTGGTTCAAAACTGTAAACAGATTAGCACCATCACATTTTTCTTTGGAGGAGGAAATTACACTTTTATAAATCTCAAAGATCATATGAAAAATTTGCCTAAATGCTCATTGATCCATTATCGTTTTAACTTTTATATTAAAAAAAAAATCTTTTTTTATATAAACTCCCATCACAATTGTTCTATCGGAGTCCTATCAAGAAGGAAATAGATATATGCAGTTCATAATCAATAATGCTCATGGGAAAGGGAGATGGACTGAAAGGAAAATACAACTCAAAAAACATACAACTGGTGTCTGGTAGATATATATCTAGGTTGTCTATCTCAGATTGACCCGAATTTGAAACTTTGTGAATGAATAATAGACTTTGAAATCCCAGGTAAATGTGTCATTTTGAAACTAATGATGTCACCACAACACTTCTTCCTAACATGTAAATACAACGTAAATGCTGTGATATCACTCGAGCTTACTGTGACTTTAAAGTATTTTTTTTAATAATCAACAAAGCATTGAAACTCATATCAGACAGCCAAAAGCACGTACCCTAAGTACGTATGTGCAGGGTGGCAAGAGCTAGTTTTCTGGGCTGTCTTTTAGGAATGCTACCAGTTTAATTAAATTTCCCAAAGCAGCAGTTAAAAGGGAAAGTTTTTTTTTCTCCCCGCCTCTTCACCCAGCAGTATAAATGGCTATACCACAGTAGGTCACGTGTAGTTGGGTAAAGTGTGGGTAACTCCTCCCTCTCCAAATACGTCTGGCCAGCTTGGAAGATGACGAAAAATTACCTCTAGAGGGAGCGCAAAGAGCTCCCTCGGTTGGAGGGTTTTCTGGCAGCGGTGGCTTGAGCAAGCATTTCCTCGGCTGTACCTTTACCTTACTTCCAGCTTAAGCAGGGCATCTCTGTGTCTGTGTGTATGTGTGTGACTGCGAGCACAGGAGTTTGAAAGCATGTTCTGCAACAAGGCAGAGCAGTCAATTAAACCGAAGGAGACGAGCAGGGTGTGAGAAGAAATGATGGCGCCACACACAACCCCGTTGACACATCTCTCTCTCATCCTGAACAGCTATATCTTAACATTTGGTTCGTCATTTAATTTGCAGTTTGTGAAACGTTTGTATTTTGTCAAGTTTTGTTGGTGAGTTGCACCCATCGGTGGCAATGGTCATGAATTTGGATTGTTGAAATGCCGAAGAATCCTCGTCATGATCCCGCGGATATTAATCGTATTTTTAGAAGGAAAGTGTGGCGAATCCAGCTCATGGAAGAAATGTGCAAGCTAAACATGCTCACAATAGCCCTGCTCAATATATTCTCAATGAATATCCGAAGCTAAAGATGATAATTGTTCACTTCATGAGCTTTTTAACTGTCGTATCTACTGTTTGTACAGGTACCATTTTGTCTGGGTAACTGTTGTGGAAATAGTGGCAGTATTGTAATCGGGTTATATTGCACTGACAATCCAACACTTGGGTGAAACCAGCCTACAATTGCCATGTAGAGAAGCAAACTTTATACTGACGAACAGGCCATTTGTTACCTTTCCATTATCAATGTGGTGGCTGGATCAGTCAGCTATGCTTGTGTATCTAGACTGATGATGCACACAGGGCAGTGAGTTATTTCACGATTTCTTGCACTCTACTGCAAATATAGTAGTAACCTGTGCTATACTTGAAGGTTGTGTAAATAGAGTATTGTTTTGAACAGCTTTGGCAGGCTTTTGCAGGAGGTAGCAGTTGCACATTTTTGTTCCGTAATGTATTTGAGTTGGGCTTTGTAAAAAAAACGTTTATGGACCTGAAAACGTATTTGTTAGTCAGCATACTTTCAAGGGTTTAAGGAAACCATATATCTTTGGTCCTGTAGATGTGATTTTTGTTGCTTGGGCAGTGAACTCGGGGAAAGCCATTATTTACAAAATGCAATTTCTCGCATTCTTATGATGCTTTGTTGGTAATTTACTGTTTTAATAACTTTTGTTATTGTTTGAATGGACTTTGCACTTTTATGTTGGATTTGATTTTGTCAAGAATTTGGAAAATGTTAATATTTAAATAGCAACTTAAATGCAAAGCAGCTGGAGTGGCAGCACTGTGTTAGTGCACTGCATTCTGAACCTGCCAAAGGCACATCTGTGTCTGTTGTGAAGCTTGTTAAATAAAGTTGTTTTGTAATGCAGTGTAGTGCAGTGCCCAGTACATTCAATTCTGTATTTGTGCAAATAAATAATACCTTGAAGTTGTGCACTGACTTTCAGTCCATAGCCGCACATGAGGATGTTGTTCTTAAGATGCTCACCAATCAAAACTAGCAGTGTGGGACTTGGGGACAGCCCTGGCCTTAACCTCTCAACCTGAGTGAAACTGCAGTTACTATTACTTTGAGTTTTTACAGCTGCCTCAACTGGATGAGATGTGCTTTATAATTAATGTCAGGCTCCCTTTGCTTCTGTTACTCATTTTAGTGTCGTCGTCCTGTGTCACATTACACGTCCTAATCGTTTAATTTGTTGCGTTATGCTCACTTACTTGAGCGGATCAGTTTGGTTTGGATTTGATGGTGAAAAATGCTTCTGAATGCAACTGCAGCCCAGTGTTTGAATTCGTTATATTTGTGTGAATATGAACATCTTGAGTCTGTAACCTCTGCAGCATGCTGGTTCGTATACAATGGTTTATATGTAAGGTGTGTTTTATGATTTTCTTACGCATGACATGTACAGTTATTTAAATGCAATAAATCTAGTTACAAAGTTCGTTCATTCTTCCTCATTACTGGCAATGGAGGCGAACATTTCTGTTTGTGATTTTAATTGTGGGGGAGGAGATTGTTGACGAAGCCCAGGCTTGGTGATGCCGTATTGAGCCTTAGATGGCAGTATGCACCCATATGATTGATACTGTAATGGTAAAAACAAATCATGACCTTAGTGGCTGAGGTGTCTTTTCACCTCTCAAACTCACGTCACTTCCTCCACTAGAGGGAGCGCAAGATAACCCGAATTTAACGAGTACTGGTAGGAACCTCCTGGTTACACCAGCCCACAGGGGATTATTGTGTCCGTCCGTCGTGCATCCAAAAATGGGAGGGGTGGGGCTGGGTGGAGAGGGTGGGGAGGGGCTGGGTGGGGAGGGTAGGGCTGGGTGGGGGGTGGGAGGGGTGGGGCTGGGTAGGGAGGGGCTGGTCACCCCGTGGTGCCCTTATAAAACTCAACGTTTAACCTACTCACGCCGGCTTGTGCCCGCCCTCATAGTCGGGCATATTTGCGGAATACACCACGCCGCCGTTGACCCTGCAGGCCATTGACCGAGCAACCCAACGTTACTACCAGCTCCCTCCGCAGGAATGTGTTTTAGTTCTAGATTTGAAGTTTTCGTGACTGCAAGGATCCATACTCTTTGGTTCTTTCGGTAAAGTCACGTAGGTGAAAATAAAATAAAAATTACTAAATTTTAAATTAAAGCTTTCGTGACTGCAGGGATTCATATTCTTGGTTCTTTCGGTAAAGTCACGTAGAAGGGAAATAATAAAAACATAAAACAATAAAATTCTCACGACGTTTCGACTGCAACACAAGCAATCATTATCAGGTGTGAAATCCACTGCAAGATATGTTCCTGCTGTGGATTTCACAGAAAATGGCTTGCTGTGGATTTCACGTGACTTTACCGAAAGAACCAAGAATAAAAATAACTAAATCACGACGTTTCGGAGGCAACACAAGCTTCCGTCATCAGGCAGAGAGAGCTGTATGTGTGGAGTCGGGGACGGGGCTGTAAGCTGTTGTCGTTATTTACTGTAGCCCCGAGGCAATTAGAATATCATATTAATCACATCCTGCTAGTGTGCGGTAGGTAACGGCTGGTGAGATACCATGCCGGCGTGGCTTTACCGAAAGACCCAAAGAATATGAATTCCTGCAGTCACGAAAGCTTTAAGTCAAGATAAAAAATAATAGTTTATAGAGTATAGTGCTGTTCAGGGTGGTCCAGATGTCTTCTGAGCCCCATTAAAATATCTAAAACGTCATGTTTTTTAAGTAAGGTTTATTTCAAGCAGAAATTAATTACTTGGGGGGTGGGGGTCACAAGACATATGGACCACCCAATCTATATATATAAAATCGTTCATGTCTGTCTGTCTGTGTGTGTGTGTGGACTTTGGCCCATACGCACTTTCATTGGACGGCGGTTGCCCCTGGCAACGGCTAGCCACGCCTTCGCCGCTTTCATTGGACCTGGCAACGGCTAGCCACGCCTTCGCCAAGGGCTGCAGTTTCATTGGACGGCGGTTGCCCCTGCCAACGGCTAGCCACGCCTTCGCCACTTTCATAAGCTCCGTATTTAATTAAATAATAGCCATTACACAGTATTGTTGGAGCGCTAGGGGCGGGGGGAAGGAACGCCACCCGTACCCTGCCTCTTCCAAGCCGACAATTTTAGGCGAGGCCGCAGGCTTTGCACGCTACTAGGCCTCGACACCCACCACGCCACTCTGAGGTAAATTCATCAAAGTTTTTCCTACTCTTCACTACACCCCCACCACAATGTGTGCTATTAATATTACTTTTAAACCCAACACGCCAACAATCGATTACTTTAATGTTCACTGTACAAATACTCATTAAGCTGGGTGAGCGTACTGCCAGTCTATCATGTACACTGTAGCCTGCTTATTAAGCTCGGTGAGCGTACTGCCACTCTATCATGTACACTCTAGCCTGCTTATGAAGCTGAGTGCGTGTACTGGCAGTCTATAATGTGGACTCTTGCCTGGTTATTATAATCGATTCTTTATATGTTCTTTGTACAAACAGTCATTAAGCTGCTTGAGCGACCCCAGTTCGATTCCAACTCACGCCCACCACCGCTGACGATTATTTGAAACGGACCTGGCCCTCCCCTAGGTCCACTCAGCCTCAAAAGCGTAACTGCTGTCGTGTGTGAACATCGTCACTGGGGAGACAAAGGCGGCGGGGCATCGTGGATCCAAGTCCCGGGCGAAGCCGGGTCATGTGTATGTGTGTTTGTGTTTATGTGTATGTCTGTGTGTCTCTATGTATGTGTGTATGTATGTGTATGTATGTGTTTGTGTGTATGTGTGTGTGTATGTATGTGGGTTTTTTTTATGTCTTTATGTGTATGTCTGCGTGTCTCTATGTATGTGTGTATGTACGTGTGTGCATGTGTTTGTGTGTATGTATGTGTGTGTCTATGTATGTGTGTGTCTATGTATGTGTGTGTATGTGTGTGCATGTATGTGTGTGTATGTCTGTGTGTATGTGTTTGTGTGTATGTGTGTGTATGTATGTGTGTGTATGTGTTTGTATGTGTTTGTGTGTTTACGCTCGCATTACACAAATGTGTTGCTGGTCTAAGGCGTTCCTCGCACAGCATTGCCGCTTTATTATTTCAGTCGTTTACTGCCTTACGCACCCTGAAAGTCGTGTGTCTGCAGCAAGCGCGTGTATGTGTACCTATGGACGCGCGCGCGTGTGTTGTGTAGGGGGAACGGTAGTGTAGTGCTTAGCGTGCTGTCTGTGTCTGTGTCTGTCTGTGTGTGTCTGCGTGTGTCTGTGTGTGTGTCTGTGCGTGTGTGGTGTGTGAGGAGCGGTGGGTGTAGTGCTTAACGCTACGCTGCGCTACCAACCCGGCGAACCCAGTTCCATTCCCGCTCACGGCCACCACCGGTGACGATTATTTGAACCTCCCCTAGGTCGACTCTGCCTCAAACGAGTAACTTAACTACTGTAGCGTATTAACATCGCCACTGGGGAGACAAAGGCGGCCGGCCGTGGTAGATACAAGTCCCGGGCGAAGCCGGGTAGTACAGCTAGTACATTTATATAATTCTTGGTTCTTTCGGTAAAGTCACGTAAAAGGGAAACAATAAAATAATACAATTATAAAACAATAAAATAAAATAAACTCATAAAATATTTTTTTTATTGTTTAATAAAAAAAATTATATTTTTAATAACTTTATTATTTTATTGTTTCCCTTCTACGTGACTTTACCGAAAGAACCAAGAATATTAATCCCTGCACTCACTAAAGCTTTAAATCAAAATTCACCCAATACATTGTTGGAGGTCCCCACGTAAGATGGCCGAGGAATTTGGCTTCGGAGTCGCCTTCAAGGTCGCACACTGGGAAATCACGTGAGCAGTGCCCAGGTCACGTGAGCGAATGGTGCACCGAGCCTGGCACATGCGCATGTTGGAGGTTGTTGTTGCATACAGAATCTGAATATTTATACTGGGGGAATCCGATGAGCTATAAAGATCCTTTTCACAGATGTCCACTCGGGGCGAGTCAGAAACTGACAACAAACAATACAAAAACACGATATGAAGGTAAACAAATAACTTGGATAAACCATACAAATACAACTAAAAGGGAAACAATAAAATAATAAAAAAATATTGTTTGTGACTTTACCGAAAGAACCAAGAAAATAAATCCTTGCAGTCACGAAAGCTTTAATCAAAATACAACTAAATTATGTTTTTTTTTATATCTTTCCAGGCAAAGCCCACTGAGGTGAGGGGGGACAGAGGGTGGATAAGATCACGTGATGCAATAAGGGGGGGGTGAGAGGGTGGATAAGATCACGTGATCTATCAAGGGGTGGGGGGGACAGGGTGGATAAGATCACGTGATCTAACAAGGGGGGGGCAGAGGGTGGCTAAATCACGTGATCCAACGACGGGGGGGGGGGCAGAGGGTGGTTAGATCACGTGATCCAACGACGGGGGACGGACAAGGGGGGGTGAGATCACGTGATCGTGCCAACGGTTGGGGGCCCTGAGGGGGGAGGGGGTGTAGGGGGAGGGGGTGTAGGGGGCGGGGGTGTAGGGGGAGGGGGTGCGTAGGGGAGGGGGTGTAGGGGGAGGGGGTGTAGGGGGCGGGGGTGTAGGGGGAGGGGGTGCGTAGGGGAGGGGGTGTAGGGGGAGGGGGTGTAGGGGGCGGGGGTGTAGGGGGAGGGGGTGCGTAGGGGAGGGGGTGTAGGGGGAGGGGGTGTAGGGGCGGGGGTGTAGGGGAGGGGGTGCGTAGGGGAGGGGGTGTAGGGGGAGGGGGTGTAGGGGGAGGGGGTGCGTAGGGGAGGGGGAGAGTAGGGCGGGGGTGTAGGGGAGGGTGCGTAGGGGAGGGGGTGTAGGGGGAGGGGCGAGTAGGGGAGCGGTGCTGTAGGGGGAGGGGGCGCGTAGGGGAAGAGAGGGGTAGTATAGTACAGAGCCCCCACCCCCGCACAACCCAGTCACGTGGGTGAGCGCTTAGCCAATGCGCTGCGTTGTTGAGCGCGAGGCCTCGAGCCCGTGCATAACAAGGCCCCCCCCTCCCCCCGCTCGAGCGCGCGGGCCCAACCCGGGCCCCGTCTCGCACTCTGCCCGCGTCCTCCCCTCGGCGTCTCGCCCTCGTCAGTCGTCGTCGTCGTCAAACCTTGTCCCTCCCTGCGATTGACGACGATCACAAGACGCACCTCCTCCTCTTCCTCCTCGTCGTTAATGGCATGGACCCAGGAGTAGAAGCTACCGCTGTGGGTGCGTTGAGAGAAACAACAACAACAGCACCCGTGGCACAGTTGCGTTGTTGAAGAGTGGCACGTTATTGTGGTGATTAATTTGTGGTGTTTTTGTGGGGCTCATTTCTTGTGTAAAAGTGATATTGCCGCACATTTTTGGTATTTTTTGTAACGTGCGTGGCCCTTTAGTACAATGTTTACATTTTGGGTTTTAAAAAAAGTCGAATTTTGGAACAAAATAAATGATTGTTTGGCAACATCGGTGGCATTCGGTGGGCCATTTCTGGTGCAAAAGTGTTTTGAGCCACAAATTACCACCACTTGTTTGTATATTATATATTTAACCAATGAGGTTTCTCTAACTTGTGTGCTTTCCACGTATGCACCTTAAGTTTGTTTATCATTCGTACACGGTTTTATATATATATGGTCAAATGTTTTACAGTAAGCACGGTCGCTGTGCGAATTTCCATTGTTTGGTGATGTTGTTATCGCCACTTTCTGGATGCTGCTGCTGCTGTTTATGACTTTGCTCGAGGAGTTTTTGGCTCGTAAAAGCACCCGTGGTTGAGAGCATAAACCACCTTTTTGCCACCTTTTCATCTCTGCGGTGTAATTTACAACAACATGGATAAAAGGCAACAAACATACGAGATATTTATCTCGGGCGTCGCTGATGCAAACGCCCTGGTCCCTTTAAATTCGGCGGTGGCACCGAGTTGTGTCTGTTGAGGTCGCCGAGTCAAAACTGGGACAACGCCACTCGGATATTGCGGCTGCATTTACTTCTGTGGTGTTGTGGGTGCCCTTGTTATTGTCGTCACAGACACGGCAATGTGCGTCTAAGCTCGATTAAGTGACTTGTTAAACGTCGGTGCCGTTTGTCGCGAAAGATGCGTGTGCGCTTCATGTAAAGTGATCGATGCTTGGCACTGTATTGTTGGTATGTGTCAGTCAGTCAGTCGATGTATGATGTGTGCTTAGTATATTATTGGTGTGCGTATTACGTGTTTGTATTATACCTTTGTTAACATAGGTTATGCGTTTGTTCACTATGAATATAGCTTCAAGTTCATGTATTAGGTATAGCCCTGTGAGCCATTCGGCTCTTGAATCGGGTGCAACCGCAACAAACAAAAAACATCTTAAAGTGAATATGTGACCGAGTGCAAACAGAAAATCCAAGAAAAGACAGCAAAATATTGCTGTTGCGTTCGCTAGCAGTTTCGGGATTGTGATTACTCTTAGTTCTGTATCAGCACTGTCCGGTATTTATTTCCTGTTGAAGTGTTGTGTATGCTTTGCGTGGGCGATGGATGTCCACTGTTATTGTTGTGCATCTGTTAGTGCAATAGCAGTGTGCTTTATTTGTGTATCTCATGTACAATGTGTTTTACTATTAGTGTGAGTATTGTGTGTATTCACGAAGTATGAACACTGCACCGTGATTATTTGTTAGTGGGGATGTCGTTTGTCCACTAGTGTAGTTTGCTGTTACTGTTAACTCGTGTGGACATTGAGTGTGCGTTAACTATCTGCGTTGTTGCTGTGTACCTTATGAGTGGAGGTTCTGCGTGTGATCCCTGTTAGTGCGAACACCACTGCACCCTGTTCGTGAATTGGTGACCTGCCCATCCTGGACATCTGTGAAAAAGAGCTTAATAGCTCATCGGATTCCTCCAGTCTAAATACATATTTTGATTCTCAGTCCCATGTGCATTAATAGTGTAGGGACTGATATTTTTTTTTACCTTTCTATCTGGCAACAAAACTGACACCTTTTTTACAAGGAGTCATGTTTGCATAGACCACAATACCTGCAGTCATAATGCATACATAAAACATAACTCTGATAATGTATGCACTGACAGTGCATACATTATCAGAGTTATGTTTTTTTATTGTGGTCTATGCAAACATGACTCCTTGTAAAAAAAAGATGTCAGTTGTGTTGCCAGATAGAAGGGTAAAAAAACAATTATCATATTTTTTACTGGCAAATGAGGTTCCAATGGTGTAAGTGTAGGGACTGTTCACGATTGGTGTATCCACTGTGTGTTCACAATTATCGGTGTGTCACGGGTTAATTCGTGTTGTTCCGCTTACTGTGTGTGGGTTCATCAATGATCGTCATCAGCCGTGGTCTACACAACTGGATGAACGCATCCACGTACTCTCAACAACCCTCACAGCCCTGAGCTGATCTCATTGCTCGATCGCAGAAGTGGTTGTTATCTGTGAAAATGCTGTCAGGTGGCTTCAAGTCCGTCTCTCATCTCTTTCATTGGCCACCATCAAGTCAATAACTACTTCTTACACGCGTTTTGTCCCACTCATGTGGGGTCCGCTGTCCTTGCCAACCTTCGCCACGCTGTCCTGTCCTGCGTCATCTCTATTTCTTCTCCACGGGCCACCATGTCCGATCGTGCCACATCGTCCACCTCTACGTCTGCCTTCCTCTTGATCTATTTTCTTCCACTTGCATCACTTGCACCTTCTTACCTGCATAATTTTTTTCCTGTTGTCTCTGTTGTGAAAATGTTGTTGTCTTTTCTATTGCAACCACTCGTTTTGCCTCTCTTCTCACTGCCAGGTATTCTTCCAGATGGGCCTTCTCCCTCTCGTGTTCTGCCACTCATTAAACTTGGCCTTTTTCTTTCTTGATGCCTTTTGCACTTCATCACCCCACCACCATGTTTCTTTCTGTTGCATCTGTCTTCCTTTGCTCACTCCCACTGTACTACCTGTTGCTTTCAGTATTGCACTCACCAGTTGTGCCCACATTTCATTCACACTCCTCCTAGGCCTTACACTTGTTAAGTTCTCCATCGCTTGCCTGCAGAATTTTTCTTTCTCGTTGATTAGTTGCTACCATTTCACCCTACTACAGTTCTTTTGTCTCACCTTCCTCTTCCTAACAAGTAGTCTATGTTGTCCAGTCACACACATTCTCCAGGGATTACTTTGCAGTTCTTCACTACTTTCAGTTGCTTCCTCCTGACCAAAATACAATCTATCTGGCTCTTCACCTCTCCACTCTGGTAGGTCACCATGTCCCTCCTGCTTCTGGAATTAGGTTAATCACCACTGCAAGATCATTTGCCTGGGTCATTCGAAGTATGTCCTCTCCGCCCCCATTCCTACTGCCATATCCGCATCCTCTGGTGCCTTTCATATCCTTACCTCTTCCCGCTTTTTCATTTAAGTCTGCACCCATCACCACTGCTTCATCTACCGGTAAACTCTGAAACTCCTGGTCTATGCTCTCCCAAAATTCATCCTTCTCTTGCCTACTGCAGCCCATCTGCGGGGCATACGCAGGCACCACATTTACAACCCCACTGTCCAGTACTAGTCTGACTATGATCAGTCTGTCATTCACTCTTCTGACTTCCACCACCTTTCTCTTAATCTCCTCACTCGGCACAACTCCAACCCCATTACGCCTTGCTGTGGTTCCATGGTATAGCAATTTAAACCCACAGCCAATCTCTTTCGCTCTGCTGTCTTTCCATTTTGTTTGCTGGATGCATGCGATGTCGAATTTCCTCATAAAGAAGTCCACTAATTCCTGCCTTGTCCTGTCATTGTTTCAATATTCCATGTGGCCAACCTTCCTCTCGGAACAACCTTCTGCTCTTACCATTTTGTTTCTCCATTTTGATCTGTGCAGACAACATATTACCACCACCCGGGTCTGCACTCTCTGCAGCGACAGAGTCATTGGGTGCCGAGATTCTTCGCACCCTCTGCCCACTTAAGGGCTGTGGGGGACTGAGGACCATTTGTTTGCAATGACTTTATATCTTCTTGGTTCTTTGGGTAAAGTCACGTAGAAGGGAAATAATAAAATAATTAAAATAAATCTTCTTGGTTCTTTCGGTAAAGTCACGTAGAAGGGAAGTAATAAAATCTACGTGACTTTACCGAAAGAACCAAGAAGATGAATCCATGCAGTCACGAAAGCTTTAAATCGAAAATTAAAATAAAACAATAAAATACAATTCTCACGATGTTTCGGCCACAACGCAAGCAGCCCGTCCTCAGGTGAAGAACAGGTCTGTCGGAAAGACAGCGTCTGAATGAACAGGTTCATTTAGACGCTGTCTTTCCGACAGACCTGTCCTCAGGTGACGAACAGGTCTGTCGGAAAGACAGCGTCTGAATGAACAAGCTTAAGACAGCGTCTGAATGAACAGGTTCATTAAGACGCTGTCTTTCCGACAGACCTGTTCTTCACCTGAGGGCGGCTGCTTGCGTAGTGGCCGAAACGTGAGAATTGTATTTTATTATGTTTTATTTTTTATTATTTTATTGTTTCCCTTCTACGTGACTTTACCGAAAGAACCAAGAAGATGAATCCCTGCAGTCACGAAAGCTTTAAATCGAAATCATTTTATTATGTTTTATTTTTATTATTTTATTGTTTCCCTTCTACGTGACTTTACCGAAAGAACCAAGAAGATGAATCCCTGCAGTCACGAAAGCTTTAAATCGAAATCATTTTATTATGTTTTATTTTTATTATTTTATTGTTTCCCTTCTACGTGACTTTACCGAAAGAACCAAGAAGATGAATCCCTGCAGTCACGAAAGCTTTAAATCGAAATCATTTTATTATGTTTTATTTTTATTATTTTATTGTTTCCCTTCTACGTGACTTTACCGAAAGAACCAAGAAGATGAATCCCTGCAGTCACGAAAGCTTTAAATCGAAATCATTTTATTATGTTTTATTTTTATTATTTTATTGTTTCCCTTCTACGTGACTTTACCGAAAGAACCAAGAAGATGAATCCCTGCAGTCACGAAAGCTTTAAATCGAAATCATTTTATTATGTTTTATTTTTATTATTTTATTGTTTCCCTTCTACGTGACTTTACCGAAAGAGCCAAGAAGATGAATCCCTGCAGTCACGAAAGCTTTAAATCGATAAGGACTTTATATGTTTTGGCTTTAGGGTTTTACGGCCGGTTGCCACCAGACTCCAACCCTCTTCTCCTTTAATCCTGGCTTGGGACAGGCAGAAACGAATTTCTGGTGGAGTTGATGTCTATAATTTGTGTTGTCAGATCCATGTATTCTTATTTCTGCCTGTCAATGTAATTGGAAGCATGCATCTCTCCGTGCTTCATACTTCTTGGCTTTTGTTCAATATTCTTTGTCAGTGTCTATTTAAATATGGAGTAGGCCAAATGACCAAAATGCATGATGAATTTAACTAACTACTAAATCAGGGTAAAGAAAATTACATCATTGTAATGGGAGACTTCAATGTAAAATAACTTGGGCTGTGACCAACTTTAGCTGAGGACAATGTTAAACTATTATTGTGGATATGTGATACTGTGCCTGTCTTTGTATCATCTGATTGATTCTTGAGATGTTTGATGTCTGTTTGCACTGTTGAATTGTTTGCATGGTTGATTATCGTGTTAGTTATTGGCAGGCCGGTTGTTATATGATCGTCTGATGTAGTGATCTGTTTAGTTCATAAATACTATGGTGTTTGAATAAAGAAAGAAGCAATAATTCTGTAGCTTAAGTTGATGTGATGTCAATGAGAATTACATGGGGAATGGGCCATTACCCAGGTACTCGGGTGCATATATTGTATCCATATGTTGCCACCACGTGTCACTCGTACCGCGTGGCCAAAGGTGGTAGTGCCCTGACACAACTGCTCTTTAGAAACACAGAAAGCCTATTGTGTCACAACTAGTGAAATGTATCAAAAAATGTAGCTGCAATGTGTTATAAACTAAGCATCGTTGGAAATTTCTCAAATGGTCAATCGCAATTGGGACGCGAGTGTATATCTAATGTTGACAGAAAGTGGTAGCCCAGTTGATGCCTCAACTCCAGCCAATGTTGCTTTTTTTGACTGGTTTATTTTGGACTAGCTGTACTACCCGGCTTCGCCCGGGACTTGGATCCACCACGCGCGACCACCTTTGTCTCCCCAGTGGCGATGTTCACACACCACAGCAGTTACTCGTTTGAGGCTTAGTCGACCTAGGGGAGGCCCAGGAGCAGTTGAAATAATCGTCACCAGTGGTGGCCGTGAGCGGGAATCGAACTCGGGTCGCCGGGTTCGTAGCGTGGCGCGCTAACCACGACACTACAATGCGTTACGCTTCCACACGCGCGGGTCACATGACAGATGTGACGTCACAGCTCACTTGCCATGCAAAAAATATATGCATTATTGAGCTCTCCCCCCCTCCCCCAAAAAACACAAGTGTATTTCTATAATTTTTGCATCGTGTACAGTCTGGAAAGTACCCACATGGAAAATTTCAAGTTTGTTGCATGTCGGGAAGTACGCTAAACATTTTGAACAGACACACATAATCACAACTTTGCCTTTTATATATATGGAGATGAAGTCAGAAATTCTATTAAAAAAGTTGTGTACTGATGAGATAGAGAGTAGCGTTTCTGCACAATAATGCACATCCACACACTTTGCATGCCACAGTGGATTTGTTGAGAGTGTAGCTGAGATGTTCTGGTACGTCCGGCACACAGGGCAGACTTCAGATCTGTTTGGAATTCGGACCTCCGAGAGAAGCTGCACGTGGAAGGCAGTTTGTTGGCTATGGATGTTGTAAATCGACACCCTCATAAATTAGATGTCCCCTCTAAACGGATATTCCAGCTAAATATTATAAACCAAAATAAATAAATTAAATAGTGACGAAGCGGTGATGCCATCATGACTTATAAAGACCGGTCCGAGGATGTCTATGCTTCTGGCATTAGGAAGTATGTGTGCTGTAGAGGACATGTGTTCTAGTAGAGGGTGGCTAACCATTTAAAAATAATTTATGGTCCTTTTTTAATCCACTGCTGGATGAAGGCGTCTGCATTCAATGTCGATTATTGGGGTTGTTTGGCCATTATGCAGTTCAGGTTAGTGAAGGGGGTTCAGAACTGGTGGCCAGGAATCAAACTCGTTCAGCCTAGTACGCTCGTCGCTGTCCCACCACTCCACCCCACCCCAGAGGGAGACTATATAGATGTATGTTCTGTTTGTCATTAATTCTAACAACTATTTTCTGCAAAAAACGTATTTCTCTTTGTTGAAACGCCCACATATCTGGATGTTGACATGGCTAGCTGGATAGTTGTTCCTATTGTTAGCCGGTTGAATTTGTATGGATGTTAACATGCTCAGAATGCTACTACTTCGCCTAGTTTCCAGAGACAGCCATACTCATACGTTTCCATTATGCCGATTCTCCCCTATTCGAAAACACATACTGGGGGCGACAGGGATATTGGTAAATATGGCTGAATTAACTCCTCCCTCTCTCCCTCACCCTGCAGGGGATGTGCTGCCCCCTCACCTGCAGGCCCCTCGCAGGCCTGGCCTCGGCACGGTGGGAAAGCACATCAAGCTTCTGGCAAACTACTTTGAGGTGGACATCCCAAAAATCGAGGTGCATCACTACGACCTGGACATCAAGCCCGAGAAATGTCCTCGAAGAGTCAACAGGTGCCTAAATTCTTTTTGCATACTGCACGCTGCTAAGCTCGTCTCCAGATGATGTGTTGGTACCCGCCTGTGATTCAGCGCTTTGGTTGTTGATGGATTGGGTAGAGATTTGTGAGATTCCCAAACCGCTCGGCTGTAAGGTAACGAGAAAATGGTAGTACAGCAAGTGAGTTGGTGAACCTGTTTGTGCAGATATCTGCAAATGCTATCTCTTCATATGTGTGTGGGTTTTTGTTTAATGCATGGCCATACCTGGAAGGCTGAGGGCCAGGGATTTAGCGCCAGCTGTTCATCTCCCTGTGGCATCCTTTGCAGTGATGTCATTCATTACGATGACTTCCTATGCACAGCCTCGTGTTAACGGTAGTCTATTTTGGAGGTGTTCTTGCTGGATTGGCCTGTTTTATCCACTTGGTTTGGTTGGCCCAGACTACCGGGTAATGTGAACATCGCTATTGAGCCCTGTCAATTGAGGTATGTTTAACCCGTTGCCCCAGGAGAAGAGATTGACCTCTGAATTGAGTTAGAGACAGTTCTGCTCTCAAATAACCATTACCCTGAAGAGATTTGTGGTCTCAATAGGCTTTCACCTGAGTTCAATGCTGTAACAATAGAATATCTCTTGAAACAGCATGGCTTTGCTCTGTCACATGTGCTCATCATTGCTGCTGGCACTGATGTTATTGTCCAAACGTGTTGCTCTTCGCCTTGTTGTAATTTAAATGTAAATTTTCCTGTAATTTTTTTCTCGTCTCTCGTGGGAACTAGGGAGGTCGTGGACTACCTGGTCAACCGCTCCAATGTGCAGTTTTTCCGGGATCGCAAGCCGGTGTTCGATGGCCGGAAAAACCTGTACACGGCGAGTGCACTGCCCGTCGGAAGAGACAAGGTCCTTGCTGCAAAAGCACAAATTAACAAAGCACCTCAACATATTTGTCAACAACACTGTCTTTAAAAACGAAAAAACTTTATAACAGGCAACATATTGAGCAATTGCCAATCAGCACGGTTGGCGACGTATGTTTTCGAAAGAAGTTCAACATGCATGTATACATCCAGACTGAAGAGGTAGCGCACTCATCTCTCGGGTCTGTTTATTCGAAGAGGACGTTATCTCTCTGGCCTATTAGTGCTGTGAAGAAGGACTATTGTCCACAATTACACCTATTATATACTTGTCAAGGCAGTATTATTACGAAGTTGTTGATTTGTTTTAGAGATTCATGTGTGTTGTGTGTGATTTGTTTGTGGCAAAGGTTTCTCTACACTCATTACGTGCATGCTATTACAGCAAATCCCCTCCCCAGCTAGGCAGACCCTGGCGATGCAGAATTCAAGCCAGAGCAGGTAGAATAATCAAAATATATAAATATGTATTGTAAACATAATATAATAAATATAACAAAGACATTTAGATCAATTGTATTTAAGAGTATGGATTCCTGCAGTCACGAAAGCTTCAAATCAAGATTGTATTTAATTGTATGTTTTGTCATTTAAATATGTATAATACAATATACTAGAACATGTTAAATTGTTCATAGTGAAGTGTTATTATTGTGTTTAGTTTGTTGTCCTACCCTCGCACTTCCAATTACCACGGGTGGCTACTTACGGTATGAAAGAAGCTCAACATATATATCCAAATGTACTCGCGTCCATATGTGTGTGGTGGAGTGGGTTGATAGGAGCCGGGCAATGGGGAATAGGCGTGGGGTGGTGGGGGATAGGGAGATTGCCGTACCCTCGAGACCAACGGACATACTGTACCACACAGCACATAACGTATGGATTATTTTTTGGTCTGTGCAATAACACGCTACTACACATACTATATATCATACATGTACCGTTGTTTTTTCTACAAAGATTTTTGTTGAAATAGCTAGCTGGACTAGGACTCGCCCCTAGTTCTGGCCATCAACCTGGTTCTGTTTATTTCCCAATTTCCAGTACATGGCGCATTGAGATCTACTGAATGAAATGCGCCTTACAAGTGTAAATAATAATTAGTCCGGCTAGCCGGAGTTTTACCATAACCAAATTCTGGAAAAAGACTCACAAATTAAATTTTCCGTCGTTGTTGCTGCCACCACCGCTCCGCTGGTGTAGGTGGAACTTGAGGTGACGCTGCCGGGCGAGGGCAAGGACCGTGTGTTCAAGGTGGCGCTCAAGTGGGTGGGCTACGTGAGCTGGCACGCGCTGCACGACGCGCTCGCGGGCCGCATCATGCAGGTTCCCCAGGACCCTGTACAGGCGGTGGACGTCGTGCTACGACACCTGCCCTCCATGCGGTGAGTGGAAATTCTACATTGCTATGGAGAAGGTCACTTTCTCTGTGTCTGGAATTGGCAGGCTTGTGGGCGCTGTGATGGTGATATCTTATCTGCCTCGCCTGATATGCAGGAGGTTGTGGGTTCGATCGCGACTCTTGTCGCTTGTATATTTGGAGTTTGCACGTTCTCCCCATGGTCGCATGGATTTTTCTCAGGGTCCTCTGGTTTATTCCTCCGCATTGTGAATCAACATGCGTTTAGAGTAGGGTATTTGGGTGCTATAATTTTCCACTGTGAAAAGCCCCTTCGTTGAGCTATCATTTGTGGCCTGGTCGCTTCTGAAAAAGAGCTATGTAGTTCACTAAGCCTTACCTGGTAAAATACAAAAATTGTTTCGCTCGTAGTTTTAGTTGAAAGATCCGATGGAAATCGTGCCGCAATCATGGCGATTTGTGCTTGGCACAGAGAATCAGTGGGCACTGAGAAACGGTAGGCACAGATATTACCAGGCTCCTTCTGCCTTTATATGGCCATTGATTAAAAATAGCAAAATGGTTCAGACCACACGAGTTCCTATTTTGAAGCGCCTGGGAAGCCTGCTCTTTTGTTGCCTTTACGTGAGGGCGTTCGTCGATGCAACTACACCCGCTCGCCCCCCCCCCACGCCCCTCACCACCACCTCCTGCCTCCCTTGCCGATCCTCCACGCCTTACAACACCCAGCAGCAGCAGCAGCAGATTTCAGTGGAAACGCACTTGACCAAGAAGCGTGTGCATTGAGCAATGGGCGTGCTGCGTCTCTCTCGGGGCCTGGCTTGCTGCTGGGTTCGTGTTGTGAAAGACAACCCTGAGGTTTCTGTGCAAGTGGGAGAATTACTAGTGGAGATGGAAACGTTGCTGCAAACTGTTGTGACGAAGCATTCTCGTTTTTGTGTGTGAATGTCTTTGGCGTATAATGATTTTTCAAACCTTTTATGAGTGTGTGCTGAGCTTTTTCTATAAAAAAAAAATTAACCCGTAAAAACAAAGTTTTTCACTATAAATCCTTTATATGCGTGGCGGCTAGAGTCCTCCCGTCCTCTGGCTTGAGATGGCTGCCACCTATGGGTCAGATGATTGTCTGGCACCATTAAGCAATTGGTAATTAAATATTAAAAAATATTTTCCCTAAACAGTGTAAAATTGTGGAAATTTTTTTTTACGAAAATTGATTGTCACACACAACGAGTCTGTGTGCAAAATGTCAGCTCGATTGAATAACGGGAAGTGGGTTAAAAAACAACCGAAAGATTTGCACGGTCGTAAGCAAGCAAGCACGCAAGCAAGCAAGCAAGTGAACTTAATATAAAGGAATTGAAAAATACTTGCGATGCTGTGTGAACCCACAAAAGGTGTAATTTGTGCTTATTTTGTGCACAGCAGCATAAAGAGTTTGACCTTTCTCCTCCAGTAGCAATGGGTTTTCTCCAAGCACTCCAGTTCCTTCCACACAAAGCAGTAGAAAAAAAGTGAAATCTCTTTAATAAATAAATACTTTATTTGATCGATTCCTATGAGACAATGAAACGGTCAAGCGTCACAAGCTGGATTCTTCTGAGAATAAATCTGAAGGAGTCTGCGAGATAATTCCTCAACAATGATCACATGTTATTAATTGGGTAATTATGTTTTTCTCGCGGTTGTATTTATAGGTTACATGTGAACCAGACATTTCCTTTGAGCCACAAGGCCAAATGTTGTGCCCCTATTTGAGCATTACAAGTAGCTATTCAAGTAGAAGCTGGTGCTGGCTACCGTTGTTATGGAATGTTATATAATAACCTATGTGAGTGATGCACGCTGAAGTCCCACGAGCATTAACATTGAGTCTAACCACATCTTACATTTGTGCGTTGTTACATAATGTGTAATTATGTGCAACATTACTATGCTGTCTAAATTAATATTTCAGAATAATTTTTTAAGGATCTGATTGGAACATTTACTTTGAGAATTAAATACGCAATGATTTTGTTGAATAAAGTATCGTGGTACCATCGTTAGCTTATGCATGCATTTATGACTTTCATCTTTTACATGTTTACACTTGCACTGACTAATTGTGTAATTGACTCATGTAGGGTGAAAAGGTCACCACAGTCGATGCTGTTGATGCCATCACCCCTCAGCATTGTTTCCTCGGTCTGATAAATCCCACCGCTCATGCAAAGTTGACACCTGACCTTCAAAGTCCACTTTTACAATCGTGTCACCTCCACCGCTGTCTGGCTTTAGGCCTTCCCCACCCCAATGCTTGTCATGGTAACCTGCTGTCCGCCATTGTACGCACGAGTCCCACCCATCACAGCCTCCTTATAATTAGGCTTACAGTACTTTTTTTACTACATTCTTGTCTGAACTTCAAAATTGGCCCTTAATTTTTTAAATGAAATTATAAACATCTTCTGCTGTGCCATACCAGCCTTCATAGGTACTCGCTAACAACACTTTTCTGAACAGTCTGTTAAAGGCTATATGGGGGATCTTTGTCTTGTAGATATACGCCGGTCGGACGCTCGTTCTTCTCGTCCCCCGAGGGATACAGCCACCCATTGGGTGGTGGCCGCGAGGTCTGGTTCGGTTTCCACCAGTCTGTGAGGCCGTCCATGTGGAAGATGATGCTCAACATTGATGGTACGTGTGTGTGTGTCTGTCGGCATGCGTATGTGTGTGTCAACGTCTGTACGTGTGTCAACGTGCACGTGTGACGGTGTGTAAAATTATCGCCACTGGGGTAACGAAGACGGTCGGGCATGATGCTGGCCACCCACCCCCTCGTGTACCGTGCCGGCCTTCATAGGTGCTTGCTAACAGCACGTCCCCAAACAGTCTGTTAAGGCTATACGGGGGGACTTTGTCTTTGGTTGCATGTCAGCGGGGGTGCACGCTCGCACGTGTGTGTCAGCATGTGCGCTTGAGTGTGTTGGTATGCTTGCGAGTATAATAGTTATGTGTTTTTTAATATGCAGTCATTATTGACCTGGCTGAGACCATAAACTTGCTACACATACAAACATAATTTAGTCATCTGGTAGCTGAAACCCAGAATCGAACCTAGAATCTCGGTGAAGCTGCTTAGGCATCCTTTACCCCTGAGTTATGTGACCACAAAGAAGTCATCGCCTCATAGGTTTCACTCATCTCATTAATCATGTAAAACTGGAAAAGGAGAAATATAGCTGTGCTGAGACTGAATACAGTGTTATATCATGTTTGGATGCATGCTTGCGAGTGTGTGTGCAAGTGCTTGTGTGTGTGTGCCGATATAAACGTGTTCACGTGTGTCTGTGTGTGCGCATTTATGCTAGCCACTTGTCTGGTGCAATGATTCACTCGCCATGCTATGATTCCACTTAGGATCCATTGCAAGCATCCTTCAGAAATTTCTACTGACGTTTGGTGCAGCAGCAGCACTGTGGTGTGTACGCGTTGAAAGATGATTTCGTGGTTATCACACAGCGTTACAAACCTGGCATCGTGGGCTGGATTCCCAGCCATGCTTGTCAAAAATGGCAAGTTGTACTGAATGAACCTAATGAAGATTTTGACTAGGCTTTCAATGAGCACTCGGTACTTGGTAGAGTATATAAATAAACATCAGCATGGAGACGATGGTGCCTTGACGTGTTGTTGGACACACCCTCCATTTGAGGATTGTGTTGAACTTATAAAGTGGTCACTAACAACAATTTCCCTACAGTCCATAAGGTTCTATGCGGGATAAATGTGTGTGTGCGTGCTTGTCTTTGTGTAGTGTCGGCCACGGCGTTTTACAAGGCTCAGCCGGTGATCGAGTTCATGTGCGAGGTGCTGGACATCCGTAACATCGACGAACAGCCCAAGCCACTCACCGACTCCCAGCGCGTAAAGTTCACGAAAGAGATCAAAGGTACAAAATCCTGAGCTGAGGTTAAACGGGAAAATTTTGTTTCCATAATATTGCATTAAAAAAGCCGATGTCCACGTTGCTTTGTTTAGCGTGGCCCGCGATACTGAATGAATAAAGTTGCAAGTTGATCTTTGACACGGAAGCAACCGTTTTAAATTTGTTTTAGTGCACAAGCAACAAGTACTGTAATTGGCTGGACAGGGTTATATGGTTGTCATGGCAATGTTCAATTCAACACAGCTGAAAATGTGTTTTTATGTGCACAGTGACTTGGAGATAGTGAATACGAAAAACTGGGTTTATCTGTCAATCTAATGGTAAATATCATCATTTAAGTTATTATAGCAGTTCCACTGCTGGATTATTTTTTTCCGCCTGAGGACGACCGCTTGTGTTGCGATCGAAACGTCGTGATATATTATTATATATTTTCTACCTACGTGACTTTACCGAAATAACCAAAGAGTAAGTTATTATACTCATGTTATCAATGCCGTGAGGGTTAAATATTGTTTGTTGCCGATTTTCTGACCCGTCCTGACTGGACATCTGTGAAATAGAGCTTCATAGCTCATCGGATTCCTCCAATTTAAATAAAGATTCTGATGTAAAGTGGTAGGCCTCATGTGACCTCGGGCCCGATAAAAACGGCCTGCAGGGGTTGTAGGTTTATAGTATTTGGCTGCTATAAATTCCCACATGATAAGCTGCTTCGTTGAGCTATCATTTGTGGGCAGGTCACTTCTTAAAAAGAGCTGCATCGCTCGGTGAGCCTTACGTGGTGAAATATATTTTTCAAATCGTTTAGTTTTCCTTTTCGGGTCACCACGTCTGCTTGAGGCTCTACTGTATACATGATGAAAGGCACACAGGGAACATCATTGAATGGAATGAGTGGGCAATGCCCAACTCTGTTGTGAAACAGAAACAATGATGTTGCTTTGTTTAACACGGGATGTTGCACCACATTTGAAGGCAGCAACAATGTTACGTGCACAAAGATTGCAAAACTAAGGCAGAGTTTGCAGGGAAGTCTAATACACGCGGCAGAAACATTCCAAACCGCTTTACGCAGCTGCTGTTTTTCTTTCATGTGTTTTGCATTCTGGAAATGTTTTTTGTGGCTCTAGTATCGAGCCAAGAGTCAAAGTACCTTCCTGATTAAATGAGCATCTGAGTGGTGCTCATCTCTGTTGGGGGTCTGAGCTTAGGGGTGGATATTGACCGTTTGATGGCAGGGACCAGACTATCCATAACACAATCACAAAGAAGGAATTGCGATGTAGACTGAGTTTGCAAAACAGTAGCGAGAGACATACATGCATATACATTTTATTCATAGTCATGTGGGAGTCCATTGAGATGGTGGTTTGTCACAAGGGAGGCTTGAGGTGCAAAGTACAGTGCAACATTTCACAGTGCAAAATTTCACAGTGCATAACAATGATAAATACAACCAATAAACATTAAAAATGTCAAAAAAGAACCCTTAATCATTCTGTATAATTTAATATAGAGTCTACAAGAACACATACAGTACAAAACAATATGGCAAAGCCAGTTCATTAACTGAACCTGAAATCCTATTAATTTACAAGCTCGCACTCACGCATCCTAATGTATGTGCATTATTCATGCTCGTATGCAACCTTACATAACATTTGTTAAAGTAATTATGTTGTGAAAGTATTCGATTACCAATCCAGCCCGAGAACCTATAACAATTGAGCATTGGTGTTGGGAAGCTGCCTGCCAGTTTCATGGCATTTGGTTTGTGCATTTTTGTAATTTTCTTAAAAACATGCGTTTCCTCGGATCGGTGGACGTAATCTTTCCAAGGTATTTTAACAAGCACCATGTCGCGGCTCCCTTACATAATAAAACCTTACAGCTGCTCGTTCGCCAGAAATAAATTGTAAAGATCTCGTCTCCTAACACTAGCTCCCCACCGCCTGCCGGGATAACTGGCCACCCGCAGCAATTATGGGCCGAGCGTTCTACAACCACGGAGGCACCGCGTCAGTAATGACCCTGGTTCCACTGTGAGGCGTACGTTGTAGCCCAATATTCGCGTGGGTTCATTACGCGTGTGGTTTGTGCCAGGCCTCAAGGTCGAGATCACGCACTGTGGGCAAATGAAACGCAAGTACAAGGTGTGCAATGTGACGCGGAGACCTGCCAGCCACCAGACGTAAGGGTGCACACACGCATGCACGTATGCACACACATACACACACGCATGCACACGCACGCATGCACACACGCATGCACACACACAGCAACAACAGCAGTCGGCCGTTCACCACTAGGTGATGGAGATGTCACAATTGGTAGGTCCCGTACTTCTTTGAAATAATGTCCAGTGGTGAATACTCCCTGGCAGGAGGTCATGGGATAGACCCATGAATTGCGGAGTCACAGACCAGAGTGGCTGACAATGGTGGTGATGCTGGTAGTGATCATAGTGGTAATCATGATGGTGGTCATGGTGGTTGGGTTGATGTTGATCGTGATGATGGTGGTTATGATAGCAGTGATGATGATGATGGTGGTGGTGGTCATGCTCGTGTTGTTGGTGGTTGTAAAAGTGGTGTTTATGTTGAATACAATGGTGGCAGAGGTGCTGGATGCAGTGATGATGACTAATTATGATGATGCATGCAATCATCGTGAAAGTGGCAATGATTAATGACAACGATGGTGATGATTGTGGCAGGAATATTTAAACTGGTGATAAATACAACGATGACCACAATTGTTTTCTCCCTGCACACATATCGCCTTGATAGACTGTATGAGCAGCTGTTAGCGAGCACCTATGAAGGCCGGCACGACACGCAAGGGGGCGGGTGGCCAGGACCATGCCCAGTCACCTTTGTCTCTCTAGTGGCGATATTTACACATCGCACCAGATACTTATTTGAGGTTGAGTCGAGCTAGAGCAGAACCGGTTCAGATAATTGTCGCGAGTGGTGCACCTTGAGTTGGAATTGGAATCGGGTCACCGGGTTCGTAGCACAGCGCGCATAACCACTGCACTTCCGCTCCCCATATGCATACGAACACACACGCACACACACATGCGGACCACCAGGTTCCCTCTGCAGCTGGACACGGGCCAAACGGTGGAGTGCACGGTGGCACACTACTTCCGCGACCGGCACAAGCTACAGCTCAAGTACGCACACTTGCCCTGCCTGCAGGTCGGCCAGGAGCAGAAACACACCTACCTGCCTCTCGAGGTCAGTGCCAGCACCCGCATGTATGCAAGTTGAATTTCTTTCGCATCGTACGCAGCTGCAAATCCGTCACTTGGGCCACGCAGTTTCTTTTGCCCTCTCTTCAAGCCACGCGAACAGAAGGGCGTACACTCGCAGGCTTGCACCTATTCACCCCCAACAACTTGACGATTTGGTCTTGTTTTTGCCGTCTTGTTTGTTTAATCACACATTTTCCACTTGTCTCGCAGGAAAAATCGCACGTCAGTTGCGTGTAATCTGCGTACTTGATGTGTTATCAATGCTTTCACGTGTAATTTAATGCATGTGTATTGAGTCCGATAATTTTTTGTATAATTAATATGCCCTGTTACGTGCGTACATTTTGGCATTGCTACTGAGCACACAACTTCTCTGCCTTTGCTCCTTGGGGGTTCGTTTCTGCTCTGCTGCCCACGCTGTCTGCAACTCTCCCTCTGTGTGTCCACTGCTCATTCCTCCTCTTCGCTGTTTGAAACCAATCTTGAGATTTTTCTTTTTTCCTCTCTGCCTACGCCTTCTTCTCCATCCACTGTCCTCATGCTTGCCCATATACAAATGTTGATATTATTTCCCACTGCTTGGCATAATCATGCCATTTTTTTTGCAGAATTTTTTGACAATAATTACCCTTCCCTTAAGTCCCTTCCCTGTCCATAGTGCACATTCACATCCCCATCCTTGTACAGTGGTGTTGTATTTAGACCGTTTATACAGTCGTGATTTTTTGATGTCATTATTTTAAATTGTATTGTGCTCAAGATACATGTTTCAAGTGAAAGAATTATGTACTGTTTGGGTGAAACTAAATGGATACCACATGTTAGGCTAATGATTCAAACGAGATGTGAAAAAAATGACAGACAATACAGGACCTACTTAATGATGTCAGCTATACCAAAATCTATAGAGATTCTACCAACTCCCATATTATGAAAACCAACAACATCATGACTGATTCGACATCTTTAATCGAACCAACCAAGCGGCTTGCCTTAAAACCCTCTGCTGCTAGACCACCCAGATTGTATGGCTTACCAAAAATCCATAAAGAAGGCGCACCTCTCCGCCCTATCGTCCTCCACCATTGGCTCACCCACCTACAAACTGGCCCGATTTCTGCTTGAAACCTTGCAAACATTCACTGGTAAGACCACCTCAGCTGTACTTAACTCAGCTCACTTGATATCTTCCATTAAGGACATCTCACTATCTCCAGGTGATTTGCTTATCAGTTTCGATGTGGTGTCTTTGTTTACCAAATTTCGTGATTTGATACCTTCTGTGAAGGATGCGATCCCCAACATGCAGTACCCCGGTGTCTACAAACTAAGCTGTGTCTGCGGCAGCAGTTACATTGGGGAAACTAAGCGACATGTCTCGGACCGGGTCCGTGAACATAAGGCAGATCTGAAGCACGGTAGGACCAATACCTCAGCCGTGGCTGATCATTATTTAACGCTGTGGGTGCACACGAAATTGATTTTGCCAAGACGAAGGGCCTCTGCAAACCCCCACTGGCTATCAACAAAGATTCGTCCATGAAGCCACCCAGATATATAAACACAGACACGATTTCAACCGAGAAGATGGGTACAAACTGAGCAATCATTGGAAGGACGTTATTTACCAGTTTAGGTCATAACTGGCTGTGATGTTCCCTCCCTACCTGTCGATGTTAGCAGTTATTTTCGACTCTCTGAGTTACATTCACTAACACAGCCACCGTCAGCCGTGTTAGTATCTCCATGTGGCCACTGCGCTGTCCGAGCTCTCGCCGAGCTTCAAATTTCTTACATTGACATGCTAATCTCTCGCAATACAATGGCTACCCCCCACAGATCCGTAGTACCGCCCCTACATTGGCATTAGCTGCCCCGCTATTCTCTCAACCATTTGTAAACAGCTCTTTGATTGGTGTAGACCTACTGCAGGTTACGGAGACCTCTCCTATATTAACATTAGCTGCCCCGCCCATCTCCAAACCATTTGTAAACAGCTCTTTGATTGGTGTAGACCTACTGCAGGTTATGGAGACCTCTCCTACATTAACATTAGCTGCCCCGCCCATCTCTAAACCTTTATAAACAGCCTGCCTCGGCAGATTTCCCCCCCTGTTTTCACCTGAAGACGATTGCTTGTGTTGCGATCGAAACGTCGTGATATTGTTATTATTTAGATTATTTTTTCTATCTACGTCGCTTTACTGAAAGACCCAAAGAATATAATACGAAAATGGATTAAAAATAGATCATTCTGCAATCGAATGTCGACCGTTATGACAATTTGTAGACTAACGTGTAGTGGAGGGTTATTTTTATTACGCGCCTATTGTAGATATATTTTCACTGTTATTGTGGTTGTTTTTTCTCCGCGTGACCCACGTGCAGGTGTGTAACATCCTGGCGGGACAGCGCTGCATCAAGAAGCTCACCGACAACCAGACGTCCACCATGATCAAAGCCACGGCTCGCTCAGCCCCCGATCGGCAGGACGAGATCAGCAAGCTGGTGCGCTCCGGTTGAACTTTTAGCACGCGGCGATTTAACCGGGTTCTCAATGACGACGAGTTAATGGTCTCGGCCTGATCCCCAATTATTGCGTAGAAACATATACTGGTAGGAACCTCCTGGTTACACCAGCCCACAGGGGATTATTGTGTCCGTCCGTCTGTCGTGCAGGGAGGGGCTGGGTGGGGAGGGAGGGGCTGGGTGGGGAGGGGAGGGTGGGGAGGGTCTGGGTGGACCTGGGTGGGGGGTGGAAGGGGTGGGGCTGGGTAGGGTAGGGCTGGTCACCCCGTGGTGCCCTTATAAAACTCAACGTTTAACCTACTCACGCCGGCTTGTGCCCGCCCTCACAGTCGGGCATATTTGCGGAATACAACACGCCACCGTTGACCCTGGCCATTGACTGAGCAACACAACGTTCCTACCAGCTCCCTCCGCAGGAATGTGTTTGTTTAATTCGTTTTGTTTCTACATTTGGCTTATTCCTGCTCTGAGCATGAAACCGTTTCAGTTTATTTGACATGCGATAAACACAACATTTCCTGGAAAATATAATTTTGACTGAATCTACACTCATGTATCACTCCCCCCCCCCACTTGAGCTTTATGAATGCTAATTTGTATGAGTCCCTGCAGGTAGATGTCTGGAAGGTAGTGGGCCCTTGGGTCAGATTGTGTCACTGTCCACCCTGTTTACCTCCCCAATGTGGGTTCCATGCCTACCAAACTATTTTCTAGCAATGCGTTATTCAACTCTGTTATTCAACTCCGGCACTTTCTTGGCGTCATGATGTTGGGTGAAGTTGAGGGTGACCCAGTTTGCATTTTGATAGAAAGAAAATGTGTAGGTTTAATGGGGAATTACCCTGGTTTATATGTGCAATACATTTATAAAAAATATTTTTTCCACTATATTACAGACATTTCGTGTGTGGCCTGCAAGCAAAAATCACATTCTGCCACGTGACATATTGAGACCGGCCAGAGGAGGGCATCAATGGGTCCCCAGAATAGATGGGACCAGCTGTTGAGGGGTTAAGCCTGTTACAATTGTGGGGATGTTTTTCGACTGATAAAGTAATACTAAGTGCGTTTTCTGTGCTGCGGTTGACTTATCCTATATGAAAGGCAGGAGCATTCAAACCCGTTGTCGTTGGCGTATTTAATAAAACACATTTAAAGCTCTTCCCCATTGTCCGCGCGTGCGTCAGATGAAGAACGCTAGCTTCAACGTGGACCCGTACGTGCAGGAGTTTGGCCTGCGGGTGCGTGACGACATGACGGAGGTGACAGGCAGGGTGCTGCCTGCTCCGATGCTGCAGTACGGAGGCCGGGTAAAGACATTGTGCCACACAGTCACATACTCATCCATATGGTACTGTTAGGCATGTGGCGATGCATCATCGCACTGTTCATGGAATAAAAAATATCTTTTAAATATTCGATTTTGTATGTAGTTGGTTTTCGAGAACTTGCAACCACTAGAGCAGTGGTTTTCAATTTGTTTGGAATTGTGCCCCCCCCCCCCCCCCCCCCAATAAATTCCACTGGTCTCCTTGCCCCCGAACCCCCACCAGCTTCTGTAATACAATCAAGATTACTAATGCCACACAATACAGAGACATCACATGTTCATGTCCTCTGGGCCCATGTAGTGTTCGACATTTGTTTCGTGTTGTGTATTGGCGAGTTTTGTCACCACAACGCGATGCCGACATTCACCGCACACGCACTTACACCCTTGAAATTTCGCCTGCACGGTATCCATGCCGCAGCTTGCACCCATCCCTAAAAGGAATGTGGGCGCACCTCACGGGTTCAGAACTGCTACACTAGAGACTCCACATTCACAATTGCCTGGTGCCGCACCTCAAAGTGGGTTGCATGTCTAACTGCTTCTTTGCTTAAATTAGCACCTCCGCTTAGCAGAGGCTATGTACGCACTGGCGGAGCCAGTGGGGGGGGGGGGGGGTGGCACGTGCCCCCCAAATGCTCCGATCGAAATCCCTAATTTCGATCGGATCATTTGGGTTTATTAGTAATAAATTGGCATTTTGCGACCCCCACTGCCAATGTGTAGCATATTATTACGTGCCAGGGACTCAATGAGATGATAGGACAATAGTCTGAGTCCATAATTGGCAATGAGTAACGGCAAACAGTTATGACTCACATAATTATGCGCAGTTGCGTATACAGTACACGACTTCCCTGAAGGCATTCACTTTCAGCGAGCATGATGCCGATCACACAACGCGGTTCGAATTCGACCCACGATCAATGGCTGCGCCATCGCCGAAAACGCGTCGAATAAAAATCAAGGGACAAGTCCTTACTTACCAACAACTATCATTTTTAAATGCTGGAGGGGTTCCCCCCCCCTACATGAAAATCCTGGCTCTGCCACTGTATGTATCGTGTGAAGGAAGTTCAACATACATCCATCCATACATTGGCAGCCCTGAGCCAGTGATAGGAATTGCACTTTGTAATAAAATTAGTTTTTTTTACTTCTGCTGCTGTTGTTGCTGTGTGACCCAGAGCCGGGCTGTAGCGACGCCCAGCCAGGGAGTGTGGGACATGCGGGGAAAGCAGTTCTACTGCGGCACGGAGATCCGTGTTTGGGCCATCGCCTGCTTCGCCCCACAGCGCCAGTGCCAGGAGGATGTGCTCAAGTAAGGAGACCGATAGATACCCACCCCACGCTCATGCACAGACAAGGCTGTCCCGTTGAGGAGCGGCAAATGCTGTTCGCAACCACCCGTTAATGCTGGCAACGCATACGATGTTTTGCGCACTGCACTAGGTACTCGTTTAAGGCTGAGTGGACCTAGCAGAGGCACTCGACAGGTTCAGATACCACTTGCCACGGATCTTATGACACGGCGCTGATCGCACAGTATTTAAAGTGTGCAGTTGGTGCCAAGTCATGAAATGAACAAACTACTAATTAGAACCCTTGCAGTGAGCATAGTAGCATCTTACTCTTTGGTTCTTTCGGTCAAGTCACGTAGAAGGAAATTTTAAATTAATTCCTGCAGTCACGAAAGCTTCGAATATAGAAGCATCTTGTGTCTGGGAATGCTCCAGTGATGCCTGGGAGTTCTTGTTACTCATGAAGTCACTTCAGTAGCCTCTTCTTTATGCTATTCACACATTTTAATTACCCTGCAAGGAGTGCTTATCACATGTCGCTCGAGAAAAAATGTTAAAGTCTCAATTCTAGAATATACACAAATAACTGGTAAAACCAAATTTATTTTGGTGGTTTTTGTTATGCAGCCAATTGTAACCAGGCCCTAGACCATCAATTCACTCGACTGGAAACTCAGATTGGAACGGAGGATCTCAGCAGTGCCGCACCTCCGATTCGCACGGTTTGCTACGTCCCGCGCGAAAGAAGTTCAACGTACATGCATACGTATACACGTGCCAACTCGGCTCTCTGGCACGTTGTCACAGCCTCCTTCGCCACCCCGGCCGACCTCTACTCAATCTTGAGTTGGTCATTTGTGCTTTTGCGTTTTGCAGGGGCTTCACGGATCAGCTGCGGCGAATCTCTAAAGACGCGGGAATGCCCATCCAGGGCCAGCCGTGCTTCTGCAAGTACGCCCAGGGCACGGACAGCGTCGAGCCCATGTTTCGCCACCTCAAGAACACCTACATGGGCCTGCAGCTCATCGTGGTGGTGCTGCCTGGCAAGACGCCTGTTTACGGTGCGGGGAGAATCGGCGTGCATTTGCGTGGCTTCTAGAACGCTTTTTATAACATTTGATTGTCCTCCGATATAATTGAATGGCGATCATAATGTAACCGCTCATCTTAGCCGGCAGGGCCAGGATGCCACGCCATGTTTTTGTTCAGCGCTGGCTTGCGTCTCCAAGTGTTGAGGCAACCCTTTGAACAATGTCCGGTTTCTGTCACGTAAGTCCCTAATGCAACTTTATCCTGAAGTTGTATTCATCTTGGATCAACTTTACGAGAGTTATTGTGGCTCCCCACCCAGTTACAGACAGACGGATAGTGCAATTCCATAACGCTTTCTGTCTCCGTTGGAAAGCTTGATAGAAATCGGAGGCATCTTCACGTATAAAGCTCTCATTGTTCCATTCGTAAATGTAGCTCTCTTCCTCGCCCCCGTCCTCCTGTTATCCCTGGCCGGTGTGCGACCCGCGACACCCGTTGGTGTGCGCAGCGGAAGTGAAGCGTGTGGGAGACACGCTGCTCGGCATGGCGACGCAGTGCGTGCAGGTGAAGAACGTGCTCAAGACGTCGCCGCAGACGCTCTCCAACCTCTGCCTCAAGATCAACGTGAAGCTCGGCGGGGTCAACAACATCCTCGTGCCGCAGCAGAGGTGCCCGTTTGTGCCGCGGCGGGGGCGGGAGGAGGACGGGCTCCGGATTTGCGGCCGAGGCCGTCGGTTTGGGGCAGCGAGTTCACGACGCTTTGAGTCGTCGATGGGCGCCGATTTTGACGCTCGCGATGCACATTATCCGAGTCGTGCGTGTGAGAACGGATAGTTATTCTTTTCGTATTTGTTGTATGCGATTGGTTCGAGTGAACCTTGCAACCCACTGCAGGTGCTACGTTTTCCAAAGTGTTAAAAGGTAATGCCTTAAATTTTGATTTAAAGCTTTCGTGACTGCAAGGATTCATATTCTTGGTTCTTTCGGTAAGTCGCGTAGAAGGGAAATAATAAAATAATAAAAATATAAAACAAAAAATTCTCAAGACGTTTCGACTGCAACACAAGCAATCATCACCAGGTGTGAAATCCACAGCAAGAAAATTAGATTTTTGTTAATATTATTTTACTATTTCCCTTCTACGTGACTTTACCGAAAGAACCAAGAATAGGTAATGCCTTCTTGAATTTGATTGCGACCCACAAATGTGAGCCCACCAGTCTCCCACTGGTACTCATGTTATTCACCATGGGAGAATGATTTGCTGAGTCAACCCTGGACTAGATTTAGAACCCTCAGCCACAGTGCAATAATACACCCATAATCCTGAAATCCAATAAAAAAACTGTTTAATGAGGTGCTGAGAAAGGTGGCTGAGTGGCTCAGGGGTCAATCTGTGATTCAGCCACCCGCGATTAAACTTGTTGGTTGATAGTCTCAGCTGCAACTACACAATATTCAAATGTAAGCGTTTTAAATAAAATTTTTATTTAAATTCACGTTTTAACAATAAATGCACGTTTGTTACGCGATGAACATTTCTCTCTCACGGTATTTGGCAAAGTGGATTTTTTTCCATTTTTGATTTTCAAAAAGGTCACTGGGAGAGAGATCTTAACGGACCTTGCTGGTTGCACTGGTCATTCCGCAACGTGACGATGCAATACCCCGAGAGAATTTCGCCCAGACACTTATTTGTATCACGATTTGACGCAGCTAATTTGATGTCGAGTTCCGTTGTGACGAGACATGAAACTCGTTGTGACTCTTGTGTGCTGCTCTCACCGCTCGCGTGGTGTGCTTCCTCGTGTACTGGCAGGCCGGCCGTGTTCCACCAGCCCGTGATTTTCCTGGGCGCGGAGGTCACTCATCCTCCTGCCGGTGATGGGAAGAAGCCTTCCATCGCCGCCGTGAGCCCCTCGCCACGTCGTGTAGCACGATTTCACGGTTACATCACATTAGTTGCAGTTTAGCCAGCTTCTCAGGCTTGGCAAAGGCGATGGTCGAAGCCCCGGATGCGGTGGTGCACACCGCTAACCCAGCGCTGTGTTAACAGCGTTTATGAATCGCGCGGAATCTCTTATGTGCTGTGGCACTCTCAAACTCCCTGGGCTGTGGGGTGGCCAAGATGTGGCAGCACAGCAAGTGGGTTTGTGAATTTGTCAGTGCTGACGTCGGAGTGCTATCCCCTCCTGTGTGCGTCGGGTTTTCCTCTGGGTTATTGAATTTGCACACCCAACATGTGAAACACTGCTGAACAATCAAATGGTCAAACATTACGTTACAGGGCCATCCTAAACATGAGTCTTGAGACTCGGTGAATCTTTGGTTTTTATTGCTTTTGTATTTTCATCATATATGACCTGGCTCAGCTGTGAAGGTTTTAATCTAATTGACGAATCATGTCAAAGGCTCCTTTGCAAACAGCGTAACATTGACAAGGGCACCACGGGGTGACCAGCCCCACCCTCCCCACCCGGCCCCTCCCCACCCTCCCCTCCCCACCCAGCTCCTCCCTGCACGACGGACGGACACAATAATCCCCTGTGGGCTGGTGTAACCAGGAGGTTCCTACCAGTATCATCATTATCATTGTCATCTGGAGTTGGCCATTTGTGAAGATAATGTTCTACTGACATCGTCATTGAGTCATGGTCTATCCACTGCTATGTGAAGGTCTTCCTACACCATCGCCATTCCTTTACGTTCCTGTGAAGCCACGATCCAACGCACACCCTGCACATTAACCGATCTGATTTCTCCGTCTCCAGCGTTGGTCATCCTCTCAGGCTTGTTCTCTCCTTTGACTTCACGTGAAGTAAATGTCTCTTTAGCAGGGCATGCGGGAAAGTTCTCACCCCTTAACATGTCTATAGAAAACAGTTACTTGAAGGGATTTCTGAAGATTTTATGTTCCCCTGCTAACACACAGGGTAATGCGCTGCTCTGTAGCTTTTGCAGTGGACACTTGGGCTCATGGGATGAAGACAATATTACATATGTACATACAACTGACCGGAAGGGAACGTGTATTTATGTATGTTGAACTTTGTTGAACTTCTTTCGCACCGTACATAGCCAACCGTTCTAATCATGTTTGCGAAGGTTGTGGGCAGCATGGACGCCCACCCGAGCCGCTACTGCGCCACGGTGCGCGTTCAGCACCACCGGCAGGAGATCATCCAGGACCTGGGCACCATGGTGCGTGAGCTGCTCATCCAGTTCTACAAGTCGACGCGCTTCAAGCCGACGCGCATCATCTTCTACCGCGACGGCGTCTCCGAGGGCCAGTTCCAGCAGGTGCAAGCGGACACGCCCCCACCGCCCTTGTGCACGCTCCCGGCGAACTCGCTCTCCCTGCCGGCCAACCTGCCCGTCCGCCCGCCCTCCCATGTGCTGCCAGTTCGGCCACACTCACTCTGTGCCGTCAGCTCACTTACCCACCCCTCTGCCTGCGGCCCACGGTGGCGAGATGTTAACTCCCTCTCGTGGTATACAGGAGGTTGTGGGTTTGATCCCAACCCTGACACCTCTGTATATGGAGTTTGTGTGTTCTCACCCTGGTCGCGTGGATTTTTCTCCGGGTCCTCTGGTTTTTCCATCCACATTTAGAAACGTGCATTGAGAATATTTGGCTGCTATAAATTTACATGTGATAAGCCACTTTGTTTGGCTATCATTTGTGGCCAGGTCGCTTCTGAAAAAGAGCTATATAGCTCAGTGGGCCTTACTTGGTAAAATAAAAAAGTGTTTAGTTTCATTCGTTTATCTCTATGAAGGAAATGTGCCCACTCATCTCTGTGGCACCATTTAGTTCGTCTGTTAGTTCATCTCTGAACCGCCGCGACCACCACCACCTCACTCGCATGCCCTTGTGCCGCCAGTTCTCTCGCACTATGCGCCATGAACTCACTCAAGCCCTTCTGTGTCATCATCTCCTCCTCACTCTTCCTTGTCCCACCACCGTGCTTATTCGTTGTGTGCCACCATCCAACTCCATGTGCCACGATACGTGTGACTTGAGCCTCATTTGCTGTGTTACCCCTGTGCTGTCCCACCTGTGCATGCAGGTGCTGTTCCATGAGCTGCTGGCGATCCGCGATGCTTGCATCAAGCTGGAGAAGGACTACCAGCCCGGCATCACCTACGTCGCTGTACAGAAGCGACACCACACGCGGCTCTTCTGCGCCGACCGAAACGAGCGGGTACGCGATTGTCGACGTCATGGTTAGCGAGTCTTCCCTTCTTCAAGGAAGGAAGACACGATGCAGAGGTGACCGGGGTGGCTCAAGAACATCGAATCCATAGGGCAGTGGTTCCCAACCTGTGATTCGTGAACCAGTGGTGGTATGCAGGGCTGTGGGAAGTTGTCCGAAGAAATGTTGCAGATATATTTTACACAACAATAGTTTTGACCGCATGGTGGTCAACGCAGGTCCACAAAGGTTTGTAACCACTGCACTTGGGCAGTTGTCATTGGCAATGAACACTGGCATTCATCACCGGCAGTGGTCAAATCTGGACGAATCAAATCTCTGCTCCCCCTAGAAAGAAACTGGGATAGCAACTACCAATCGGATCGCAGATAAGGTTGCTTGACTGCCTAAGTTTTTCGTGCTTTGTAGATCCATAACTGTTCAATCTTGACTTAAAGCTTTCGTGACTGCAGGAATTCATATTCTTTGGGTCTTTCGGGAAAGTTGCGTAGATAGAAAAAAGAATAAAATATAAATGAAAATAAAGTGAATGAAAACCTTTAAAATAGCCTGCCTCAGCAGCTTTCCCCCTCTTTTTTAAATCCTTTATATTAAGTTCGCGTGCTTGCGTGCTTGCTTGCTTGCTTAGGACCGTGCAAATCTTTCGGTCGTTTTTTAACCCACTTCCCGTGATCCAATCGAGCTGACATTTTCCACACAGACTCGTTGTGCCAGACAATTATTGTTCGTGAAAAAAAATTCCCAAAATTTTACACTTTTTAGGCAAAAAAAAATTATTTTACATATATTCAAATAGAACTAATTCATGGCTTTGGCTGAACGTCAGAGTGTAAGAGCCATGAGCGTCTCCCCTCCACAGGCCGTGGCGGAGTAGCGCAGTTGGTAGCGCCCTCGCTTCCCATGCCAAAGGTCGCGGGATCGATCCCCGCGTCCTCCACAGGCGAATATATTTTTAAATCCTTTATATTAAGTTCGCTGCCAAGCATATAAAGGATTTATAGTGAAAAACTTTGTTTTTACGGGTTATACTTGTTTTTTTCTCCTGATGACGATTGCTTGTGTTGCGATCGAAACGTCGTGATATTTTTATTATTTTTCATTAACTTTCTTTTATTTTTTTATTGTTTTTATTTTTTCTTTCTACGTGACTTTACCGAAAGACCCAAAGAATACCATAACTGTTCATCAAATGCATTTTTCAGCGAACTGTTTTCATTGGTTAGGCAACGTTCCGGCACACTTGTCATCGCTGTACCACGTTGCCATAATTCCTCATCGTAATTGTGTTACCGGCGATGACTGTCAGTGAGAATTACCTTAAAATGCCCAAAGTGTGGCATGGCCTTTAGATGTCAGGGCAGCTCAGTTGATATTCTAGTTTTACATTTGCGCAGAAACTTGTGGTTTAAGTGGATTTTCAAGTGTAGTTACAGTCAAACATGTTAAAGTTTGACTCATAGGGAGAGAGGCATTCTGATTATGGGTGATATGCATTACACAAAGCACAGTGTGGCGTAAAATATAACTTTTCACACTGGTGTGTAAACGCACATTATTGTGGCATGGTTTTACATGAATTCATATTTCAAGATATTGTTGTTTCGTCTGCATTGTCTTGTATTTCCTGCATTTGGCGTGCTACAATATTCCTCCCCCCAGATCGGGAAGAGCGGTAACATTCCGGCAGGAACGACGGTCGACACGAAAATCACGCACCCCAGCGAGTTTGACTTCTACCTGTGCAGCCACGCGGGGATCCAGGTGAGTGGCGCCCACTGCCTGAACTGCTCTAGCGAGCGGCCGATTGTTTGAGGTGAACCCTATTGAGTGACGCTTGTATTGTCACCCTGAGAATGATCTGCATTTTCAGAGCTATGATTATAATCGCACCTCCAATTAGCACGGTTGGCGACATACAGCGTGAAAGAAGTTCAACATACATACTTGTGGACTCGTGTGTTGATGGCGATGTCTCGCCTTCAATCCCTCAACTTGGTGGTCAAAAACCTAGCACACTCGTCAAAAACACTGCCTTAAAAGAAAATAATATATATAATCGGTGACGTTTCAGGCAATGGCCCTTCATAGCACATGCTAACTGCTACTACTGCTCCCCAAAGACAAAGATCCCCCGTCTAACCTTAACAGATGTGTGCGCCAAGTGCTGTTAGCAAGAACTTATAAAGGCCGGCACAACACGAGAGGGTGGGTAGCCAGCACCATGCCGGGCCGCCTTTGTCTGCCTAGTGATGTTTACGCACCACACCAGTTTCTCATGTAAGACTGAGTTGACCTAGGGGAGGCCCAGGACCAGTCCAATGTTTGTCACTTGTGTTGGCGGTGAGTGGGCATCGAAATCTGGTTTCCGGGTCCGTAGCACAGTGCACTAACCGCTATGCTCCTGCTATGCACACACCCGCTAATATACGCACCGACTTCCTCGCACACACACCGACTAACTCGCACACTCGCGCACTGCCTCGCCTCCACAGGGCACAAGCCGCCCCTCCCACTACCACGTGCTGTGGGACGACAACCGCTTCTCTGCGGACGAGCTGCAGGTGCTCACCTACCAGCTGTGCCACACGTACGTGCGCTGCACGCGCTCCGTCTCCATCCCCGCGCCCGCCTACTACGCCCGCCTCGTCGCCTTCCGCGCGCGATACCACCTGGTGGACAAGGAGCATGACAGGTGGGTGGTGGAGGGCCGAGCGGCCTCGTCGAGGTCACTCAGCTCCTGTGTATGTGTGTGCGTGCATCCCATATTGGTAAAAGGTTTATGAGTCTTTGTGTATGTGTATATAATTTCACAAAGCCTCCAAAGTTAAGTCGGGAATCTTTATGTCTCTCTGTGTCTTTGACTCTTCAATCTCAGCATAGTGATGATTGAAAGGTCGTAGTAAATTGACAGCTGCTTGGTTGAACCTTATAGGAGTATAAATACTTGGGAATAGCACAACTTGAATTACTGTTACAAAGCCGAATGTGTCTGTGAATAAAGTAATTGTAAATCAACCAGCAAATTACACATCACAGTTTAGCAGCATACACTGTGGCTGCCACGCAACAACGGCACGTAACGCCGTACCCACACTCCCTCGCTGGCCACCCCTGCCCTTCTTGTGCGGAGTGAATCGTGAGAAACTCCCTCGTCCTTTTTGTCCCCCCCACGCAGCGCTGAGGGGAGCCACGTGTCCGGCGCGAGCAACGGGCGTGACGCGCAGGCGCTGGCCAAGGCTGTGCAGGTTCACGTGGACACTCTGAGGACCATGTACTTCGCCTGAAGGCCGGCGGGGCGGGGCGGAGCGCCCGGAGCGAGCCGGGCCCCCGCCACCCGCAAGTATCGCTCGCTCGCCACCGACGCCCCCAGCACTCGCGCCAGCGGTGGCCGGCACCCTCAACCTCTCATCCGTCCGCCCATTAGCCCGTTCGCTCGTTCGCTCGGTGGCACGTTCCCTCCCGGAGGTCGTGTCCCGCAGTGTGGTGGGAGGGGGGGGCGGTGGTCTGAGCACGAGTGCCAACCCGCTCGCCTCCTGTGCTCGCCCCGACGTGCGCCATTTACTTGGGGAATTACTCGGCGCTTTCTCATGGATGAGCGGCAGGGGGCGGGTTGAGGGGCGGGGAGGGTGTGTAGTGGCAGCAAACAATTCTCACTATGGAGACCGTGCGCACTCACCCCCCGAGAATCGCCGCATACGAAATGCAAGATCTTTTTATTGCGTTAATCGACGATTGCAAAGTTTGTGTGACATTGATTATAAACTAACAGCGGCAATGGTGTTACATTTGCAGAACTGTATCCATTGAAGTTTTTTGGACGAATTGTTTGATGTCAAGCATGGCTTAATACTGTTTAAGAATCTGAAATTAGAATAGCAATGTAACATTTATTTTTGATGTTCAAAAAAAACCTAAACAGAATTTTTTAAAATGTCATCTCTATAGTGAGGATTGATTTAAAATTTGTTTTTATTGTTCCACAAATTTCCACCCGGTTATTATTCTTTTTTTCTTCCCATTGCCATTCGTTGTGGCCACTGACTGATAAAAAAAATCTGATTCTTCTAAGAGAGAGCGATTTGCTTCCCCGTTCCACAAGCATCGGTTAATCGATAAGCGGAACGATAATGTAGTCATGCCTTGTTTTTACACCAGTGCTTCTCTGTCTCTCGGCAGAGAGTGTTTGTGAAGACCGGTTACCCTGCGGTTAGATTGGCTTCTGCCAACCAATGGGGCAGCTCGCATGGAATCCATTATCGCGAACCGGAGAGTTGTATAGAACCGCAGCTTGGTTTAGATTCCTACCTGAACCAGGCTGCGGTCTTTTGGGCCAACAAACATCATGGGGAAAATACGGATATAAAGCAATCTTCATTGGTCCAGGTTAACGGATCATTTGCTGGTGAAACCAGGTGTAGAGATGGCAATGCTTCGTGTATGTGTGTTGAAATTCTTTCGCATCGTACATAGCCAATCGTGCTAATCGGAGGTGCCGGGAAGGACAATAAGCGAAACATAAAAGAAATGAGTTTTCAATTTAGATTTAAAGGGCGTCGCTCCAGTGGCTTCCGAATATCGGAAGAAAGAACGTTCCAGACGACCGCAGAAGCGCATCTGAAAGCTTGCGATGCGGTGACTGTCTTTGTTCGATGGTTAGCCAAAATCCGCTGCTACGAGGATGACCGCGGTTTTTCGTGATGGTTATGCTCCTTGACAAGCATATAGGTACCTCCTGGTATTTGTCAACAGTGGGGCATCGATTGGTCGGAAGATTGTGAGCAGCGGGGTCTGTGTGGTCGGTGTTGCACTTAGTTTAATGCATGTTCCAGCTGGCCGAGGCTCATGTTTGGAGGCACTGGGGGGGGGGCATTTGCGATTCGTTCATAACGGGCGTGATTGGCAATGGGACTTTAGGGACTGTGGCCAAATCCAGAGTTTTCCGTGAATTTGTTTTAGATGGGAAAAAAATCAACAAAAAATGCAAACACAAAAACGAGTAACAAAGTAGTTTGTACAATGTTATTTAGTGTTAGGGATATTTAAACAAAAATGGCTTGGTCATAGCTGTTAAAGGTGCTGAAACTAAGGAAATCGAGGGTAGTGTAATTGAACAAAGTACTTTTCCTTCCCAATGAAAACACTTTTATTGTAAGATATATAACTTTTAAATGACACGAATGCTGTAAGTCTACAGGCACGTTTTAGTAATGTTGAGTCATTGAACGAGGTACTAGTTTTGTATTGAATGGTCTTTTTTATCGGTGTTTGTAATGTGAACGAGTAGCTTGGTGGGGTTTCCATGTCACTACAGTTCAACGCTCAGAATAACAGGTGCCCAACATTACCTATCATTAAATAGAGCACTTGTACACTTCAGTTTTATGAATATTCACCGACACATTTTTTTCTGCCTCTTAAAAGAAAAAAAACTGTAGGAAAAATATATAGGTGATGAGGTTTTTTAAATCAGTGGGCTACTTTTTCTTGAGAAGGCATCATTCTGCTTGGGAACAGATTTGTCGCTCTTGCGTACAGGTTTTTGTATTTTAATACGCCGCCAGGTTTATCATGAGCTACTAGAATGTACAGCACTAAAGTTGTTGCAGCATCTACGTACGCCGTGAACACGTGGTTTTGCCATTGTGGAGCGAAATCCGCACCACGGTCCATGTCAAATTACTGCCGGACACACACGGCTGTGATGTGGGTGCACATTAACGACTGGGCATTATTCTGGGGAAATTGTATTTCATTTTTTTCTTTCTTTCTAAATTTGACCCCACTTTAAAATGTACAAAATCCCAAAAATTTGCTCCCAACAAATCTGATGTTTTATTACTAAACATGAAAGTGGAAGACAAGCCGAATGCTATGCACTTAAAACAAACCCTGGAACACGACACCATGCTTGTCTGAAAGCCAGCTCGTAAAAGTAATGTTCGTTGATAACATTTCGAACTGAAAATGAGCTGGGATTGTACTTTGACGAGATCAAGGCTCCAGGCTGAGCGCACTGTTTTCCTAAAAACGGTCGCAATATGAGAGTCCTTATGAGCCTCATCGTAAGAATCCTTCACGATGACGCTCATCGTAAGATCGTCATCGCCGCGTGTAGCCTCTCGCGCGTTTATGCCGGTGTCTGGGTGCATCCGTCGCGGGCTTCTCATCCTGGGGAGCTCTTTCACACGTGACTGATGACAGCGCTCGTTAAAATTTGCATGCTGGGTCTTAAAATGGCAAACCGCAAGAAGAACGAGCAGATTAACGTGCTCGTAATCGGTTTTTTTAAATCAGATTTTTGCTATGGCCTCAAACTGGTAAACATTTAAATTGGACGATGGGCATCTTGCTCGGTGTGAGGAAAGAAAGTGTGTCGAGTCACGTCTGGGTTCATTCATGTCTGGATGGTTTTCAGAAAGCAGAGGGGTATGCTGTTGCGTCGGAGTGACTGTGTCGGGGAGTGGTGCGTTTTGGCGGCTCGCGTCTCCACGTGGCTGTATGCTCGAGCCTTGAGTCCTGTGTGTGCACGTGCGTTTACAACCGCATTGCCTAGTCCCGGTCAGGTTCGTTGGAAGCATAAACTGGCTGCGACTGGGGCCCAGGTCGACGGCAGTTGAATAAAAATGTAAAGGGAGAAACGCTGAGTAATATTTTATCTCATCAAATGTTAACATAGTGCTTAACCGGCATCGCTGAGATCTGGACTTCAATTTTGGGAAATCATCTATGAATAAATTAGGTGATTAATTGCAACAAGTTTATTGTTTCGGCCTGGTCACAATGATAGCACAAACTCAGATGAGTTTTTTGTTGTTGCTTAATTTGGCCGAATACAGATTTTCACATTTGGTTTGATTAACATGTGATAAGCACTCTTTCCAAGGCATGTACATAGTTGTGCCCCTAAATGTTGTTGAAGAGGCCCACTGTAGTGACTTCAGAATTAGTTACGTGATGTCATCTTCCGAGGCTGCTCTTTAACATGGCGCTGCACTGTTAGCCCCGCGGGTATTCCCGATGAAAATCATCTTCGCGTAATCGGGTGAGCTCTTTAATTACAAGATAAATCAGTCGCACATTACACCACACATCCAGTTGGTTGCACTTGTACAAGTCTTTGTCGCACCTTTTAAGAGGAGGCAAACGTTTGGTGAGGTTCGGGGTATCCTATCAACAATCTGTGTACACAATCACCGCCATCAGGAGTATTGAGGAAAGATGTGAACATGGCACTTTATTGAAGGATGCAATTTACAATATTTACACTCTGAAACATACTCTTTACATCTGGGATGAAATGGAAATGGAACAACTGGTGTTGCATAACTAAATCGACAGTGCTCATGTCAGAGTTTTTATTCCTGTATAACCCAGAGCCGGTTAGCACTGTCATGGCACCATTTGCCAAATAATTTGTGATTTCCAATTGAAAGTGAACAGCCAATTGAATTCTCAGAAATGCACTCGTATTCTCTTTTAAACCTACCGTTCCTAAGTACTGCCAGCTTTGGCAAAGTCCGATTTTTTTTTTAAATAACCACAATAATGCTTGTTTTATTTCCCCAAACGTCAATGCACTTATTCTATGTTACCACAAGCACGCAAAGGTGGAAGTTTGCTTCAGAATAATACAAATGCTCACCATTTGTTGTGAGTTTCTTCTCAAGGAGCTGCCCACAAAGGCGTTTTGGCTACTCTTGTTATGCACTTAAGTTGTCAGGAAATGTGTTCAATCTTTGTCTGTTACAGGTAGAGGATAATTCATTAAAAAAAAATGCTCTCATTAATAACAAGTGTCACTGAGTTACATGTCTCGTTTCCAGGAGGTTACTACATTGGGTTGTTTGAGAAATTTAATTTTAACATAAATTTATTTGAATTGAACCTTGACATTTGACGTGTTTAAATGTGTATGTTATTGATATGAAATTTCACAATTCCACTGGGAACGTCTGCCATGAAATATTGTACACTTAAAAACAAAACAAGGGCAAGGGTCACAGTGGTGCAGTGGATATGGCTGTTTTTGCCCCCCCTGTTGGAGGGTCTGTAGTGATCCATGGGTGGGCTCGACACAGGATGCATGCAACAATTTACCCGCAACAAGTGACTCTATGAACTGTCGCCAATATTCCGAGGTCAGGATTTGATCAAATAATCTGTGCTTGTGTCGCGTTTTCACCCTCGTTAGTATTTTCTCAATTGCACATTTGGGTCCGCACCATGAAGCCTGAACATAACATCAGAAAAAAAATTGCATTCATTGCAAATCATCTGTTCTGCCAATCACGGGTTCGGTGCATGTATCATGAGTGTAAGAAAATGTTTTAATCGATGCATCATTATATTCCTACTGCACTGGGGTTCTTGATGGCTAGGGTTATGGTTAGGGGCCCTGCAACAACTACCATTAACCCTTCACCCCCCCCCCCCCCCACTCACAACCATTCGAGACCTGTCCCAGGGAACCAACAAACCAACTGGATTTAATGCCTTACCATGGAACTGCTCCTGAGGGCCGTATCGTAAGAGTCCTGTACTGGAACGCACTTGGCCAACGGTCGGTCACGTTTACATGTTTTCGCTCGTGCCATTCCCCCAGCTGGCGGCGGGCATGTTTGCGTCGAGGTGGTAAATCTGTGAGCTCTGAACGGAACGGCCGTGGAGTGGCGTGGAATGACTCGGGCCCGTCTGCATGGTCATTCGTTCACACATGCCTTTTTGCTAACTCTGCAATAGCTTATCACGGATGGGTGTCCCCTTCCTTGGCTTAGGCCTGCGTGGGGCAGTACCCATTGAGACCTTCCCAGGGCAGGATGGGGTCACTCCTGAGCCAGTAGGGGAAATTCCGCTTTCCCATAGCGGCCTCGAGGCATGTAACGATTTTACCTTTGTGGTTAGACGAATTGTCAGGATATGGAGTCGCGATTTAAATTTAACATGATGTTAACAACACCTCCAGTGGCTGTGCAGGGTTCAAGTGAAAACCCAGTTGCATACAACTTGTACAAATAAAAGAAAGTGGTTTGTGTTTACACGCACGATTCAATGCATACATTGCGAGCTTAAGAATCTTATTTAAATCGATGAATTGATGCGTCGTTAACGTGCCTGGCAGCCATCGTTATCTCAGCAGGACTGCGACTGTAAAACTTCTTATCTCAATTACAGTGTCAGGAGTTGGTACGTTGTTTTTAACCAAACCTGGTTTAATGATGAACATGATGGTGATGGAGCGCAGTCGACCATGAATGGGATCCAGACTTATTTTCTCAGTTACAGTACTGGAAGCCTTCCTGCGCAATGAACCACGTTAAATGCGAACTTAATGAGATCTATTAAAATTTATATATATTTTACAAATACTTTAATAAGGCATGATACTTTTATAGAAGCACCCGGTATGACATGACATGGGCAGATGTACAAGTGTGTATATCAGCTCTTGACATTCTAATTGTCTCCTTATTAAAAATACTTTTTCTTGAATTATGATTAAAATATTCAAAAGGAATTTTTTTTATAATGACCATTATAATTATATAACACTCTTCGGTAGTATTATCTGCAGTTGTTCTAGTGATTGAGAATTTGTTAAATGAACAATGTATTCAATTGTATACAATAATACTTTTAAACAAACATGCAGGTAGTCATACTCTTAGTTTTTTCGGTAATGTCACGTAGGTAAAAAATGAAATGAAAATTAATAAAAATAAAATTATAAAAATCACGACGTTTCTGAGGCAACACAAGTCTCCGTCATCAGGTGACGGAGAATTGTGTTGCCTCCGAAACGTCGTGATTTTTATTATTTTATTTTTATAAATTGTCATTTCATTTTTTACCTACGTGACTTTACCGAAAAAACTAAGAGTATGAATTCTTGCAGTCACGAAAGCTTCAAATCTAGAAACATGCAAGTCTTCATTTTAAGTCATTAATTACACTAAACTGAATCGGGGGGGGGGGGGTGTCGGGGGGAAATATCCTTTACAGAAAATGTTAAATGACATTTTGGCAACGTCCAGCAAAAGCAAATGAGTCTAGCTTGGTTTTGTAGAGCGACAAAGTAGTTGTGATGTTTACACGAATGGTGCTCGTTTAAAGTGTAACATTTGAAGAGGGATGTGAATTGAACGTGGTGTTTGTTGCTATTGCAGTCAAGTGTTGAGCCCCGCGCGTCATTGATCCTGGAGTTGTCGCAGAGCTTCAGTGATTTACTGAGTGCAGTTGTAAGACAAAGTCCAACTGCATTGACTGAAAACACAAGAAGAGGTTTTACCCTTTCTGACAATAAAACCGGTGTTAAGATGGTCAAACACCAAATAGAAACCTTTCGCAAAGGAATCAAGTCTGCATTAACGACACGTGCTTGTGGTGAACATGTAAACAAACATGCTCTGATAATATATGCACTGTCTTTGAAACTGATTGGCCTACCCCAGAGGGGACAGCCTTTTGTCTCACCAGTGTCAGACCAGAGCACGCTTAAAGGTGAACAGCACAAAGACAATGGTTAATGCAGACTTGATTCCTTGCCAAAAATATCGATTTGCTGTTTGAACGTCTTAACAGATTTTTATTTAAAGCTTTCGTGACTGCAGGGATTCATATCTATTATTTCCCTTCTACGTGACTTTACCGAAAGAACCAAGAATATTAATATCTTAACACATGTTTTATTGCTAGAAAGGCTAAAACCTATTCTTATTTTTTCATGCAGTATTTTGATACTGGCAAAAAAGGTCCCATTTCGATTTGACTGAGTCCGCTTGGATTGTTGCTGTAGTCAACAGTACGTAATAATTTAAATGTATAGAGCGCCCTTAAATGATCATTTTCAGGGCACTAAGCATGGCAAGGAGGAAAATAGTTAACAACCAAGTAAAGGAGAAGTGAGAGTCGGTTGAAAATAACTAAAGTGAGAAAGTAAGTTTAAACAGATAATTTTTTGTTGAGATTTAAAGATTTTTGTAGGGTTCGTGGTGAAAGCAGCATGTAAAAACCACCAGCGCTGCCAATGTGATCTCAGTTTAAGTGACCCTTATTTAATACGTTAGTCCTCATCCCGTCTAATGTCGAGCCATCGTCTTATCAACACAGAACCCTGCGTCTAATTTGATGCACAACTCTTGTCTTAACATGGAACCCTCTTCTCATATGATACGAACGCCAAGTTTCACGATAACCAACCCCTGTTTCTTACAATGTATCAGCTCAATCGTGTAATATAGAACCCCGATCCAATCGGATAGAGATTCCCTGTCTTGCCTGAAAGGGAAACATCTTCATCAATGGATACGGAACCCTCGTCTCATCCAAAGCAAACTCTCAACTAACACAGAACTAGTAACGACCCATTCAATACACAATCCCTATCTCATTCGATACATAACCTTTATATCACGAGTTTGGCTCTTAGGTTGCTTGGTAGGCTAATTAGAATCAACTACATGATCATTAAATATTATAGGCAGCCAAACCCTGAAATGCGTATCTAAAATATGTAAATTCTACCACTCAATAATTCGACATTGACAACAAAACGACTGAAGGCAAATATGCCTCAGTCTTTAGCTGTAGCCGTAATTTATATTCTGAAACCGTTTTGTTATTAAGTGTGCCGAATGTGCTTCTCGTTCTTGGAGGCATAAGTGGTGGTTTAAAGGAGTAGTTGCTGTGTGTTGAGTTCTTTTTTGAGACCGACGCTTTTATGTGAAGGGTTCAGCTGCAGCTTTGGATGGGTTTGCAGCACCAAGGGCATTTCACTCCCACGTCTCAGGTCCAACCGGTTTGGACTCACGAATAGTGTCACGTTATTTGGATCGCAGTTCAATTCAAGAATTACTATTCGTTTTCTGTCTCGTCTTCGTAGTCTCCTGTATTGTGTATCGCTTGATCGGTCTTATTTGTACAGCTTTGTTTGCACCATGAACCTAAATGAATTGATTCTGCTCAACAAATAACACTTTACCTAGGACAAGCTCAGTATCAAGGCTCGTTTTCAGAAGGGTCCAGGGTCTGTCAATGAGATGTTTGGCAAATCTTCTTGGTTCTTTCGGTAAGTCACGTAGAAGGGAAGTAATAAAATAATAAAAATAAAACATAATAAAACAATTCTCACGACGTTTCGGCCACAACGCAAGCAGCCGTCCTCAGGTGAAAACCAGGTCCGTCGAGGCGACAGAGTCTGAATGAAACAGCACACGAGCTTGAAGCATATATATATAAGCTGGGCGCACTTTTATTTAAGTATTGAAATTTAGCGTGGAAGGAAACGGGGGTGCCCGCAAATGAAATAAACCCTCTCATACGATGGGATAACACTCAGATTTGTCAGTGACATTCTTACTCTACTGCCCCCCCCCAACCCCCACCACTACAGGCACCGTGTCACTATCACTGCACGTGGGTCTCACGCACGAAATCATGGCGCGATCCACAAACCCCCCTCTGAAGTTGCTGGATCACAGCGACACGTCAACGCCGTTACTTGGCGAGAGAGATTGCGCGCACGTAAACCTCTCTCACAGCTTCACGAAATGCCGGCTCTCTTGGCTCCCCTTTGTTGAGACGCGCGTTTCTGCGTATCCGTGGTTTGGGTCAAACGTTAACACTGAGCGAGGCGGCAGTGTGTGTGCACGCAATTACTGTTGTTTCGGCCTCGTAGACTGTTAATCATTTTTACGCATCTTAAATCATTCGTCGTTATTGTTGTTATTCGGTCAGAAGTGCTATTTTAGATGTTGCACTTTTATCAGTGACTTGGCGGGGGGCGGGGTGGGGGGGCACAGCGTTTGTCTTGTTCCTCTAGCCCCCGTCGGAGGCGACGTTTTTTTTGCGTAAGCGTTCGCAGTGTCGTTCATGGATGAGCTCGGCCTTGTCCAGTCGACCCGAACTGGCAGGCTTCACCTTATAATCATGGAGTAGAGAGCCACTCTAGTACACGGGGGGGGGGGGGGGGGGGGGAGTCTTAGAAAACTATATCTTTTATTAAGAGCTCATTAAATAAGACGGTCCGAGAGCCTAAAACAAGCCAATATTGTACCTACTGTGTATCTGCAATTTCAGGGCTTATCTATGATTAAGTAAGTGTATGTAAATGTATTATTATAATAATGTGTAGTATTTTATTTTCCCCATTTTGTAAGACAATATCCAAGCTGGTTGATAGTTCAACAACCGATTATTTTATTTATGTTTCACCGGCGTGTTGATCGAATGAGAGCCACTGTTGTGCAAAATGTAAAATGAAAAGCGGGATGACAAGGGAGAGCCTTGGTGCCTCCCCCCACGTCAAATAAACACACAATGTAAAACACTTCCAACAATCCATTCTTCAGCCTGTTTGAAAACTAACCACTGGATAGATAGATTAATTTGTTTCTGTTAACTCTTTTATAGTGTGGTCAATATCTCGTCATCATACCCTATCATTCTCGTAGGTGGTAAGACCTCGGTAAGGTGTCAATGCAAACATGACTCCTTGTAAAAAAGGTGTCAGTTTTGTTTCCAGATAAAAGGGTAAAAAACAATTATCATATTTTGGTACTGGCAAAGGAGGTTCCAATGGTGTAAATGCTTACCCCGAACTCTCATACTCTGATGGTGCATTGTCTTTGAGTTGTGTGCCTTTTGGCGTCATCTGGTCCAACACCATGTGAGACTAGGCTCTAAGAAAAGCTGTCTCGGGTGTGGACCAATCATTTTCAAGGAAAATGCTTATACATTATCAGTTTTTTTTTGTCTGCATTCCGACCGCAGGTATTGTGGTCAATGCAAACATGACTCCTTGTAAAAAAGATGTCAGTTTTGTTGGCAGATAAAAGGGTAAAAAAACAATTATCATATTTTGCTACTGGCAAAGGAGGTTCAAAATAGTGTTTAAAAAAGTCTACGGCCTGGCGCGTGTAACCTTTGTTAAGTTGTTATCTGTACGGTCCCCTTGCAGTTCAGTTCACTTGGTCCATCCATTTCGAGAAGAACTCCTAAAACCACTTGTTCACAGCACACATGTCATTGTCGCCAGAGAACCACTTTTCTTGTCGGTGTTTATTTTTTTACAGTGGATCCATGGGTAGATCACTGGGAAGCCAGGCATGGGGAGTTTGAGATTTTCTTTCCAGATTTGTTTGGATATTTTCTCATTTATTTTTCCCCGAGGAGTCTCTGTACCTATTTCACATTTTTTCAGAGGACGCAAACAACATAATTTTTTATTTATTTTAAAATTGCAGAGTTTTGCTGTTGCTCTGAAATGTAGAATTTATTTTTAAAACGAGAGCTGAACTTTCCATTCACCCTTGGTTGCTTCACAACTTCTTTCTATATCGGGCTGAACACATTTGCTCAGCCCCCGGAAAAAATTACGCTGTAGAAATTCACGTTTAGTTTTAAAGCAGTCTGAATAAGATTGAAGTTGGGTGAATCGTCCCCGAAACTGAAGTGTCGCATTGCCTTGGCTCGTTTAAAATCATGGCTTCCTCCTATCTTTCATTAGTTTTTTCCACAGTTTATTTTTAGTTGACCACCAATTTAGTGTTACCTTTTCAGGCTGTCGGATAAAAGGTTGCTTTGGTGTTTCAGCCGTGTTCCACGCAGGAGATGCGATTAAATTAATTGTAGATTTGTGATTCCATGTTAAAATTTCCCCCGTTTAATATTTTCCTCCTTTC